TTTCCGTGTGCATTATTCGGCGCAGATAAAGAGGAAAAATTGTGGCGCGAGACAGGAGTGCGGGATCTAGTGCATTTAAGTGAAAAAATAAAGAAGCATGAAAACACGCAAACTCATATGAACAATGAAATGCGATTTGCATTATTTGGGAAACTTAATATACAGGCCCAACTTGACTCTGCTTATTGGATAAATATACAAAAACACAATGAAGAGGTGACGAAAAACAGGTATGTTTTGTCAAAAATAATTGACTGTATAAAATTCTGTGGGGCTTTTGAGCTCGCCTTACGAGGACACGATGAATCTGAAACATCAGATAACCCTGGAATTTTTCGTGGTTTAGTGAATTTTTCTGCTGAACTTGATAAAACACTTAGTGAACACCTTACAAATGCGACAATTTTCAAAGGTACCTCAAAAACAATACAAAATGATATTTTGGATTGCATGCTAGAAGTATACGCTGAGGAGATTTTAAACGAAATCAATGAAGCCCCATTTTTAGCAGTGATAGCTGATGAGACAACGGATGTTTCTATGAAATTTCAAATGGTCATTGTTTTTCGTTATGTAAAAAACGGTGCTCCAGTTGAAAGGTTTTGGACTTTTTTGCTTCCAGAAAAACATGATGCTGAAACCTTAGCTAACACAATTTTGAATGTTTTAGACCCAATATTAAAGAATAACAAAAATAAGCTCATTGCACAAAGTTATGACGGAGCAGCTGTTATGAGTGGGATACATGGCGGAGTGCAAACAATAATTAAGAGAAAATATGAAACTGCTCATTTTGTGCACTGTTACGCCCATCAATTGAATCTAATAATGTCAAGAGCATGTTCTATTAATTCCCAAGTACGCGTATTTTTTGGAGATTTACATGATATACCTGGATTTTTTAGTCATTCACCTCAAAGAATAGCTGTCTTAAATCAAATAGTTGGAAAAAATATTCCTCGTTCAATCCCTACACGCTGGAATTTCAATATTCGTACAGTAAATGTCGTTTACGAATATAGAGACTTTATTATTGAGTGTATGGAGCAACTAGAAGAAGAGTCAAATGCTATTACTTCCAAGGAAGCAAGAGGACTTAGACGTATTCTGGAAGATCAAAATTTTACTTTCTGGCTGACTGTTTTTCATTATATTATGCCACATGTTGACGTTTTGTACAATAATCTTCAAAAAAAGAACATGGACCCAACCGAAGCACAGAAAGCTATACATGTTTTTGAGCAAAGTATTAACAATGTCCGAAATAAAATAGACCCTATCATACATCAAGCTTCAAATTTAAATGCGGCGCCTAGTGTCCAAAAAAGGAAACGCCCAAATAACAGCCAACAGGATCACCGTATTGCCTGTCTAGAAGTTTGTGATGTTATTATAAACAATGCAAAAGAACGGTTTGCATATACAAATCATCTAGTTGCCGCAACACTTTTATCTTCAGAACATTTCGAAAAATATAATAATAAGTTTCCTGAAAATGAATTGGATTTAACTTGTACAGCTTATAACTTCTTTGATAAAAACCGTTTGCGAACAGAACTGTCAGTTTTGTATTCCAATATCGAGTGTAGAACATTAAAAGGTGCAGTGCCTTTACTAAAATTTATAATTTCTAATAATTTAGTGGACACATTAACAGAAACCAAAAAGTTGATACAAATTCTGGTGACTACGCCAATGACCACAGCAGAAGCTGAACGTAGTTTTTCAACTTTAAAACGGATCAAAACATTTTTAAGAAATTCAATGTGCGAAGACAGATTAACAGCCCTTTCCACACTCTCGATAGAAAAAAAGTTCATCGCTTCAATACCGAACTTTAACGATAAAGTAATCGAAAAGTTTGCGACAAAAAAGGACCGGCGTATTAATTTCCAATTTAGAAAAATGCAATAAATGTAAGTTAATCAGATTTTTATAGCATGTCGTTATTAGTTACTATTAATTAGTATTAAAGCTAATTTTATTGTTTTTGTTTTCGTATGTTATTCTATTTCTATTATTTTATATTGACCGTGGTTCATGCAGCACACCCTATAGCAGATGTCACGAGCCGCCACTGATGAACGGGTCCTTTATTATCATTAATTCATATACTCTCAGAAAGATTCATAAATAATATTATACTCTACACACTTGACCTTTACGCAACAAATTTAACTAGTCGTTCATAAGAACGGATCATTATGAACGGGTCATTTTAATGATTGACCTGGAAGACCCGGGTCACCGAAACGAACCAAGTCTTCCCATCACTAGAAGTGAAGCTTCTATACCGGAGTCGTATTAATTTTTCTCTATAGTAAAATGCAGAGCGGATTGTCAATTCACGAAATAGGTCGTGTGGTGTCATAATTTTACAATATTATCCTGAAGCTATTTTCTTGTGGCATTTTTAAAGTAAATACTATTTTAATGGGAATAAGCCACAATTAAACGTTAAGTATTATTGACGTATCAATTTCCACTTCGAAAATCGCTCTCAAAATACAAACATTAATAAATTAAACAAATTTTATTCCCATTAAAATAGTAATTATGAAACAAACTGGCAACAATTTTGTTTTATATTGTATAGATGTACAATGTATATACGAGTGAAATGGACTTTTCCAGCAACATTTATGACTTTTGACAGCTCTACAGTTTTAATTGAATCGATTATTTCTGAAAGGGCTTAAGTGGTATTTCGACCATTTTACTTTTAATACGCGAAATTAATTATTGACCCAAAACCATCGAGCAAAAAGATAAAAGAGGGAATGTAAAGGTGGTGGGGACAAAATGTTTGTTAGACAGGAAGTGCTATCTTGAGAGGCCACTTTAAACAAGGAAAGACAGTCTCTTTCCTTGTTTAAGAAGTCAAATTTAGTTTGGTTATGTTATTGTTTGTCCCAACTGTCACATTAAATTTTATTTATATTGAAGTTTTTTACCAATTATGTCACTTTTTAGACTATTATCGTTGATATTTAATTAAAACTTTCTTGTCTGAAAAATATTTTACAGGTATTGTTAACAAGTGTTGGAAAATTTAAATTTAGCGCCTTTGCATTTCCGGATATGTCCGCCATCAGAGGCCACTTTTTGGTCTCCTTTTCATAACGATTAGATTCCCTCTTTTATCTTTTTGCTCGATGCCCAAAACCTACCGTTTGGTGCAGAAATTAACTAAATTCGATTATTCCTTACTTGCATATCTGTGTGAGAAAATAATGATTTAGCGCCGTGAGGACCTAAGTAAAGTAACTTAGTTCCTTTAAGAAATAAATTCTTCAATTTGTGTCATGCTGTATTTGACCTTGCGCTCTGTTTTGGTTTAAAATGCAAGCCTCGTGTCGCGAAATATTTTCAGCGATTTACCGGCTTTACCGGCTCAGGGATTTTTTGGCAATATGTCTAGTTCAGACTAAAATAAAAGCACTGAAAGTGAAGGGGAGTCACCTCAATCAGATAATCTTAGAAAAAGACGGCGAGATGTGGGAAATGATGATAATTGCCAAAGAAATTTAATTAAAAAAGCTAGAGTCAGTGGTACTGCTTATACAGATTATAAAAGCAAGATGGTTGCTGCCAGGCAAATCGTAGGTGCTTACAAGTAAGTTAAATAAATAAAGTTATATATTGAATAGCCTAGGTATATAGATGCGTTATTTTTTAGATGTAAAATGCAGTGTTTTTACTAAGCTAAGAGTTAGAGAGTTTCTACAGAATGCAAAACAAGGATGAACAGGATATATATCTTCAAGGCTTGATACATCAGAAAAATCTTTAAAACGAAGAAGCCAGAAAAATTAAGGGAAGTATCTTTTGATCATTTTATTCACGTTGAGAAGCCCACTTTGGTTTAGTTAATAGCGGGAAATAGTTTTGAATTGTACTTTCTGCTGTCTAGTTTTTTTAATTACATGGATCCCTTAGGGCCGGTTGTACAATCAAAGTATAAATTAGAGAACAGTTATTCTGAGTATAACTTACACTTGAGTTTATTCCAAGTATAACCTTTCGAGCGTTCTACATTGTGAAATCGACAGCGGAATAGTTATTCTAGGTATAACCACAGAACACTGAGGTAAAACGAAATAGTAGATCTGATAGCCTCAAAATTAGTTCAAATTGTTATTGACAGTGACATTTGGCAGTTGTCATATCTGTAAAATTTGTTTACAATTGAAAGTATTTTATCTACTTTATCTTTATCTAGTATTTTATCTAGGTTTATATTATTATACTTTGCAAAATTAATATAAAATGGATAAAAAAAGATATAACAATTTTACATATACAGAAATTGAATTCAAATGCTACATAAATATATATCTAATTCATACCGAATTCTAAAAGTTTTTGGATGCCTTAGCCTAGGTATTCCTTCTTCAAAATCTTCATCATCAGATTCAAAAATATTAATATTAACTGGATCCATATCAAAAATTTTATTTTATATATAAAAACAAACAAAACCACAGTTTAAAGATCGAATGGCATAAAGTGAGGTTAAAATATCACAGATTTGACAACCCCTCGCCGACCAATAGAAATGCAGTATAAATTTATACTCGGTATATCTGCTCAACTTTGGAGGGATAAAGTAATACTATAGATATACTCCGATTATCATATTCCTAATTTATTCTTTGTTTGTAGAACACCACTAATGAAGTTATTCCAAGTATAACTTTATTCTCAGTATATACTAGTATTGTAGAACCGGCCCTTAATCCACCGATCCTATGACTCTACAGCTCAATTCGAGCCCTGTCCTCTCTCAACAAACCTCTTCATTCGTTACGGTCTGTACTATTCTCCTCCACGATCGACTACCAAGAATATTTCTGGCGTCCTCATCAACATCATCCTCCCATCGTTATCTCAGTCTTCCAACATGTCTCTTTGGCCTGTCCTTTGAAGAACGTCTTCAAATAAGAACAAAACCTTATTTAAAAGTTAACATAATAGTTTACTATACGCTATACTGTCAACCAAGTGTTAGCAAAATTAATCGTGAATTATGAACTCAGAACCAAACTATTATTGTTTATTAAAAAGAAGGCTAATAAATTACCACCACTGTATAGTTACAACCATATGAAGATAATTATACCTTCAAATTCAGATATATAAAATTTGTAATCCACAAATAATTCGAAGCGTTACAATTTTGATCAATTATTTGTGAAACTGATTAGTCTTATCTGAAGTTGTAAATTAGGAAGATTCATATGGTTGAAAAAACGCTCTAAACTGTATGTACTTCACCTGGGATATGATTATCCTCCATTTCGTGATTTATTCTACTTTTTTCGTTACATATTACACTGCCATTACTAACATTTTTAATATCTGACTCTATTTCGGAATTGTTAACTTCTGTTTGATTAGTTTCGATTTTATTGTTCTCCTTATCACTATTAATACTTGAAGGAATGTTCGTTAAGCTATCAGTCAAATTGTTTGTGTCTGCGGATTCTTCCTGGCTCTGGTTTTCTAGTGCTTTTTGTCCCTGATCGGGATTTACCATAAAATTACTCCACCACGATGATAAGGCGCCTTTGGCGTGAGAGAGAGCTCCGCCTAAAATAATAAAACATAAATAAATTATTAAATCATTACACCACAATATATCTACATATACAGCACATCATCAATGATATGTCTGTGTCAGTGCAGTACATCTTAAAATGTCCCTAACTAATTTTAAATTCCGAAACACAGATGAATGTTCACGAAAATTCATATATAGGGTGCCGCATTAGTGCGAGAAAGTCTAATACTCATTTGTGTTAAGAGATACGAAAAAAAAAGTTTTTATCGTATCTCTTCCCATATCAGTTGGCCCCCCTATGCAATTTGCAGTTTAATTCAATTACCATAAACAAATTATACTCTGCATGTTTTTATAAGTTCCTATATTAATTAATATGACAATTTTATTAGTATTTATTAAAAACATTACCCTTATGGTTTTTTTTATTTATTTTCAACAATAAAAAAAATTCACTAAACCCTGGCTTCACTTATGTCAACATACGTTGATTTTTTCATAATTAAATTAAATCCAGTGGTAGCTATGGAAAAATGACATCAAAAAAATAATACTGTCAGTTGATGTTAAATGTATATTGTAGTATTGTAAAGCATTTTACCGTTTGTGGATTGTACAATGGGTCGAGCGAGGTAAAGTTCTCGATGAGAAATTTTGTTCAATCGTTATTAGATTTTTTAATTCTGGAAAGTCCCAATTCGGAAATCGCGAATATGTTGCAATTGTCACGCTATAGTGTAAGAAATATAGTCAGATCGAAAGGCATTAAGACGCATTATAGTGAAATACTATCTGTCTAAGCCTTGGCTAATGTTTTTATTAACCGATTAATCGGCAGGATAGAAATAACCGGTTGTAAGTTTCAATAATTTGGATGTGGGAAAAATGAATTTGAGGTCAGTTTGGCGATACTGTGTCTGTGTTTGGTGTCCAGCTCGATAAATGGTAGACTATCTGCAGACGTATTTTCTGGCCTAACATCATCAGAAACGAAGACTTACTACACCTGACCAAACAAAAGAGGGTAGTAAATGAAATAAAGTCCAGAAAGTGGGGTTGGATCGGTCACACACTCCGAAAAAATAACTCCAGTATTGCAAAGACTGCCCTAGAGTGGATCCCCAAGGAAAACGAAAAAAAGGTCGCCCAGTACAAACTTGGAGAAGATCCATCATGGACGAGATAAGAAAACAAGGAAAGTCTTGGAATGAGGTGAAGGCCTTAGCGCAAAATAGAACCCGATGGCGCGTTTTCACTGAAGCTCTATGCTCCACTTAGGAGTTCAAGAACCTTTTATATATATATATATATATATATATATAATATATAATATATATATATATATATATATATATATAACCAAAAGGATGATAACGGGTACGAGTACTATGTAGTGAAAAGGAGATAATACTGGGAAGTACCCTTTTATAACTGAGGAAGCAAAATAAAACTAGGGTGCTTCGTTCGATGTGCTTTTAATTAAAGGTCTAAGCTTTCGTCAATGATTATTGACATCATCAGAGTAAACTACAAACAAACGAGAGAACAAACAATGAACAAGTGGAACCTAAGTATACAAATTTATAAAACACTTACCCTAATTCTAGCAAGTAACTCAGTGACTTGGGTTGAACACAAAGAAAGTATTGTCTATGTATATATTAAACATAGTTGCAGAAATGGTATCCATAGTTTACAATGTGTTTTTTATTTAATTATAAACGATATATTTACTATAAATCTAACCACAAACAATTTAAAAATTTTACTAGTTTAAAAACAATCTAAAAGTAATTAACAATTATCGGCGGTGTCACTAAACTTGTTTGAACTAGCGGGATAATTTAAAATGTAAACATGACATATATAATCTAAAATGTTAACAACGAATACTGAAATAAATATAAAATATAAAAAATAAAATAATTAAAATTGTCATTAAACGGGTTGATTGAAAATATAATAAAATAATACAGATGAGGAATGTTTTATAATACTAATGGAGATATAGTATTGTTTTATATTATATATTTTTAAATTAAAATAGTTAAAAATCTAACCTATATCACTCATATATCTAGGCGACAATTTTTTTATTCCTGAAATATTTTGTTTAAGCAGGAAGGTGTAGATTGAACTTAAATTATCCACATCCTTCTTGTGATTGATGGCATTTTTCGCATTATAAATGTAACACATCTCAAGTATTTTACGCTGAAAATCTCTATTAGATACATCTAAGATGAATGTGTCATTATAGAGGGCTCTGTGGTCTTTGCTATTGACGTGAATACTAAGACTTGTAGATTTATTTTGCACCCTAGTTTTATTTTGCTTCCTCAGTTATAAAAGGGTACTTCCCAGTATTATCTCCTTTTCACTATATATATATATATATATATATATATATATATATATATATATATATATATATATATATATATATCTGCAGACTTATCGTTCAGAAGTAAAATTTATGAAACACCATAATTTACTAAATGTACAAAAATAATATTGTTATTGAAAAAAAATACAATAATCAAAAAGGTATCAGGCTTTGATGTGATGTGAAGCAAATTTTACCTTTCCTGTTGTACAAACGAAGGTTGCACTTCGTGCAAAGAAATGAGTATCAGATCTTACCCACACTTTGCATGACTTTTACGATCCCCATTCAGGCCAATAATTTAATCCGTCGTATCATCATACACTATCAACTTGATGAACAACTCGTCTACCGATGGGATAACTACTAGATGGCTGTGGAAGGTAAATGGTTGTCCAACAGGACATTTTTCAATAGTAGGACACAGCTCTTTAGCCATTTTCAATCGAAATTGTTGCATCGTCATGTCTTTGTCTTTCACCTTAATCGAAGACATTCCGATTTTTTTCGACATTTATGCATCGTTAAAGAACGAAGACACTGGTAATCGTCATGTCCAGTAGATGGCAAAAAATTTTGGTGGCCATGTCGATTGTTTTGATACGAAGTCCATTTTGAGCCATATATGAATCTATGATGTTTGCACCTACCATGTGGGAGTTATATTCTCAAATGATTTGTACAACCTCGTTCACATGTAACTACATTGAACTTTGACGCCACAGAATATTCTTCCATTCCTGTGAATCCTTTGCAATATTTATTAACGCTGAAAGTAAAAAAATAATCAGTACATTTTTTTTTTTATTCATATGTACAGAGCTCCTTAAGTGAAGCCACCTACTGATGGTACTACTCTTGGGGCGGAATCTTTTACAGTCGGTATCAATGATGTTGGTCTCCTCGGTGGTTGGAATGTAGATGCATGTATTGCTGCTGACCTTTTTGCTATTGCTGTCGAATCTACTGTTGTTGCTACTTACTACTGTGGTTGTGTCTTCTGATGTCGATGCTACTGTTTCTGCTGCTGTGGTTGGTGGAGATTCATTTCTAATCACAATGGCCGCTTCAGGAGTGGAAGTTTGTACTATTGGAGTAGCATGGGTCGAACTGAGTGAAGTACTACTGATATTCAGTGATAAGTTCGCAGCCTGTACAAATGTAGTGGTTGAATCTATCTATTGCATGCATTTAGTTATCATCCCATTATCCTAAGGTGTTATTTCGTCATACCCGTAATCCGGATCACTGTCTACGTCATCAACATCTTCATCCGTAAACGATTCCATAATATCTATTACTTCTTCACTTATCGAAGAGACATCGAATCCTTTTCCTGTCGCCCATGCTCTCCTACATCCTTCTACACCATGTTTACCCTTCATTTTCTACATAAAAAATAATAACCTTAATAAAGGGTTAATATTTTACACTAACTACGACTACCATGTACTTTTTTTGAAAAATTATTTTTATGAAAATTTATGAAATTATTATTATGAAATTATGAAAAATTATGAAATTTATTTGAAAAATTATTATTGTTATCGCAATTAATGTTTGGCTCAAAGAATTTATGCAACACACAACACACGTTCACTGAATAGGAACACTTTACACACACCAACATTTACAGCACATATTAACAATACTGAACACTTATAATAATCAGAGTTTGAATTTTCCATGGGACAAAACATCTACCCTCACATTTTTTAGCTAAATGTGTCTGTTGCCTATAACACCGTGGGTAAAAGTAAATTAATCTTCAATTTTGTTGACATGACATAATCTTGTCAGTACTCTTGGCGGTTATGCACACATTTTTGCAACTAAATTATTTAATAATCTTTTTTGAGAACAATTTCCGGAGTGAAAATCGAAACGTCAAATTTTTTAGGTAAAATATAATTGTCATTACAATCAATTGTGGCTTATTCCCATATAAACATAGTGTTTACCTATTAAAATATGTTTTAAAAAGAAGAAATTATGTAAAACACATATTTTTAATATTTACAGATTACCATAACAGAATAACATTACAACTTACCTACAGCTTTACCTGTTGTCACCACGGCTTTTCCAGTAGATGCCATCGCTTGATTCAATTTCCTACCACTTTCGGTATTCTGCATCGTACTAAAACACATTTTCCATATGATCAATTAACTTAAAGTTTAAGCGGCACAAAAAAGAAGAAATTGAATTAAGACAGTCAAAGATCATTCTAATCTTTGTATCTTACACGTACACATCATAATCCTCTATATTCCGGTTTGTTAAGTGTACCCGATCTTCCGGAAAGGATCTATGGAGGAGTAACACCGAGACGCAAGCCCTCATCTCCTGTCGTACTGCTCATCACATTCGTCGATCCAATACACCAGCGTATTTCAGTCAAAGTAGAAGATCCATTTAGAATTTTAAACATGTACGTTAGTCTTTTTATTTTCTGGCCCGAGCCTGAACCATCGTCAGCTAGATCACTCACAGTGAACTGAATGTGATTCTGTTCTGTTCTGTTTTCTTCTGTTCCCTGATCACCAAACAAATCTTTAAGATATTGCTCCCATATTTCTTTCTGCTTTTCAAGGTCTAATTCCATTTGGTTTTTCTTGTTTGTTACAATCGATAAGTGTTTGGGTTTCCATATTCCAGCTACTTCTTTAACCTTTCTGTGTAGTTCTCTTTCTCTATTCTATCAAACATTCAAGCATTTTGGTGAGTTTCATGTTTCATTCCATTCCATTATTTAGAAATAAAATATTCATTGGTGTGTTACGAGTATGCATAATAATGTAATGAAAAATATATTTATCTAAAGAATTACTTACTGTGAAAATCTTAGCTTCATATCTGCAACTGACAGTTGTCCGGCAAACGGGTGGCCGGGGTGAACGTCTAATATCCCTGGATTGATTCCACTCAACCAAATTTTATAATTGTGCGAATCTCTCCATGCAGTTATAAAACTTGAATTAAAATGATCAATCTCTCGAGAACCATCTAAAAGTACCAAAAGGTTAACGTGAAAATGGTGTCCTATTTAGAGATAGAAACTTCTCAGTATCATAACATAAAAAAAACATAACAAATATTCTGCTTTCGGACTAATGTTTAGGTTTTGGTCCGAAAATAATATATAGGTTACTCACATCAACAAGACCAAAAGAATAACAATAGAATACCACCAGCTACCTTTGCACTTTTAAAAGTGATAAGAATAGTGTATTCTTTATTTCTGATTTTTTATGCATCTTTTTTTTCGGATAAGCACTTCAATTTTATTAGAAACTACTTAAAACAGTTTGTTTCGTTTGTGTTTACGTTATTATAATAATAAAAGTTTAAAGAGAATCAAAATTTAAAATTTAAAAAGTTTTTATTTTAAAAATGCAAGTGTTTCGTTTTTCGTGCCGGTGAGTGTAGTATTATAAATATTTTTATTCATCTCAGAATATCTCAATTGTATCTATTTGTGTGATATCCATATTAAAATTTACCTTGCAACATGGACGTCCTTAACAAACACAGCAAATACACCCTAAACTGTGTCCTTATCCATTCATCTCCACCCTCCCAGCCAACACCATCCAGAAAGACGTCGTGGCGTTCTTCCGATACATGTTTCACAATGTAGTCGGCGAACCTAAATTTACCAAAATATATTAAGTTTATTTATTTAACTATTTCAATAAATACAAATGTTGTTTGTAGCAAGTCAGTAGACAAGTAGTACTTTTGAGTATTTTAGTACTTCCGGAAACACTCCAGTTGAAAGAATTAAATTAATAAGATGAGTGAAAGGTGATAAATTGGTAAGTTTCTTTTAAAATTTTGCTATTAATTTCGTGAACGTCCCTACACTTGGAATTACTAAGAGACTTTATTATTTGAGAGACATCTTCCACAATGGGACGAAAAAAAAGAGGGAAGGATAATTTCTATAATTTTAATAGTGGGAAGAGATGTAATTATATTCGTTGCAATTGTAATAAAAATCGATTTATTTCGTCTGTATTTTTTCTAGGTTTATTACTGGAATTAGTAATAGCATCACAGTAAGCTGAATTTTTAGCATTTTTTAATTGCCGATTATATTCAAATTATTGTTGTTAGTCGTTATTATCGTCGTTATGTTGTGTGTGTCATTATTAAACCAATGCACGGGTGTTTTTTTAGCAGTTTGTCGTACTTTTTTTTAGTGGAAAATGCTTTAATATTAAGTTGTTATAAGTTTCGGTAAGAAAGACTGTCAAAAAATCAGGATCATTATTAATATCATAGAAAAAGTCCATCTTTCTACTAGCTAGCGCACGGTTAATCTTCTGTAAACCAGAAGAAGTAATAAACCATTGAAATGTTTGATTAGTGGCAACAACGTCATGCTCATAGTCAATAAATAAAAATTGAACTCGACGGTCAGAAAAACAAGGTTCAAATGCGCTCACTCTATAGAAATTTTCAGAAAAATTTGGAGACAACGTAAAGTGACGATATTTTGTATCGTTTGGGAACGGTTTGTGAAAAAGAAAAACAGTGAATTTGACAATATTCACTCTACATTCATTGAATTATTTTTTTAAGGCAACCAAACAAAATTCCACTAGGAAATTAAGTTCCTCGTAAGTATTAACCACAATGTTCTTTAACCTTAGTCAACATTTTAAATTCAACGTTCTTTTTAATTAAAGTGGTTATTTACTTTCAGGTTTGCACTGATGATGGATTTAACAATCCGAAAACGTTTTGTAATATATTTGTGATAGCCCGTTTGGGCATTTTATTATATACCTTTTATAAAGGATTTGAAATAAATTTTTTCAAACAAAATTGTTATTTACCTGAGATCCTCGGTGGTCAGATGTAAATATTTTCTTAAATTCAAATCCTGGCATTCGATCCTATTCCCATCTATATCTACCAGTATATCGTATAGCTGCCTTTTCTGCTTAAACAAAACGTTAGTTGCTCCTACTACGTAACTCCGTACGTTGACGTCGACAAGAAGATCCAGATACGGCAAGGATAAATATGGCAAGCACAGAGCTCCTAAAATTAAAAAACGAGTCGGCGCGGATAAAATAGCTATGTAAATACGTAAATTAAAACTTTATACAAAACGGAATTTAAAATACGTGAATTAAAACTTTACAAGTTTTTTTGAATCGATACAATGCTACAAGACAACAGTTTCAGAACCTTTTAAACAATGAACTATGATTTCTTTTAACAATATGTTACCTTTAGTAAAAATAGCTAATGGAAATCCACAACTTTCCGTGCTGAGGTGCGTTAAATATGTTAAATTATTATGTGCTACATCAGATATTGTATCCGAACTTATATCCCTATGAAGAGTGCCGGTTTTTCCATCGTGTCCATTTGTAGTTTCGTTTTCGTCATCTAAACATACCTTTGTTTGCTAAAAATTCAAATAATTTTAAGTTATTGTTAATTTTTCTGTGTCTCTATATTGTGTCTGCATCAGCCACAATTTTTGATATTTTCATGTTACACTTTTGGATTACGACTAATGCTTAATATTTAGGACAAGAAAATTAGATAGATGTATTCTCACCGAGACCAAGAAAAAGGGAAAAGGAAATGAAGAGATAGGAGAATATATCCATATCTATAGTGGAGTGAGTAAGATAACAGAGCTAAGAGAGGAGTATCTATTGCCATTCGAAAAAATCTTAAAAACAATATTAAATCGTGGACTTAAGTAAATGTACAACTGTTAATACTGGAAATGAAAAAGAATAGACACAACATCAACAACAGATGGACAGAAAACGATGGCGGTCATATACTATCATGAGAAAGAAAAAGTAACTAAACCAAATAAAATATACAGAAGAATAAGAATGATATCGGTGACACTTGAAAGACATTCATTTCTTACACAACTAAAATCCAAAAAAGAGGACTCAAACGAGATGATGTGAAAATGCTTAGCAGGTTGCAGAAGCAATGTGAAAAAATCAAACGAAAAACAAAGATAAATGGTGACAATTGGGAGAGAATTAATAATCATAATATGAATACATAGGTAATCTTTATAAAATCAATAAGCAAACAAATACATCCCGACAACTTAAAATTAACTATGTTTTGTTATTATGAATTATAAACTATGCACTTACACTCATCGATTCTGTTAATTCCAAGCCAACTTCAGTTTGATTATCATTAACCAAATTATCATCAATTTGATTACCGTTGGAGTTTACCACATCGTTTGTCTTTTCGTTTTTCTCTATATCTTGAACAATTTTTGATTCTTTGGCTATATCAACATTTTGTATAACATCAGTTTCCTCTTTTATTCTACTACCTTTCAGACAAGGAATATTTTTAATATTGTTTAGTTTGACAGGACTGGAATCTTCGTCGGAATATTCCGGCATGGGCGACATAGGTCTTGATAACCTGAAAATAAATATTGATGCGTATATTGATGTGATCTGATGATCACATGTGAAAATATGAATCCCAAAATGGAGTTGACATCTTTTGAATATTAAAGACCAGCAAATATGTACTTTAATATATTTAATAAAACACTGAAAACCTTTGTTTCCAAAACTTCCAAAAAATTTATTATAATTTTTTTTACACAGTATTGTATACAAACTTAAATGTGGCAACTGTCCAAAAACTTATATCGGTCAAACTGGTAGAACTTTTAACAAACGTATAGCAGAACATAACAGGGCTTTCAATAATAGAAAAACAGATTCTACATACGCACTTCCCCTTCTAGACTATAATCATTTCTTAATGATGAATTTCAAATTCTTGACATTCGAAATAAAGGCCACGTCGCCACAACATTCCGAAGAGCCGAAAACGGCGGTCTACAGATGGTTTGAACAATGTAGACAAGCGCCAATGTGCGACCAGGAATATTACAGAAAAGAAGATCACGCAAGATTACGATTTATAGAAAAATTTAATTAGGAAAACTGATTAAAAAATGCAAAATTATTAAAGGCAAAAATGATGATGACAAATTTTCAAAACAGTACAATTAACTATTTATTAAAATTAAACTACGTGAGGAATTATTTGATATTTTCATTTAATTGAACTACTGATAAAATAGTAAAAAACAAACTAATATTTCATGTAACCATATACATACAACATATTTGCAGCTGTATCTTATCAAGGTTTACATATATAATAACTAATGAAATTTAAAATTTTATTTTATCACTATTCTGATATTTAAAATTATTATTTGTTACTATTTCTCATGTAGAAATTCCAAAAAGTATATTTCACTTACAGTTTTTTTAGCAATATTATCCAAAGTAAAATTTTTACATTTTCTAACTATTTAGGAGTCATCATTATTAACATTAGTGGTAGGGGCTCTGTTATTACAGAGCCCCTACTTCTTCTGCGTTGTACTGTTCTGTTCTGTGCTTGGGGTTTCTAGCTGGGAGCACCGATCTTTTCGGCATCTTACATTACCCCTCTATCTGGCTAATTTTTGGTCTTTTTCTTGGTGCCACAGATTGCGAGCATGTGATTCTTTTGATCATAACTTCTTACAATTCGAAATTATATCGCCTTCTCCAAATACCATTGTCACAGATTGGGCCCATTATTCTACATAGTATATCCCTTTCAAAGATGAGTAGACAATTTGCATCTGTTATGGACATGGTCCATGTTTCTGACCCATATGTCAGCTCCGGTGGGATGAGTGTTATGTATATATTGTTAGTTTGATTTAAAATATATTATTTTAGGATTACATACCTTATACATGCTGAATTATTTAATCCGGTCTCTATCATGTCCGGAAAAAGGGATATTAAAGTTAATATTGAGGAACATAATGGATGCACTGGTGATTTGTAGAAAATTACTCTTTTCTCTAGAAGTAGCAGTTTAAATAACAACAGGGCTTTGTGCTTCCACTGTAGTATAAAATCACGTGCAGATAATCCTAAAAACACAAAATGTTACAATAATTAAATGATATCAGTTGTGTATTTAAAGTGTGTATATTCTTATGCCGTCACTGCCTAGATGGTGCCAGAGTTTAGCATTGATGATCTGAGAAGAGAAATATGGATGTGTGTGGCGACCAAGTAACAGCACTAGATAGAGAATAAAGATAAAATAGAGAATAAACATATCTAAAATGAATTATATATCATTTGATAAGTATATCAATTATTGATAATAAGAATCAAAGGGTAAAACTTTTTTTAAAGATTTACATTAAAAATCAGAAGCAAACATCTTCAAACCAACAAAAATGTTAGCAAATAGCGTAAAATCAGCAATAAATCTAAAGAAACCATGTCAATTCTATTGATAAGCATTGAATTGACTGTATTCCCTACAAAAGATTAGCTGTTGCATAACACATTATTACCTAAGACAACTATCATATTTTATTCGAGAAACACAGGTGCCTTCTGGAATATCAATCTATTGTTCACTGATTTATAAAGCAGTCATTGAAATCATATAAATATAACCTGCATATAATGCTGTAGATAACTCTAACAACCCTCTCTTTGGGTTTATCGAAAATTCTAATGTGCATTTGTATCCATTGAGCTTAGTGGCAAATAAATTATATAAATAGCTTTACTTTTTTGAGGAGTAACTTGAATAAAGCAGAAAAACATTGGATAAAACCAATGATAATAATTGATAATAGCAGATTAAAGAGTAGCTCTGGTGCTAGGGTCTCAAGCTCTAGCAAACTACTCTGTTTTACTCAGATGCTGATCTAGCAGTGTTTTCTATTCTTAAAGTACCTTCTCCCTCTCTCTCCCTATAGAGGTTGTTAGTCATAATGGCTATTTTTATTTTTGAGGTTGCTAGTCTAAACAAATCAATCAATGTACATTGGTATTAATCACACAGATTCTACAACAAAGAAATCCGCTTTAGAACTACAGATCTTTCTTGAATATTTCCCTATATTAAGTCTCATTATTTTATATCTCAGCCCCGTTATTACAGCTCAGATATTTCAGTTTTTGTTTTTATATAAAGGTCATTAGTTCTGTTTCTTTTTGAATTCTCTTCAGCATGTCTTTATTTATGATTTTATCAGTCTATGATATTTTTACAATAATTTTTTATAGCCAAAGTTCAAAAGTCACCATCTATTCATTTATATTTTCTTCCTTCCTCCATCTCTAATAGTATATCTCCTACCTCCAGGATTCTTTAGCTTCTTGCCTGTTTTCTGTCGATCTTTCTTGTGGTTGTTTCAGTAATATATTTTGTGTATTATTTTACTTTTTATTAACATGCATAATTTGTTTGTCTGTTAGTGTTTTTTGCATATTATTTTTCTATTAATTTCTTATTTCATAATTTTCAGTACTCTTATGAATAACTATCACTATCATTAATCAAATAATTATAACTAAGGAAGAACACAGTGAAATTAATAAGTTATAAAATTTTTGTAAAATTGAAAGGACATACCTACAAATGGTTGCTGAATAGCATCACTTTGTGTCATAACAGCATTCAAATGATGATAAGTATCTTTCAAGATAGACACTTGACTGAAGTCTCCTTCATCAAAATAAGCATGTGTGATCAAACACATTTTGACTTGTATTTGTCCATATAAAGGAACTTTGCTAAGTACACAAACTGATTTTTGCACTGTACCTCTTGTTATATCTGAAGTTTTATTTTTGATTTTCTGAAAAAATAATTGGTCATTAATTTCTAACAATTTTTTTTCATGCGTTCAATAGTTTTTTATTAAAAATTAAAAGGGAAAATCACAGTGAAGAAAATTAGAAATTTTTACTTCATTGTGATTTTTTATTGTATATTTATTTAACTACTTTATTTTTAAGAGCATTTACTGTTGTAGATGTAGATGAACCAATAATCAAACATATAAGCAGCTAACTAAAATACTAGAAAATAACGAATAGTTTACTTTATTTTATCAATTTGTGATTGTTTTGGCTTATAGCTACAAACACTACAACCATTCGGCTGTACAAAACCAGTATGAAAAAAAAAATCTACAACACTACAGCTTATTTATTCCTGCAAGAAGATATACTGTTTATAATATTGTTATACAAATGATACAATGATAAAAATTTATATAAAAATGGCCCTCACCCACTCAGTTAACTAAGAAAAAAATATTGAAGGAAGGCACTTTCTTCTTCTTCTAGGTATAAATATTTGATAGACTTTACTTTATATTTAGACATAAATATGACACAACATTAGACAGCATTCAAGTAATTAATAAGAATTTACAAAAATTAAATTAATATTAAAATTAGAAAACAATAAATATTATGCTATGAATGAAATCTACAATAAAAGTGGCCATACTCCCAGACAGAAAAACTTGTAAGACTATAATACTGAGTCAACAACTTATAGCAAATTACATTGGTGCTTACCTCAACTGGTATCTGACGAAAACAAGAAATACCATACACAGTTTGCATTGGTTTTGTTAAACTTGGTAAATGAAAAAATACGGTATCTTCGTCGTAATTATGAGACCCATCAGGTAATGCCAGTGTCGGTAGATATTTCCATCCTGGAGGACACTCGTTAGGATGTCCCGGAACTAGCTCAGGGAATGAATATTCCACCTACACAAATTGTGCAACTGATAACAAAATTGCAACTACAAAATAAAACGTAGTTTCTTACCTGACATCCTCTTTTATGATGAAAACCGATTACCAATACGTATAAGATGGGACCGTCCTTCTCACCCATTTTGAAACAAGATAAATTTTATATAAAACATAAGAAAACGATCAAAATTAGCGATATCGACGTTCGAAGCACCGAAAGGCCATATTGATATTGAACGATGTTTGACAACTTTGACAGACGTTTATTTACTGATCGAACGTAGGTCATATACACCAGTAGTTCATTTGCCGCAGTATATTACAACTACTATAAAATTTTTGAAATTAAATATTTGGCTACAGACTTCTAAAATAGTGGCAAAAAAGAGTTGGAAAATGAGAGAGAAATAACAAGTGTGGCTTCGAAGCAAAAGAGAACATGGAAAATTTATTAACCCCCATTTACTGCCAAAAATACTCGCTTGAATGCACACTGCTAGCATTCGACACCAGGCTCATCGCTCAGAAACTATAGCTTTTCGGACACGAAAAAGGGGGTCTGCGTTAACGTGTTTGGCCTTTTGCGAAGCACAGAGTCATCCTGTAGTTATTTACAGGTCTTTCCATATTACATGCACATAATATGTTAGGCTAGGCGCACACACATCGAATTTGGACGGTCGATAGAAGTTCGATCGAAGTTTTGTCGATGATACTTTGCACACACACTACATGACATCTATTCGATGATGTTTGTTAATCTACAAAGGTTTGTTAGGTGGAGTACACAAAATCACAATAAACAACACAGAACTAGGGGGCGGCGTAGCTTGAGCAGTGTCCAAAAAACGTAACTGGTCCTCTGGTCGGTCGACAAAGATCGATGTGTGTGCATGCTTTTATTTGGCACTATTCGTCTTAAAAGGACAGCAACGTCACGGCAGCCATCTATGCAGTGGTATGGATCAAACGTCACACGGCATCGTTGCCGTGCTGTTTGGCGATCGATGCGTATGCATGCTCACATTGTTTCTTCGTGATACCAAAGGAATTTGTTGGATCGAACTTTTATCGACCCTGCAAATTCGATTTGTGTGCACCTGGCGTAAGTGATGTTTTAAGTAATTCAGTCGCACAATAATCGCTATGAAAACCAGATGGTATTTTTAAATATAAAGAAATACGTTAACTTAAGATACCAATGTATCGTGTATCAACCCGATCTTAATGGAGAATGAGAACATGTTTAAATAGACGAACAACTGGCGCATAACTCAATAAAAATGAATGCATTGCCATTGCACTCGGAGGAGTGCCGACAAAAGTTGTGTTTTCTATCTCCGTATATTCGTTATTCTTCCCATTACTTTTGCTATGTTGCATGTAAGCATTCGATCAATTGTTTATTTTTTACTCAGTCAGGTCCCTTCTTTAACTCAATAAATCAAAATTTGTCTTATAGTAAATCTATTTTCATCCATAGTGCTCTATATCTCGTATGCTTAAACAGCACAGTACGTTTTGAGTTCGTACAATTTTGGTACTGTACGTACATTTTACGTTTTAAGTACGTACACTGGGGTACATACCAGTACGTACTATTACCTCTTAAGTATGTACCATGAGAAAGAAGAGCTAACATAATTTATTTGGTTAGAAATTTTCCATCCCGAGTACAGTTTTGATGTGATAATTCATTGCAAGACGGTTTCATGTATGTTTTTTTACTTATTTTTGGTGTTGGTGCTTATAGTGTGGTTTCCTGTTATCTTATTCAGCTGAGTGTTTTTTAACTTACATAGTCATACTGAAAAATGTATTTTGTGGGCGATGGAGCAAGAAATTGGACGATAGTTGAGGAGAGCCGGGATCACTTAAAAACTTTCAAGGAAAAGAAATCAGAATAAAAATTGAATTTATTAAAAAAAAAAATAAAGATATATTCACCTATATCTACTTTTATTTACATAAATCATCATAAGTGTGTATAGTATGTACATAATATGTATATATAGTATGTACTAGGTACGTACCTTCAGTACCTACTAGGTATCTACCATCAATCGGAAAATGTAAGTCTTATGTACGTACTTCGTACAGCAAAGTAGGTACATTGTACATACTTTATGTCCCATCAGTACGTACTTAGTTTCTTATGTACGTACTTGTGCGTACTGGGATTATACATTAATTAATAACGAAGATGCTGTGTAGTGACCTTTTGGTAGTTTTTTGTTTTATCTTAATATTTAATTATTGTCCTTTTGGCAATGCCGCAATATTTGTTTTTTGTTATTGTACGTTACCCTCTCCCCTTTCCAACGAGACCTCATATGTCACAATCCGTCTAGCCGTTCTCGAGCTGTACAACTTTGCTGCCAAATTGTGTACCGATGATGGTACACAATGTGGCTACAACAATCTGTCGTAGATCGTAAAAATCACGCAGAAATGTCATTTGAGTTGATATAAATCTCACAAAGTAACAGAAAGGTACTAGAAAGAACATAACAAATACATACATGCCAAGTATTACCACCAGTGCAGCTGCTAACATTTTACCACACAGAATCCTTTATAAATAAAACAATAAAAGAAAACAATAAACATTTATTCCATAAACACTTTCAGTTCATTTAGTTAATTAAAAAATTATAAAATTGTAAAATTATAGTTTTGCCGTTGTTGTTTGGCAAGATTTAACAAACAGAGAAAATAGTTTCTACTTTGTAGGTTTACATAATATGTCAATACTGTTGATTCCACAGAAACGTCAACTTCACTATTAGGACCTGGCGAAGAAAGAGGTGACACATCGAAATTCGATTGGTCTGGTAAATCACTAGCTTCCGGTAGGTGAAGCACTCCCACTGTATTTTTTACATATTCAGCAACTCTTGCTCGGCTAACCGGATCCATTTCTACACTTTCTTCCTCCATAGTTGGCGTTTTAAGAGGAGGATTTAACTTAAATATTAACAACGTTGGATCATTGCTGGGACAAACAGTCAAATCTGAAAGATTTATAACACGTTGGGTTGAGTCTGTCTCCAAATTAACCACGATTAGGCTTTCCAGGGTAAGGATCAGAGCTATGGCTTCATACTGGGCGTTAGAAATGCTCGTTGCCTCTGTGACGTACAATAAATGTGATGGAGTCAGTGCTTGGATATTCTTCCAACTGTATTTTAAAAGAGAATTGGCATTTTGATTAATTTTATCTATTGACGGACTATTCCTTGGTTCGGGAAGCGATGTCCAGCCAGCACCTTGCAGGAGACCTTAAAATAATATTAATTATTATCACGTTTAATTATCATTAAAATATTAAATTTATAATATACTAAAGTACTTAGGACAATTGAGGCGTCTCATAGCAAAACAGAGATGAAAACAAAATAGATCAAATACTAAATATGATAAAAAATTAACATTAGAGTTACCAGAATTAAAAACTGATGTAAAAGAAGTAAAAACGGAACAAAAACAATACAGGGAAGAAATGAGAGAACTCAGAACTGAACCAGCAGAACCAAAACAAGAGAATAGTGAAATCCGGAAAGAATATGAACAAATCAAAAAGGAACTAGGATACAATAAGAAAAGTAAATAATGTGATACTACAGGGAAAACTGCTATTTCACCTAAAATTTTTCAAAACAGATGATTTTCCAAAGTTATTGTACGTTATTCTCAAATTTTCGTAACAATAATTACTTTCCTAATTATCTACTGCTATTATTGAAATGGCAAGATTATAAATACCTTGTCCTGTTAGTGCTACAAGCTCTGCAGCTCCACTTAAAGGCTTCGTAACCATCCCAACAAGACCCAAACCTACGCCTGTAACCAAAGATCTCGGAGAAGCCCCATCTGACATCATTGATTGAAGGGGATGGTGCGATACACCTCCGATTGCTCCTAGCAAGCTGATACCTAACCCGGTCAAACCCTAAAAAGATATAAATATATATTAAAATACCAGGATAAGTTTTTTTTTTAACAAAACGTACCTGTAAAAATCCTTGAGCTAGTCCTTGAGGTCTCATTCGCCTCTCTTCTTCTTTTCTTCGCACATGTTCTTCATCTAGCGTTAACCGGTCTAGATTTCTAGCTACACTTGAAGCCATTTTCGTAACTGATTGTAATGTACCAGCAGTTATATGTCTCATCAACGAAGCAGAACCCTGTGTAATACCTCTTAGAAAAGCCATTGGTCCGACAACCAAACCTGAAAGATAAAAATTTCTATTTTAATGAACTTAATCACCTATTTTTAATTTTCAAATCTTTTTGGTCTTAGCCTTTTGATATACACTACAATCCTATACTTATACTACAATCAGCGTTCGTACGGGTAGAAGATAGTGAGACAAACTAGGTAGAAATTCAAAGAGGAATCAAACAAAGATGTGTGCTGTCGCTACAATTATTTAATGAGTACTCCCAACTAATATTTCAGGAGGCTCTAAAGGAAAAAACTGAAGGTATAAGTATTGGAGGGAACATCATTAATAACATAAAATTTGCAGACGATATCGCAATTATGGCAAAAAATATAGACGATTTACAAATGCTTGTAGAAATCATTAGAAGAGAAAGATATGGATACCGTAAACCGGAGTTACATTGCCCTGTTTTTAAAGAGGTCTCTGAAGAATCTTTAACAAAATGTTTATAAAATTGAGAGATATCTTTATTTACTTGAATCCTACTTGTAAAGAATACTTTAAACAAGTATGGTTTAAATAGTTTAAGCTCAAAAATAACGAATTATTGTTTTTTTTTTCATTTGAAATGTGGGGCAAAGTTTCCCATAGCCAAAGGTTACTTTGCCACACATCATAAAATAACGTCTAATCAGTAGTTTTTACATCACTGGTGCAATATTAAGCATTTTTGCTTAACGTTGAACCAGTGATGTAATCAAGTTAAACACATTTTGTTTAATGTTCCCCATCTCACAAAATAAATTAAAAAAACACGGAAAAAAAATGTGTATTGTTAACTGTTAAATGTTGTTAACTTTTTTGTAAGAAAGTACTTTTTTGCGTTGTACCAAAATGTGCAACTGCATATTTTTAGTCACTGTACGAACAAGCCAGCGCAGGCAACGAAAAGTTAATCCTTTTCGTTACTTGTTTGGGAGGTTTAATAGATCCAAGAACATCGGACCAAGAGTATGTAAGTTAATCTTTCTTTGGAGGCCACTTCCATATTTTTAGCGATTTTTGCATTGCATTAATTGTAACTTCATCAGTGTTAAAGAAGCTTCGAGCTTCAAGTATTTAAAGAAATGCGGATTCTACAATATCTGTATTGTTTTAACTTCGAGATATATGCGTTAAACTTCCTCAACATTCAAAGGAAATATCCCACATTTGCGAAAACCGGATATCAAATTATCTTTTTGATGGTTGGTGCAATCATTTCCATCAATTTTACTAACAGTGGTGGGAAGTTCTGTTTCTGAATATTTGTATTTTTAATGCCTTCTTCGGTATCTTTCTAGTCCGATAGCACTTTTTTCCAGGCTATTTTAACTGGGCAAAAAAATGGCACGTCTACAGGCTGAGTTAAGTGTGTGCTATTGGGGGGTAAACAAATTAGGCTTACTTGGTTGTCTTGACATAATTTGAGCGAATGAACTATCAAATGAGAAGAAAGGTTGTCGCATATTAGGATTTTCTTTCCTTCTAATTTTCTTGGCCTAGGTATCATTTGAAACTCCAGCCAATCAGTAAATATACTGATATCAAACCACCCAGAAGAACTAGCGTTATATCGACATCCTTTTGGCTCATTTTCTGTCCACGTGGTCCACATCTTGCTGGCTTGATAAATAATATATGTGGAGGCAACAGTTCGTCAGCCGCATTTCCTGCGAACATGACGGAAATTGATGACTTCGATGCATTTCGAATTAATTCAGGATACTTGCAACCTTTCTTCACGTGTACCTTCGGTGGTTAAATTTTCAAAGTAGCTCCTTATCATTGTCTCATTTACTGCGGCTCTCGCACGCTTGACATTCTCAGCGAAGCGTCGGGATATACCTGGATGTCTGTTTATAGGATATACCTGGATAATAAAAGATTTGGCCCATTCTAGACCAGGCAAAATATTCTGGAAAAATACAGGAAAGCCAAACTGTGTCAATGCAACAATACACTGAACAAAATCTTCTTTTTCTTGTAAATAAAATTAGGGCTGTTTTCCAGGTTTCCTTAGGTATCTTCCTTTAAGTTTATTTAAAATTGTTCTTCTTGATATGTTGTACTTTTTCTCTGCTTCTCGGTGTGAAATTTCTCCTGATTTTATTGCATTCTAATGTTGAAAGCCCAATCCATAAAAAATTGGAAGCCTTCGAAATGTGGTTATATAGGCGTATTCCTAAAAGTTCTTGGACTGCAAAAGACTCAAACGAAGAAGTCTTAAGACAAATTGGATATGGCAGAAAGCTTATGAACACAATTAAAATAAGAACATAACATCGTATTTGGGCTGATACGATGTTTACTTCGAAACAATAAATACTCTCTGCTACACGTCATTAAGCAAAAAAGAGTAGAAGGAAGAAAAGAAATGGGAAGAAAGAAGAAATCTTGACTGAGGAACATCAGAAATTGGGATAGGAAGCGTTTAAAAAAGTGATGAGAAGTTTTGATTAAACCATGTACTGATTTGTGCTTTAAGCTATTTTTTCTTTCCCGGTTTGTCTTAGTTCTATTCCAACAATTTCCTGATAGCACTAATTTTTATTTAATATAATTCACTATACATTTTATAACTGTCAACTGTTTGCTGAAATTAATAAAGGGCTTTATATCATTTTCCTTTATTTACTTTTACAATATGTAGTAGAAAAGTCCATTAGACTTTTCTACTACATATTTGCTCTTTTATCTTCTACGTTTAAAAATTTTAAACAAATGCAAACTTACCTCTGTAGGGCAAACTAACAAAGTCTCTTAAACCCGTTCCCATTGCTCTAGCAAGACCACCAGGACTACCAATAAGTTCTAAGGAGCTGACTACCCATCCAGCACCGAATATTGCTCCAGAAAGATAGTGCATGGTCATCGCATGACCCAATCTACAAATATAAGTAACCTATGAATAGTCATAATATACGAAGGAAGAATAGTATTGAAAATATGCTTTGTAAAATAAATACAACAATATCCAAATTTGGGTCTGTAATCAAAGATCTAGGTGAAGTCACATTTGGCATCACTGATTACAAATAGCCAAGATGTATATAGTACGTATAGTTAGAAATGTAAAAGTAAGTAAGAAAACAACTAACAAGATCAAAATAAATAAATACCTGTAGGGTGTGGTGAAGACCCTCTTTCTTTCGAATTTTCCAAACTGTAACGGTGATTGGTCTAAAGCTATATACATTTTTATAGATGAATGTATCGACAATAGGAGGGATATTGGAGCTATGTTTAAATTTCTTACTGTTAAAGGCCTCGCTAGTATCGCACACTGCCAACTAACAATCTCTGGTACACTTACCTAAAACAAAATATTAATTACCTAGTTGATTAATTACCGCGAGATGTACGAGTTTAGTGCGTGGCAATATCATATCTTGTATCCTTATATCATGTTAATGCAGCAGTAGATCACGATCTTATTGCAACCGTGATTCTTACAAAGCAAGTCTTTGTTTTTTGCAGCTCATTGGCAGGTTTGTTCTGCCGAACCAATGCAAAATACGTAATTATGACGTTATGGTACGAGATCCCACAGCAAGATCACTATATTCATTAGGTAGTTAATCAAACTAATGGCGGCATCACACTTCGCTATTTTTTATTCATTATGCGCCATATTCGGTTGCATAAGACGAAGTGTGGAGGGTACATTCGTCAATTATTTGCTTTATTCACACGCATAGCAAATATCCGAATAGCAAAGACGCTTATTCATCCCTTTGTCGGTTCTTTGATACACTTCAAAGAACGCGAATAAGCCGAATTTTTAATGTATGTGTCGACTGACCACACTTCGCTCGCACCGGTGATTATCTCGCTATTATCGTAATCTAACTTTACTGTAATTATCGTTATTATTGAACCATTAATTCAATCATATGTGTTTATACACAACTATCGTACGTATTGCGCTTTGATTTATGGTGTATTTGATAAGTCCATGTCCATTTAGGTTCTGTCAAACATGCATGGCGCAAATATTTGACATGTTTGGCCTGCCAGCACAAGTATTTGTTATTCTTTGAATATTCTACGAATAAGAATTATTTGGTCGAATATAACGAAACCGCATAACAAATAACACATAGTTAAGTGTGGTGCTGCCATTTTAAATTGTGAATTCGTGTGAAAATAATTAATATATATGTCAACAATAAAAATTGGCGACTACTGTTGTCTTTGTGCTCTCGTGCATTTTTAAAAATGAATGCAAAGTGTAAAATTTTCATTAGCATTTCCTATTTCCTTTACATACTTTTATTAAACAGAATTAGTCTGTATCGAAAATAGTATTTTTTTCTAATAAAATTTATTTCTAAGCCAAACTAGAATAATGTTTATACCATCTTATTTCTATTAAGAGTTCTTACTAAGATTACTTACCGACCCAGAAGTACCATTTAGTTTTAACGGTATTTTTTTATCGGGCCACATAATTAATTTTGTTGGTATGAATACGTAAAAATAGTCCATCAATCTCGTCAAATATCCATCCTCCACGAAACAAGAGATTGGATTAATAACAATCTGTAACGACTTTACTCCTAAAACAAATTTTTGATTAGTTATATCCTGCTTTATGCTGACTATAATATAAATAATTTATTGGTTTTTTAGATATATCTATCAAGAATTTATATACTACATATTTATTTGCAAATGTACAAGTCGTTAACTTAAAATATCAATGCTTTTTATACTATAAAATATTTGCCGTTTATTAAATTTTTATATATTCGATTTCACCTATAACATAGTTGGAATTTTAAACGTTAGTCCTTACTCACACTGTAAAATGAACAGTAAGTTGCCTACATTTGGCGGAACTCATCAGCGTACAATAAAAGTAATTTATTATAATAGGAAACTTATGTATGCAAAATGTATATTCTATAACTAAATATAAAAATAAAACAAACAACGCACAATATAAAAATATTGTCGAAATTGCTGATTTCTGTATAATTTTTAAATGACAGTTCACAGTAGACAGTTTGTTTTATTCAGTAGGTCAGATGTATCCTACATATTGACACGCAGACATTTTTTTTGTCAATGTCAATTGATCTAACCAAACTCTACAGGAATGATAAAAGCCGTAGTAAACAAAGATACAAATTAAATTATCAATCGATTGCATTTTTAATATAGTACATTTAAAAATGGCATATATTTTGCGCCCTGATGATTCAGAAAGCGATTTCTCAGACGACGATTATGTTACCTATGAAGATGAAAACCTTAAAAAAAATTCTCACGAGCCAAAAATCCTTACAGAACGGGAGAAAAAAGAGGAACAAAAACGACAATTATACTATTTAATTTGCCGCGGTGAATGCGAGAGTGTTGTACAGATACTACAGGATGGATTGGATGTTAATACAGTTTTAGATAACAGTTGGACTCCTCTTTTGATAGCTGTCTCTAGTGGCAATGCTGAGTTATCAGAAACTTTATTAAATCTAGGAGCTGATGCAAATTCATTTAGAGATGGCTGCACTGCTCTCATGTTAGCATGTAATTGTCCTAGAGAAACATCTCCATATACAGAATCTTTAAAAATTGTAAAACTTTTGGTGGAAAAGGGGGCCAATGTTAAAGCAACCAATAGAAAAAAGATGACTGCTTTAATGTTTGCAGCTGATGCAGGAAATCTACCAGTTGTGAAGTATATTTTACCTCTTTCTGATAAAGATGCCCAAGATAATCAAAAATGGAATGTGTTATTCTGGGCTGTGAATGGTAATAGTGTCGACTTGGTACAATTTTTGTTAGAAGAAGGTTTTGAGTATATGGTTTCTGATATAAGAAATAACAGTCCTTTAGATATAGCTAAAAATAATGGTTTTACAGATATTATTAATTTGTTTCCACAAGAAACTGATTATGAAATATTAAATATAATTGATAACAATATGTTGTCATTTGAAGAAATTTTTAAGAAATCAACATTGAATAATGATAGGCAACCTGATTTCTTCATTGAAATTTGTAACATATTGTGTGGCCTTAAAAGTGAAAAGCTGATCAAACATTTTGCTGATAAAAACATAAATTTAAAGCAATTCTTAAGTATGAATAATTCTGAACTTGAAGATATTGGAATTAAGATGCCCTATCAAAGATATAGAATTTTATCAGGACTACACAAATTTCACAAACATCCATACCATCCAAAATCTATGCATATTGTACCCCTCAATGAAACTTACAGCAACTTAGATGTTGGCGTACAACTGTTATCTGCGATCAAACAGATTACTGTTATGGAGGCTGGATTGGAGTATATAATAAAGAACTGTGATACTGAAGATATGTCAGAAAAGGAACTTGAGACTCTAGGAAAGAATTTAAACCGTATCAGAAAGAATATCAGACAGTATAGTAGGTTTACTAAGAAACTTAGCGATAAGACTAAAATGTGGGATAGACAGAGAGCACCTGCAGATTTAATAACTAAAAGCTCTTATATGCGGAAATGGCCATGGAGAAAAATATTCTTTTCAGTATCTATTGTATCACTACTGGTTTTATATGGATTAAAGAAATGAAGTTTTGTGTAAATTACTGTGTAATAATATTGCTGACTTTAAATATATTTTTGTACTAGCTTTGTAATATAAAAATCTGATTTTTTGTATTGATTTTGAAATTTGTTAACCATATTCTGAAACTATTGAAATTTATTGTGTTATCTCATTGAAATTTTATATAGTTGACAGGGAGACCCAATTTTGTTGACAATGTATTGAAAGTTATCAGTGAAATATATCAATTTAAGAAATATCTTTCAATTCTTTTTAATGCAAGTAGTTTTTAATACAGCACAGTTGAAGCTAAAATTAAGAAGTACGACCAATTAAGCTTGATATTATGTTCAATTTAACCTGCATCGTGAAAATCCTAATTACATATTGATCTTTTTATAAACAAAGGATCTTCTTCTTCTTCCTTCTTGTATGCAGGCTTTAAAGCCTGTTTCTTCTTCAATATTAGCGTCCTAAATTGTTTAAATTGTTGCACCATCTTTCCTTGGTCTGCCAATACTTATTCGTCCATTTGGTGACTTATCTCGTGCTATTCGTACTATTATATTCTCTGCTATTCTACTGATGTGTTTGTTCCACTAATGTTTTCGTTTTGTCACCCATCCATTTATGTCTTCTATATTGCCATGCTCTTCTTATATTTTCGTTTATTTCCCTATCCAATGGACTTTTCCCTGATATGCGTCTGAGTATTTTTATCTATGTTGTTTCTAGTAGTCGTCTCATTTTAGATGTGTCAGGTCTTGTCTCTGCCGTGTATGGTAATATAGGTCTAATTGCTGCTTTATAGATTCTTGTTTTTGTGTCTTGTCTTAGGTGTTTGTTCTTCCAGATTGTGTCATTAAGAGCAAAGGACGAAAACAGAAATCAAGGAGGGAATGATATTTTTTTAGATGCAAAAAATCAAAAGGTCTGACCATCTGACTGTCAAACATATTACATTACTAAAATAATATTTCAAGTGTGAATTATCTAAGACTAAAAATCAAATACAGTCTTCTGATGGTCTAGCCTGTTAAAGTGTTCAACTCATCGTAAAATCATGAAATTTCAAATATAGGGATACATAAAAAAAATTTAGTCATACAAAACATGATACAAGTCAAAAAAACTAAAACTTTATGAATTTTATTGTATCCTTCAGTGTTTTTATTTTTCGGTTTTCGCCTGCTTTCCATTAGTCCCAATATTTCATCAGTCATCCATTGTTGTTTGCGATTATTAATAGTTTTATACTTTTTAGTTGTTTCTTGCATAATGCGTTTGACATGATTCCAGTGGTCTTCGACGTTATGTGTTTCTTTCAATTTTTTTAAAAATTTAAAAGTCATAACACTAAATAATTCAAGTCCATTAAAAAATCTGAAGGGAGGTTTCACTTACCTGTAGTGTTGCTCATTACATATTTATCCCTCCACGTTTCTAATGCTAAATCAACTATTAACAAAGCATCCTCCTCCGAATTTTGCAATAAATTTTCTATAGGAATGTTTAGAGAAGGCATTTTGTTTGACTCTTTCACATCTTGTCCAACCAACAAAACTGGAAAGTCGTAGGACTCTCTAGAATATAACTGATTGTCAAACTGAACAGCAGAAACTGAGAATTTTACTTTCATTTTCTGGAAAAAGGTTTAAAGAATATCATTAAGAAACAGTTATTTAATTAAATAGTTTACCTCAGTCTGAGTGGCACAAACTACAATATTATCACAGATGAGACTAGCCACTTCCCACCTTTCTGTCCCTTCTATCTTGAGGTCCGAAATAAATATCACAGAAAACGATTTAATAAAAGCATTCAATTTCATACAATTCCATGTTTCTTTCATAGGTAGTGTGTTAACTAAGAGAGATTTAGTTTTAGGCGATAATAGGCCAAGACTTGAACCCGATGATCGTCGTTTTGATTTTGTAGATTCATCTGAAGAACCATAATCACTGCAAGAAGAGTTTTGTCTTGTCTTTATAGATGATCGTCGTCGAGCACCCGATTGTATAGCAGTGTCGGATAAGAACCGAGGTACCTCTTCTCGAGAGTACAACTTTGGCAGTTGAAGAGTTTCCTGAAAAAAGTTTATAAATTTAAAATCAACATCTAAACATTTGAAATTCTTTAACTTGAAAGGAAAATGTACAGTGATGATTCTCCTTGAATTAGCATTAATACTTATTTATTTAATACACAACAGAAGAAATATAATTCAGTAGCTAATTATTAATAATATAGCTTGTTCCAATTCTATTGAGTTTACGAGAAAACTTATAAAACATGTTTTTACATTTAAGTGGAGTTTGTTCTGATTGCACCAATTTTGTAATCGGTCTAAGTCATCTTGTAGCAAAGCTTGATCTTTTAAGCTATCTATAACTTTTCAAAATTTCAAGTCATCTGCCAACATTAGACATTTGCTATTTAGGAAACAGAAAGTGATGTCGTTAACGAAGATATTAAAAAGAAGTGAAGAAGTTGGCCTCCTTGAGGAACTCCAGATGTTACTAAGATATTGTCAGACAGATGACAACCTATCTTGACTCTTTGACTTCTCCCAGATGTAGAGTTTTTAATCCATTCAAAATCTGATATGAAAGTCTACATTAATTAATTTGCCCAAAAGTATTTGGTGATCTACACGATCAAATGTTTTGGAAAAATCTGTCTATATTGCATCTACCTGTTTACAGTCTTCCATATGAGATAATATATCAGATTGATACCAAATCAAGCTTGTTGCAGTGGATTTTTTTACTACGAAAACCATGTTGTGATTGAGATATTACGTCTTTACATAACCAAGAAAGTTGCTTTGCTATAAGACAGTCGAAGAGCTTAGGGATTGAAGATTGTATACAAATGCTACGATAATTTTCAACATTGTCTTTCTGATCATTTTTAAATATAGGAACGACATAACTTTCTTTCCATGAAGAAGGAAATGTAGAGGTTTCCAGAGATCTATTAAACAATATAACAAATGGTATTACAGGGGTACAGACCCGCTTTTTTAATAAAAAATTAGACACTCCATCTGGATCAGCAGTAAGCTTATTGGGCAGTTCATTTATGCCATTAAAAATATCAGTTATGGTAATCTTAGACGGACAAACATTTGTACTAAAGCTGCTATTTAATGGATGGATAGGTAAGTAAAGGTTGTTGTTATTTGGTGAATTTACAGTTTGGAAGAAGTTCATAAATAAATTAGCTATGTTCTGACCATTTGTTGCAGATTGGACTTGATAAAATAAGTAGTTAGGTAGGTTATGACTAGATCGCTTATCATTGATGTACTTTCAAAATTATTTTGGATAATTTCTTAGGCCAGTATCTATACCGTTAATATGGTTGCTGAAGCAAATTTCAGATAGTTGTTTGCATTCAGCTCTTAGATGGGAAAATCTAACATAAATATAGTGAGTATTTTTTTTCTCCAGAGTCAGTCTCGTAAGATCAGCGGAGAACCAATTGGGAAAACCTTTTTTAATGTTCTATATTTCTTCAATGGCACAAAGTAAGCAATTCTTATAGAGAGAACTTCATACAATAATTTTGTCCCAACATCAATATTATTAACCATACATACCTGTCAGTCTATGGAAGCAAGGAATTTGTAAAGCGCAATGCAATCGCCAGTTCGAAAATCATAAAACAACTCATTATAAACCAACTTATTTCTATTTGTTTCTTTCACCTCGAAGATTAAGCAACATTAATAACCCACATGATGGATCTACAAAGGGATCACTTGCTTTTAAGATATTTAGCTCCCTAACATTAGAAAAAACCAAATCCAAAGATACATTACGATTATTGGGAATATTATTATGTTGATACAATTTTAAAAAACCAAAGAATTGAGCAACATTCACAGCTGGATCATCTGCAGGACAATGCACCATTACACCAAACTCATTCTCCCATGATGGTTTGGGAAGATTGTAATCACCAAAAACATATATATTCTGTGCTGAGTTGACAATACTAGTTGTATACTTCGAGAGGTAATTGTGGAGGTATGTTAACACCACCGACCACAAACTTGAACTTTATTACCTATTACTATTAATTCAAGCCCCCATACTAGTTTTTACTTAGATTCCGCTGATATAGTACTTTTCTGGACAGATTTTGGTACACACCAAAGAACATACATGATAACCAGCAGAGTTGGGCATTGCTTTGATGAGTTTATTGAAACCTTTCTGTAACTTTAACCTGCGAGATTTTTGTCATCTCGTATTAGAAAATAGGTTCTATCATCGTTTCTTAGAGTCTACAACAGTACAACAGTCAAGCTTATCGCATCTGTTGACCAGATAATAACTACATGAGTTATTAATGAATGACCGAGAAACTTTGATCCTATGAAATTCTATGGAATGTTTTTGTATGATTATATAAGCCGGTTTGTAAATAAATAGTGTAAATAAAGCAAACGATGAATTTAATTACCGTTACATTCATAGCAGAGGTGGGATTTTCAATAAAATAATTTATAAATAAAAATAAATTGTAACAGAAATTTTTGAAGTAAAGAAACTGGACCTTTGAAGAGTACTCAGCACATCGAATAGTCATTTAGTGACTATATTATTTAAGATTTTGAACAAACAATTTTTAAAATTCGCAAGCTGTTGAAAATGCTGCTAAAGGAACTGTTGTTCCAAAAAAGTTCTTTAAGAATGATTAAAGGAAGTCCTCATCGCCAGTAAACACAGAAACATTTGTATTTCAGTCATCAGACGAGGCAATTATGAGAATGCTCCTATGTGTGCATCTATATTAAGCTACAAGAGACAAGACTACAACTTTGTGTTATAATGTCGGTAACACTGCTACACGAGCTGTTTTTTACCACAATCAACAGAAAAATCATCCCTTACTTCATCAAAGTCCATTCGAAACTAGAAAGAAACTATTGCATTACCTTGGAAGAACTTGGAGTCTACTGGAGCCAATAGAATCGCCTGATATTGAGAGGTGATGGCGAGGCATCAAGTGAATACTTTGGTATTAAGAAATCATTGCAAAACGTTCAAGAACGGTTCTATTGGGTGAATTGTACAGCAAATGTAAAAATATGATGCCGAAAATTTCAATTCTGCGCAACGTACAATGATCGAGTTGGTAAAAAAGGCACCCATAAAACAGTACAAGTTGATAGTCGCATTGAAATCTGCTTTTTGTTCAGCAGTATATATACAATAATAAAATATTGACTTACCGAATGTTTTTCTCCTACACCTTCACTCTCGCGCAAGCTGAGTCGTACACGAATATCACTGGCACTAATTTCCATCTAAGAATAAAAAAATAAAAAATATATCTTTGGTATACACTGGCAAACAGTTAGGAACAATAAATTAAAGTTTGGAGATATGATTCAAGTAATTCCTCAATATGATCTCAAAATATACCAAACACTGTAGTGTACATACCGAGTCAACAACACTATCTTAAAATTAGAAATACAGCAAAACTGATCGACGAATAGTGTTTCTCTATAAACATAAATTAAACTGGCATTATACTATCATTCTTTGTTACAAGTTTTGCAATATTTTCATTAATTTTTTGATCAGCAATTACATATATCAATCCCATTTCTAGTGAGGCTTTTCGTATATATACCAAAATTTTTATTCATTGCTTAGTTCTTGTAACTTTTGATCATTTTGACTTATCTTGAATGCCAATAATTTACAATCTTATTCTTTTAACTGCATGCAATGACTACATTGTGACTTGTTCGTGTTAAGTTGCAAGATCCAAGATACTAATTTTAAAATTAAAAGGATATGAACGTTCAGGTAGCAAACATCATGTACAACTGAGCCCAGACAACCGATAAAAAAATGGAAAGTGGTAAAAAAAGGGGCCAGTATTCCAATCCGACGCATGAAGTGGCATAAAGATAAGACAAGAAGAAAATGTTTCAAAATAGAATAAGTAAACTCAAATAAAGAGTTTAAGAGTAAAGAGAGATAAATCAATTCAAAAAGCCAATCTAAGCTTATATATTCGTAATCTTATAATAAATTTATATCATAGTATTGTTAACTATAAAAGACTTTATTACCTCACTAGCAGACTCCAGTATCAAAAATGTTGTACACGCTGTATTTACAACTATTATTTGAATATCTCCGTAGAAAGGTATTCTTAGGTACTGCTCGTATTCGTGTGTTAAGCTAAAGTTTGTTGACCACTGAAAATCATTATCTGAAAATAAAAAAATATTTACCAGGTACTAATGACAATTAGAATCAACACTGAATAATAACATATTGCTCATGTAAATTACGGATAATCTAAAAAAAAATATTAATAAAACATGTTCTAGTATATAAAGGGTGTTTCAAAAAGGTATGCCATAAATTAAATCACGCATTCCGGTTACAAAACTAAATTGATTGAATCGAACTTAGCTTAGTACAAAACTGTACACAAAAAAGTTACCGCCCTTTGAAGTTACAACATAAAAATTGTGTTTTTGCATTATCTCCTAAACTATAGTCCCTGCAAGCACTCTTGACCACGGCGCAGTAGACGAAATTTGGTTTAGTTTCCACTTCCATGCGAAACGCACCGTACTATGCAACGTGAAAATATTGACTTAAAATTTTTAGTTCTGTTTCTGACTTTGAGGTGTTAACTTCAATAAGTTTGTGTGTTTTCTCCCGTTTACCTGTTGCGTATTCAAATTTATTAAAAGCGGTCAAAAGGTAGGTACTTTATCATAAATTAAAATACATAGGGGCGCATTAAGGAAATTTTAATAAAATTTTTTCATTTCTTTTTTGTTTTGAGACTAGTGCAAAACAAAAATTACTTGCAGTCTGTTTCAATTATTCGGTTAATATTTGATATTGGAAAATCTTTTTTTTAAACTACTTCATATGTTACGATTTATGTTGATTTGAGTTTATATATTTTTGAAATCTTTATTTTTTTAAAATATTTTTATATTTTGAGATGATTAATTGAAAAATTTGAAAAATGAGATTAATTTCCAAGGTAAACTATCGTCGTTCAGAAAAGTCTTGAAGAAATTAGGTTTTAAATGACAAAAAACAAATGACAACCGAAAAATACTCATGGAAAAACGGATATTCGAGCCAAACGAACCGAATATCTAAAAAAATATAGAGCTGAGCGTTATGATGTTATCTACACTGATGAAACGTATCTCCACAGCAGCAACCTTTTAAGGAAATCCACGTATAGGTAGGTAGAACCTAATTATTGTTCTATTGTTTCTAATTGTTCTTACCTAACCTCATTGCAATTCCTAGTAATCTCTGATTTCTGGTAGATATGATGTATGGAGAATTCCAAACAAATTATAAATCAATCATTCGCATTCAACAAATCAGTAAACAAATTATCACTAAATCAAATTATTCGCTGTACCCTTTTTTGAATATCGTTTAATTTACCGTCCTAAATACACTTATAAATAAATAAAAAAAATAGTTAATTTGTAAATAATTTGTAAGTAGGTACAACTGTTTAGAAATTTTAAAAATAAATTATTAAATTAAATGTGTATTAGTTATTCATCTCATAATATTAGTTATATTTCTCAACTTAAAATAAGAAATTGAAAATATAAACTTATAAACAATAATTTTGCAATAAATAATAGGGCTTTTTCCACGTTTAATACCGAAAGTTGAGTTTAAAATACCAAATTAAAGCCAGTTTTTAAAAAAATCCACAAGGAAAACAATTCCTGTAGCTGGCTGTATACCACGTATCACAAAAAAGAGGTTAGTCTTCGTAAGTGGGTATATTTATTTAAAAACCCTTAAAAGGGCTACATAAAAAAAAACAAACGTTTTCGGACTAAACAGTCCATCATCAGGTTTTAAAATCGCTAGGTTAAAATGCCTGAGCCACCAAAATACATGGGTAAAAACCCTTTAAATTACATATAGTTATAAAAGATTGCACCGTGCAATTTTTTATTTATTACTCAGTCCAACACTGGAATTATTTCGACAATTTCGAGGTTGCAGTCGAAGGTAGAACGTTTTAGTTTGGTTAGTATAATTCCACTTACAATAGAAACTTTCTGCCTTTACATGAATTTTGACTCCGCCTTCGCGCAGCTACATGGTCAAGAGTACTTGCAAGTACTATACTTGACATTTTGTAATAAAAATGGATACGTTACTTTCTTGTTCTGAAAGCATTTTTCATAAAAAGAAACAACAAAATCTAAGCGAACATAAAAATTTTAAGGGGATGTGCAGCCTTAAATCCCCCAAACTTTTAAGTATATTCAAATCAAATGAATTTTGTGGCATAATTAGTTTAACACGTTATTTTTAAAAAAAATTTGCGTCTTATCACTTTTTTCAAAAAAAAGTTTTTATTGAGTTACGACCTTTTTCATATTAACCATTAAAAATTACGTGCAACTAAATAAATGGCTTAAATGAATTAACAAGTACAAAAAATACCTATAACCTCTATAAATATGATATTACAATAAATGTTCAAAATGATCCCTATTTTCTTTTATACACATTCGGTATCGTTTGAATAAGGAAAACCAAATGCGCTCAAAAATCATATTTTTCTGACGAAATTGATTTGCAACTTGAATTATTCTAACCCTCAATTGTTGTTTGTTCTCTATTGTTACAGAATACACTTTCTCTCTCATAAACCCCCAAAAGCAAAAGTCCATTGGGTTAAGACCTGGACTTCTGGGTGGCCAAGAAATAGGTGCGTCACGACCCCTTCCAATCCACCCACCAGGATACTGCCTGCAAAAGAATTCCCGGACTTCATTACTGTAATGCGGTGGAGCGCCATCTTGTAGAAACCACATATTTTGCCTTATTGCAATATTCACTTACAATAGTTTGCCAAGAACTGCAAATAATTATCACCATTTAGCACAATTCCTGCCCAAAAATTAACTTTGAAAGTCCTTTGGTGATGAGTCGTTTTTTGGCGTGAGGATTTTCGTCGGCCCAAATGTGCTCGTTATGATAGTTTGTTATTCCATTTCTACTAAAGGTAAACAAAATATTTCTAATAAAATTAACACTTCGAGTGTTTTCCATTAACAACCAATCGCAAAATCCAATCTTTTTAGGATAATCTTCAACAAATAACTCTTGAACCGTTGTTAAGTGCTAGGGTTTAAGCAGCTGATCCTTCAAACGAATCCAAACCCGTACGATGGGAACATTTAGTTGAGCAGCTATTACCATTGTATTTCGATTATGGTATTCTACTGCATAACGCTTGCGGCTGCTGCATTATTTCCTTGACATTCACCTAGGATATTCCCGATAGTTTATTTAAATCCTAATTTAATCTGATCCAACTTACCCAAAGTTAAATGCATAACTGCCATTTCCTGAAATGTGTAGGCCATTGTAATATCAAAATTTTTAATATTAATCCTATTCACACAATAAATGATAGCTTCAAATTATTGACTATTATTGATGGAACTGTTTGTAATTATTGTATCCATAGAAACTAATTGTAATTTTATGGACAACTAGAAATTTTGTCCCCGGAATGCGTGATTTAATTTATGACCTTTTTGAAACACCCTGATATATACATATCATTTCACGTTCAGAGCTTCTGTGAATATCCGCTCCGAAGATTCCTTGTACGATGAAATACATATAAGTGGATATACAGAGGCACTATACGTGAAATCAACTCTTAACTGTCTTTCTTTTTTTCTGATATACTCTTTATTCGCCCGGGATTTTTGCTTAGTTGAAGAGATATATTGTGGAATGCAATTTTAGATTCCCCATTTTCTCTAATTACACCTTTATTAACGTCTGTTTGCTTGCAATTCTTAGAAGGCACAGATTAAAGGACAAATCTTTATTTTGGTTTCGTCAATTCGAAATCTTCGGATTTCCGTGATATATTATATTTTGGTTACATTTTGGAGCAATTTTCAAAATGGATACGGTTCCGTTCGAGTTCGGAGTCTCAATCTGCCTACTCCTCTCACTCGTGACGTACCAGTATCGTGTTCTGTATAAATACAGAAGCATTAAGCAGTTCCGTCAAGCATTAAATTCTCAACGCGGTTCTTCCCGAGATCTTAGTGATTTTCATTTATCTGACCGCGGAAATCTATCCGAACACATATAATACATATGAATTAACATTTGACGCATCTAAACTCTGTTTTTTAACCAGGAGGAGTAAACCAAAAAGACAGATTCACACCCAAGAAAGTTACTAGAAAAGTCACCAAATACATCTTCTTTTTTTGTTGTATATCTCGGCCTTGCGGTAATCGAGTAATCAATATCGGACAACCTTACACGTCAATTCTAACGTAAATTTTTGGTTGAATAATATTTTTTTTAATTCACTTCCAATATATATTACAATTATTACAATAAAAAAGGACGTTTTTCACATTTGGCCCCATGTATATATATTTCAATATCGGGTGATCCAATTTTATAGATCTTTTGAGTCGATGGTACTTAATTTAGAGAAGATTTTGATCCAGAGAGTCAATAATGTTACAGATCTAAGTATGGTTTTTCTCAAAAGTTTGTCTTTTAATTTGCAAATAGATCTTATATGCAACAAAGCTATGCAAATGCATGTATCAAAAAGTTAGAGAGAGTTCAAAAATTTCTAAAATACTGTTCTTTTAAACTGCGTAGACCATATTCTTATTCTGGTGTGATTAATTTCTTGAATCTAGGTTTTTTTTCTTACCAGAAGAATTAACTTTGACTTTGATCATTATTTTTAAGCTTAATAACCCAATCTCCTGAATTGCTTCAACCAGTTTGTTTTACATATTCCTTCTTATGCACTGCTTTAGAATTTACTTTTTCATGTTTCATATCACAGAATCAATTATGGTTCAAATATAGGTGGGGTCCTACTTTTCATGCATAATAATCAGTTACCTCATTAGATAGATTTAACTTATGTATCAATATCTTAAGGATCTATTTGAAGCACTAAAATGCAAAACAATAAATTTGTATAAATAAGTGTGTATTTGCAATTTCTTTAATGCTGGATTATTGTTTAATTTTGACAGTGAGTTTGTCCCATTTGTTATCAATAAATAAAATTTACTAAAAAATACTGGATTTCTGTGAGATAATCAACTAATTTAATCTATTATGTTACATTCTAGTATAATTTTGCAGTTTTCTTGTGATGATCTACAACAGGAAGAACAAAACCAACTGTATCAATACAATCAAAGTAAAACACAACATTACTAATGTTCTTTTATTGTGATGGAAATGCTTCTTAACAAGTATACACTAAATTTAAAAGATAGTTGCCGTTTTTCTTATGATAATTAGATATAAATATCATACATTTATAAATTTATAAACACTGTAGACTCTATTTATTATAAATATCAGCTAGAAAAATATCACATTAAATACTATTATCGCATATCACCAAGTCCAAGTGATTATAAAAACAACTTAAAGAGTCAGAAATTGATTTATTTAATATTCTGTGCATAATGTATATTCGGAATGAATATAAAAATAAAAATTAATTGTGAAATTAAATTGGTGAGATTAATGAACAACTACACCATTTTGAATTTCTTGATTTATTTTTTTCAGCAAAAACTGAATCTATTTCAGATATTTGAGCAAGAAAGTTTTGTTTTTAGTCAGCAGCCCAATGTATAAACTATTCTTTGAATAATTTCCCCTAAAAAATAACTATGGTAAGACATTCACAATATAGACAATAAATCAATCATCCTATAAACAGTAAGATAAACAATTTATAGTTATGCTATGTAATATTAGCTGCATTGAATCTGCATATGTAAAGTAAAAATATCCTTTTTTCCTTTTCTTCCCTTTCCATGTTCTTATATCTGTTGAACCAAAATATTTGACAACATTCCAGTAGAGTATACAAAAAAAAACTTAAAACTTAATATTTAATAGTAACAATAATATACCTGATTATAAAAATGAAATCTATAAAATGTTTTAGTTAATTTTACTATATAATTGTAGCAAACCCATATACATACCGATATTTGTGCTTACTTCAAATTGATTTGCTTCAAGAATTTATATAATAATGAACGACACATATTTTGGAAGATCTGAGCGGTTGTTAATTTCACTTAAAATTTTATCTAAAGTGGGCATTTCATTCTTGAAAAAGAAGCTGTGTACTATCTGTCGTATAGATGTTTTAACTATTTTTAGGACATTTTACTGCTCCAGTCTGCTTATATTCTTTAATTGTTCTAAATTCTATTGTTGTAAATAGTTGAATTCGCAACACCTAAAATTAGCACATTACTTTAGTAAGTCTTGATTTTAATAAGAACTATTCTGTAAAACTAACCTGCTGCCTGTTTTATTTTTACTACCGTGGCTGTTATTTTTATTCCAGAATTATCAATTTTCATGTTTGTACATGTTTATAGTACATTAAGTATTTCTCATTTGATGATAAATGATCCAAATCTACTCGTCGTTTTTAAGGTGGAGAAGAACAATTACCACTAGTACTTAGCATTGAATCCATATTGTTATCTTAATAACACTAATATGTCGCTAAATAGTTCTGAAAAGAACTGTTTTTTATATAAATGCAAACGAAAAATCTAACGATGTAAGAAATAACACAGAAAATACAAAAAATATTCGATATAAATTTTGAATTTTAAAATTTCACAAATGTCATTAGTGTCAATATGTCATAATTTAGTGGAGTAAACTTGCCTGCGCTTCGACCAATTACAAACAAGCATTATGGCGCGGAAAATTTGAATTACTCCTCCTGGTTTAAAAACAGACCATAGTACCTCAAATTGAAATTATATCGTTTACTTACTAATATCCGGCTCAATAGCGAGTGCTATCTTTTCCGAAAACTGATATTGTGGCAATTCGGGAAATTTCTCAGAAATATTAGGCATATTGTAATACTGGTCTTGATGTGGACCTATCTTAGAGTACCATCGGAAATTTTGAACTTCATCAACCACCTCCCCTTCTTTCAATGATTGGCCGCAATAGAAAGTAGTACCTGTAGAACAACATTGTATTAATGTGATAATTATGTGTAAGTCGCTCTATATTACCAAAGAAACAATGTATTTATATGGGATCTAACCACAATTAATTGTAATGAAAATTACAGTTTACATTTGTTTCGATTTTCAAGCCCGAAATCGTTGTCAATTGGTAAACATCACTTACCTGTTCTATTTGATATAAGTACTTGAGGCCTAGTATCATTATGTAACGACAAAAAAAGCTGTCCTTTGTGCTCTTGACAAGTCAAAACAAATGCCAATGGATGTGATGCCGAGGTAACACAAAACGCTTTTCTTAGAAATGGTTTATCGACTCTAATTGGGCATGACCAGCCCACATCTGCACTTAAACAAAATGAGAAATAAAGAGAATATTCATTGAAGCCAGATAGATTGATGGGAGTATGCCATTTTATCACAGAAACTCCTGAGTTGCTAAAAAAAAAAAGAAAAATTAAAATATTTTATAAAATCTTACTATAAGATTAATATTCGCAACTTAGTTGGCTGGTTCTAATCGTTAGATGAAGTTGTACTTTTTTCGAACAGAGTATGTGTATTAAAGTGATATCCATAGCAAGATCTGTTTTTGTTGGTAAATGTTTTACATCCAACTATGTTGTTTAAATATAAATATTGTATGCACTAGTTAAATTATATAGTTCTTTTCACAGTACACTATTAATCTGTGCATTTAGTCTGAGGATTGGTCTGATATTCTAAGATTATCTTTTGAGGTTATGATGTCTGCTTCCAGTAATAACAACTATGGTGAATGTTCACTGGATTTGGGTCGAGATGAGAAACAAACAATTGCTTGTGATAGCTGTAAAACTAAATTTCATTTGATAAAAAGATCGAAGAGCTCTTCTGTTGTAAAAACGGTTCCTAATGTTTTTGTATTGCATATAGGAACGCATTTAATTGTTCCAATATTTATACAGAAAATTGTTAAGTTTGTGTCTCTGGAAGGCAATAACACTAAAAATACCATAGACATATACATATTAACATAGACTGAGCAGTCTGTAGAGCTAAGTCTGTTTCTCTGTCTTGCATCAAGTAAGTATAGCAGCGTCTCTTTTGGTGACGGAGAGAGATAGAGTGAAGAGTTGCAAAGCGTTAGAAAGGAACAGATTGAACAACCGCAAGAGATCTTGTCGTCAGTATGCGTGCCCGGTATGCTCAGTCTATGTTACTATATACGTCTATGAAAAATATTTTGGACAAAGAAAATTGCAAAGAAAAAGGTACATGAATATTGGAAAATGGAATGTTCAAGGCTTCAGAAATAAGCAACAAGAAGTGTCACTTGAAATCGAAGAAAGAAAGCTGGACGTAACATTACTCTCGGAAACCAAAAAGAAGGGCAACGGATGTGAAAAGTTGAAAAGGTATATCCACTGCTACAGCGGGGTAGATAAGTCATCCCGCGCAAAAGCAGGAGTATCGATAATTATTCACGAAAAACTGAAACAAAAATAAAGTCATGGGAGAGTATTAATGAACGTATAATCAAAATGACCTTTCAAATTAAAGGACGAACTATAGTGGTTATAGGAATTTATGCTCCAAATGAAGACGAAACAGTAGCGATAAAAGACAATTTTGACGCAATTTTAAGAGATGTGTTAGATCAAATCCCTAACCGATGCGAAATCATTATGGCAGGTGACTTTAACAGTAGAGTAGGCCAAGAAGAAAACAGTGCAGTAGTAGGACGACATGGAGAATAATGGCGAAAGACTGATAGATCTGTGCGAACAATGCAATTTAAGAATCACAAGCACCTTCTATGCACACAAAGATATACACAAATATACCTGGAAACACCGCTCTAGAGATCAGAAATCCATCATCGACTATATTATAATGAGACAAAAACCAACACTAACAGTTTTAGACGTTAGGGTAAAGAGAGAAGCTGACTGTGGAAGTGATCATTACCTAGTAATCGGAAATATGACCATACCGAGATTGGGAAAATACGAAACAGCAAATGTAAATAAGAACGTAACAACAAATAAAGAGCACTATAATCTACAAAGTCTAGAAGATAACAGCGTGCAGTATTTATACCAAAGAAGGTTAGATGGAAAACTGGTAATAGAAAATAGAATAATAGAAAAAGAATACAAGCACATAGTACACAGTATTAAAGAAGCAGCAGAAGAGGCAATAGGCACTCAAAGACGTGCAAAACAAAAACCATATTGGTGGGATGAGGGAATAGATGAAATGATAAAGAAGAAAAAAGAAGCATACCTAGCATATCTAGATAAAAAAGACGACCCCTCTAAAGAAATATATAAAAATCTAAATAAACTGGTGAAGACGGAAGTAACAAAAAGGAAAAATAGATATTGGGAAAAGAAATGCGAATACATAGAACAAATGATTGGAGGATCGAAAAGTTGAGAAGCCTGGAGAACGCTAAAATCTATGAAAACGTCAACCAACAATAAATTAGATTTAAGTAACATAACATAACAGAAAAAGACTGGGTAGACTACTTTAAACAGTTACTACAAGAAGGACGACAAAATTTTCAATACGAAAATGCAAACAGAGACATACGATCAGAATTCATTGAATTGAACATGACAAATATCGTAGAAGCGATAAGATCTTTTAAATTTAAAAAAGCGCCAGGCCCAGGAAACATCTCACCAGAATTTATTAAATATGGCTCAGCTAAACTGTGGGAAATGCTCAAAGATCTGTTCCAACGATGCCTGAATGGAGAAGAGACCCCGTTAGAATGGCGTGAGGCCTATATAACCCCAATATACAAAAAAGGAGCACGAAACAATGTCAGAAACTATAGAGGAATTGCTGTCATCCCCACTATAGGACGACTGTACTCCCGAATACTTAGAAACCTCATAGAAGAAGACATTCGTATGAAACAACCAGAAGAACAATGCGGATTCAGAGCTAGAAGATCGACTATAGATAATCTATTTACACTTAAAATATTAATCGAAAAGCGACAACAAAGAAACAAAGAAACACATATAGCCCTGATAGATCTTGAAAAGGCATATGATAACGTGCCGATAAATAATTTATGGAGTGAAATGCAAAACATGAAAATAAAACCTTCGTTAATAATAGCAACTCAAAAGTGGTATGTAAACAACACCGCATCAATTAAAATCGGTGGCAAACTTAGTGAGAAATTCAACACTACGAAAGGGCTACGACAGGGATGTTGTTTATCACCTACGCTGTTTAAAATATATCTGGATCGATCTCTACAAAAGTAGCAAAGACAATGCAGAAATATGGGAATACAAATAGATGAGGATATTCTCTATACACTATTCTTCGCTGATGACCAACTGGTGGTAGCAGAAGATATAGACGACCTCAGCTATATGGTTAGGAAACTACAAACAGCGTACGAAGAATGTGGACTGACAATGAACTTACAAAAATGCGAATATCTCTCAGTGGGGAAAAATAGAGTCGAAGACCTGACATTGGAGAGTGACAAAATCAAAGGAACAAATAGAGTAAAATACCTAGGAGTAGTGTTTACAAAAGACGGAAATGGCCATGAAGAAATAAATACAAGAATAAACAAAGGCAGAAACATTACCAAATACCTAAACTCCATTCTCTGGGATAAAAAAATCACAAGAACGACGAAAAAACGAATATATAAGACGATGGTTGAGCCGGTGGTAACATACGGAGCAGAGATATGGGACACTAGTAAAAGAAACAGGAAAAAATTACTGTTACAGGAGAAGAAGCTGTAGATTGACAAGGATGGACAGAATCCGCAATGAAGAAATAAAACGTAGAATGGAGCAAGAAAAAGACATTATAGATGAAGTCCAGAAAAAACAACTAACTTGGTTCGGTCATGTAAACAGAATGGCAGAGGAGAGGTGGCCAAAGAAAATATTAAAATGCATCCCAACCGAAAGAAGGAAAAGAGGGCGTCCAAGAAGAAGCTGGCGAGATGACGTGAATGAAGCCATGGAAGGAAGACAGCTAAATGAAGCCGACACCCGAGATAGGAAACGATGGAAACTAGGGACAGGAAAACAACGACAGTTGTAAACAACCTGTACTATATATATATATATATATATATATATATATATATATATATATATATATATATATATATATATATATATATATATATATATATCCAGTGCTGTTTACTGCGTAGTCTAGCAATGCATAGAAATATCTCATAATCTTATAATTTACAATATTCCTGAATACAACTCAACTAATCTCAATGATCGTATTGATTATGATAGGAATAAAGTAAGTGAGATTTTTATTAGACTTGGTTTGCAGCAGAATGAAGCTACTATAAGTCGAGTTATACGAAGAGGCAAACCCTCAGGTCAGAACAGGCCAACCAAAGTCATGGCTTGAGAGTAGTCTTAACTACTCTCAAGATTTCTCACTGATGATGGTCCCACTGGACCGAAAACGTTTTGATGAAGATAATTGTAATCCTTTTTGATACATTTTTGAAAAATTTTAATAATAAAATATACCATCTTACATAAGTTTTTTTAAATAAATAGTTATTTCGGGAATATGTAATGTTTGCCTGAAATCTTTTTATTTTATCTTGTTCTACATGTAATTTATCTTATGTTCATACCTCTTAACTTATATCTTAATCGTAGTAAAATACTTTTTTATTAACATGGATTAAGTACTAAATCTAAGCAATAAGTTATGATCTTACCTCTTGTTCAAATATGGTGCCAGAGTAAAACTGTATGGCTCAGCATTATCTGGAAAATCATAAATATTTTCACCCTCTGGCACCGCCAAACATATTACTTGTAATTGTGTTGACGTATGATTTGATAAAACGTGTGTAGATGAAACCTAAAAAAATATTAAGCTGATTCTAGTATTTTGATTATTTCGTTTACTTTTTGAAACAAAATTCCACCTATTTTATATTTTTTTCTATTAAAAGAAATCGGGGGCTGAGAACTATAGGGTTCCAAGCGACAGTTTGTAAAAGATTTGTTTTTTAACAGAAATCTATGGTTCTTTGAATTCTGTCTAGAATGGCATTGAAAGTTCTGCCATTCGTTAACAGATATCGCCACAGTCAACAGTAAAACATAGTTCCAAGTGCACAAAATGCTTTAAGGGGACAGTCTCATGCGAAACTTTCAAAAAATCAATTTTTTTTTTTTTATAAATCGCTTCCATTTACATTCAAAAACTCCCTCCTAAAATTTTAAAAAGAAATTCCCACTAGAATATAAGTTATAGTTATTTTATTAACGTCATCTACGCACGTATGAAAACGCAGATAATAAATAATGTTTTATTAACATCAATTTTGTTTGTGTTCATTAGGTATTATTTCAGTTATAAAATGTATACTTAGATACATTTATTATTCCAAATATTGTTTATAATTTCAAATTAAAAAGAGTGTAATATAATTATTTTATTTTTAAAATTCCTTTTTATTTTTAATTTTAGAAATCAACTTTTTTTTCAAACCGTTTTGGCAAAAAAAAAACATAACCACTTTTTTAGTTCTAAAATATTTTCATATCTACATTTATAAATAAGTACGTTTTCGTTGAATTGACATGCGATCTAGGTGTGTTCCGTTTTTACACTTACACTGGCAGCATCGCGGCGTGAATTGAGACTCCAGTCGAACAAATGAATTAATTATAAAACATTGCGCGCGACGTTGTATTGAAATTTACATTTACAACAACTGTTGAATGAAGAGGGTCCTCATTATTCACCAGGAATGACCGATTAAACGTGAGTATAAAGTTATCAGCCTTTTATTCACGAAAATTATGTAAAAAAAACTTTAAATGCTTTTTTCTCAAAAGGAACATTTTCAAACTGGTCAGACACTTTTCTCCGGAGCTTCTCAACCGATTTTAAAAAACCAAACATTTTTCGAATGTATATACAAAATGCTAGATGATAAACCTTTAAAATATTTAAAAACCACCCCCCTTTTATTATATATGGGTAAATCCACCGAAAAATATAGCGATTTTTCGACTTTTTTGAAAAAATTCGTAAAAAACTCATCAAAATAATACAATTTGCATATTTTAAAGGTTTAACATCTAGTTTTGAGTCTCATGAATACAACCCATTTTGATTTTTTTGAATATCTGTTACAGGTGACCCACAAAGTGTCTTACCACCAAAAATGCACTTTTTACTACACGCCATCTACAGGACACCAATGAAGTTAAAATCGCTATTAAAAATTTTTTTATGTACTTCAAGACTTACTTAATCATCTCCAAAAGGAATTATGTTAATAAATATTATAGTTTTTTTTTCTGCTTTAATTTTAAAATGTGTCTTTTTTTTAATCGCATGAGACTGTCCCCTTAAGGTTAGAACCATATGGTGCCATGTACTGCAGTGAGAGTATTGGTGAAAGTTAAATATCAGTTTTATCAGTTAAAATGATCATTTTCTTGTTTTGCAATTTCCTTTGTGTCCGAAAATGAATCTTGGGATTATTGTGGAGTATATAGCAGTGGAAAGAAATGGTAACCTATTAAACATTGTACTATACATTTCCTATTTAACGGCTTTAAAGACATTATTAACATTTACTGTTAATATAATAGTTTGAAAAATACTTGACATTTTAAAAATTCCTCCCTTACTAACTATTCTGATATTTTGGCAACGCTGTGGGCTTCTGGCGTCGTAAATGAAGTGCAAGCATTTTTATATGAAAAATGCTATATGCAGTGTGGCCAAAAAAGTTATGTGGTAGATCAGGCAATTATTTGCCTAGTGCCCTAATACACATTTTAGAGAAAGTAGTTTTAAAACATCCGGAAATAAATGATCCGGATTGATATCAAATTCTGGTCTTTTTGTACTTATGTAGTTAATTATAAATACTATCAAATAGTGATTTGATGATTCTTTTTTTGATATTTATGTTGTGGTTTGAGTAATAATTTAAATACGTGTTGGTGTTGGTTGGTTTTCTGTAGATTTTAGTTACAATATTGACATATTTCCATTGATATTTCTTGCAAACACACTGTAATGGCATGAACAAAAAACATCGCAATGCGTTCCCTATCAGATGTCAACTTTAACATGTTCGCTTAAAAATATACCTAATTATTGCATATTTACGCAATCTATTTAATCTATATTACAATTTAATCACAGCTGTAGAGGGCGCTTGTTGAAATAAGCTTTTAGCACAACTTTAGAAAAATAAACCAACCTTAATATGCAGTTAAAAATAAAGCGTTAGACACAAATAAAGTGATACAAAGTAGTGTTTAGTAAAATATGTAACAATACTTATTAGAGAGGTAAAATAGAGAAAATTTAAAATGGTTTTTACTTACTTTTAATAACCTCATCTCGTTTGTAACTGAACTTGCAATGGATATACTGCAAATATGACTATCACACTTAATCGACGTTTTAATACATCCATTTTGAGGAACGGAACCGGTGATTTTTGGCATATAAAAAGCTTGACTCCAATCTGACTTCGATAATTGTAGTGGTTCGGAATAATACCAAGAAGTGCCCATATAAACACCAAGATTGAAATTTTCCTACGGCAGGTTAAATATTATTAATACTATTATTATATTATCCACAGTCAATTATATACATTAAGTTTGAATAATTTTTGACTACCAAGATACAGTAATATCTGATTCAAAGTCTGCGATGCCTGCTTTAAAAAACTCCTAATAATCATTTTTCAAGAAATAGTCTTGTCCAAATCTTAGAAAATCAACTTAAGTTGCGGGAAAAATACTTCTTTCATTTTCATTTTTACAAAGAGTCACTTTGGTATGTTTGATAACATTTTAATGCTGATTTTTACTAAGGAGACGACTTTTAAAGGGTCAGAAATCAATTCCATCCATCCAATGGCACTACAGCCCAAGCCGGGCCTTGGCCTCCTTCATTAAACCTCTCCAAACATCTCTATTTACTGCTGTTCTTTTCCATGAACGCGTTTTTAGGAGATTTTTGGCATCCTCATCTACCTCGTCTTCCCATCTCTTTTTTGGTCTTCCAACAGGTCTTTTTCCTTGCATTCTTGCGTTTAGTAATTTTCTGGGGATTCTGTTCTCATGCATGCGGGCCACATGCCCTGCCCATCGTAATCTCTGCAGTCTAGTGTATTGTGCTAGTGTTGGTTCAGTGTATTGTTCGTATATTTCGTTATTATATCTAATTCGCCAGTTGTTATTTTCCTTTATTGGACCCAGTATTCTACGCAATATTTTTCTTTCGAACACGTCTAATGCATTGGTAGATTTCTGTGTTATAACCCATGTTTCACACCCATAACTTACTATGGGTCGGATTATTGTTTTATATACCCGGAGTTTTGTTTTCCGGTGTACGTCTCGCGATTTGAATATGTGGCCCATCGCGAAATAGGCTTTGTTTGCCAGCATAAGCCTTCTATTTATTTCCGGTTCTTCTTCATTATTTTCGACCAGATCCATTCCTAAATACGTGAATCTATTCACGTATTCTATATCGTCTATAAATTGTTGTTGTTGCGCCTGTCTATTTGATCTGGTTTGTATGAGTAGTTTTGTTTTATTTGTATTTATTGTTAGCCCTACAACTTCTGAACTCTGTTTCAACTGAACGTAGGTTTCTTCTGCCGCAGTCTTTGTTCTGCTCATTATGTTTATGTCATCTGCGTATGCTGCTAATTGGGTAGATTTGTTTGTAAGTATGTTATTTCTGCTCACCGTCAACCGTCTAATTACATATTCAAGAACAAGATTAAAAAGTGTTGGAGCCAGTCCGTCACCTTGTTTCAGTCCTTGCGTTGTCATAAACGCATCAGTGATCTGTCCTTGAATACATACATGTGCTTCTGTTTCTGTCATTGTCATTTGCACTAGTCTTATTAATTTTGATGGTATGCCAAATTCTTGTAATATATTAGGTAGTATTGTTCTATCTATTGAATCATAGGCTTGCTTGAAATCTACAAAGAGATTGTAGACGTCTATGTCATATTCCCATGCTTTGGCTAGTATTTGTTTAACTGTAAATAGTTGGTCAATAGTAGATCTATTTTGCCTGAACCCTGCTTGATATTCCCCGATAATTTTTTCAGTGAGGGGTTGAAGTCTTCGATTAAGAATGTTTGTGAGTATTTTGTATCCCGAACAAAGTAAAGAGATGCCTCTATAATTCTGGCATAACAGTTTGTCTCCTTTTTTATGAATAGGGCAGATTATACTTTTCTTCCATTGTTGTGGGATTTTTTCTTCTCTCCATATTTCTTGTATAAGCTGGTACATCTGTTCTGTCAAATTTGTTCCTCCCTGCTTGAACAGTTCTGCCGGTATCTTATCTATTCCCGGCGCTTTATGGCTTTTTTGCATTTGGATTGCTGTTCGAACCTCCTCTAGCGTTGGAGGTCTAGCCAATTCATTATCTTCTCCATCTTCCCACAGCTCCTGTTGTTGACCTTCCTGTTCTACCTGCTGCTGCCGCTGTTGTAGTGGTGTTTGTGACCTTTCGTTTAATAATTCCTTAAAATACATCATCCAGGTTCTCGTAATTTCGTCCATATCGCTAATTATTTCCCCATTCTTATTTTTGCATAGGCTAGTCTTCGGTTTGTAACCCTGTCTTAAATGTTTGATAAGTTGGTATGCACTGCGTGTTTCGTTTTCCTTGAAAACTTTCGTCCTTCCTCAGAAATCAATTAGCCAAGTAGAAGTGATGGAACTGTAACACGTAAGCAAAGTTTAAAATACAATTTGGATATTAAAGTATGCTTTTTGGAATCGAAGCAAAAATTTTTACCAAAATTCATCCTGTTGTACTTTCTATAAGAAGCTACCCCAACAGAAACATATATTTCATGTTCGCTAGATGTCTTTTTAACTATTCCTTTCAAAAAAGTAAGTTATATATAAAATTATACAAAAGCTTCAACATCCCTTCAAAATACATTCAAGTAATAAAGCAACGATACATTCAACAAAAGCAAAATAATCCGCATATAAAATGAGACCTTTAACATATACGTAGGTAAGGTCCATTCGCTTAGCTGGGGCATATTTTGACAGATTCATAGTCGGAAACCTACAACACAAAAATCCCTACTTCTCAGTATTAATAGCTCAAATATACTACTATTGCAGACTTGTTCGTTTGAAAAAAGAAGAATTATTCTAAATAGTGGAAGTGTATACTAAACCCATAAAATTCTCCCTGTATATTTAAAATATAATATTTGAGTTTTTACAATTTAACATATTGTAATAAATATTTGTATTATTATATTAATTTTTATTAATTTGTATTTGTATTAATTTTGTTTAATTCTTTGTCAGTTCTATTTAGTTAATTAGTTAGTTCTATTTTGAATTTTACTATTATGGATACCTAGTCAAAGTTTTCTACTTGTTCCATCAGCTAATGCGTTGGTAAATTTTTCTTAAATAAATATGATAAATGTTCTTTAGAAGTTAATATTTTTAGATGAGTAAGGATGCTGTTAAATTACAAGGTAATGAAACTACACAAAGGATTATTCAAAATGCCTGCCATTTTTTAAAATTATTTGCCGAATGAAAACTTTGTTGAGGTAAGTTCATCATTAAAATGTATTCATCGAATTATGTAAATGTTACAGACGTTCTTAAGGGGACAGTCTCATGCGAAACTTTCAAAAAATCAAAAATTTTTTTTACATAAATCGCTTCCATTTACATTCAAAAACTCCCTCCTAAAATTTTAAAAAGAAATTCCCACTAGAATATAAGTTATAGTTATTTTATTAACGTCAGCTACGCACGTATGAAAATCGGTTTCTCTCCGCGCGGCGAGCGCGAGGCTCCAGCTGTTCTTGCTTTTGTATATATGTTGTATATACGTTGGGTATGTATTAGTGATCCATTTTTATATAGTATGTATATCTGTATAACGTTTGGCAGTTACTATACACATTTGGAATTTTAAGTCCGGAACATAGGATTTTTTACAAATACTAAGATTCTCTGTGTTGCAATTAATCAGTGTAAATTTCTTTATAACGTCGCGATGTTTTATAACTAATTTATTTGTTCCACTGGATTACTTCTCCTCAGCGGTTTGTAGTAGCGTGTATGGCACGCCGACAGTGTTGCTCCGTCTACCGATTTTTCCTGAAAGTCCGGTTTTGTGCAGATAATAAATAATGTTTTATTAACATCAATTTTGTTTGTGTTCATTAGGTATTATTTAAGTTATAAAATTTATACTTAAATACATTTATTATTCCAAATATTGTTTATAATTTCAAATTAAAAAGAGTGTAATATAATTATTTTATTTTTAAAATTTCTTTTTATTTTTAATTTTAGGAATCAACTTTTTTTTTCAAGCCTTTTTGGCAATAAAACAACCATTTTTTTAGTTATAAAATATTTTCATATCTACATTTATAAATAAGTAGATACGTTTTCGTTAAATTGACATGCGATCTAGGTGTGTTCCGTTTTTACACTTACACTGTCAGCATCGCGGCATGAATTGAGACTCCAGTCAAACTAATGAATTAATTATAAAACATCAAATCAAAAAGAAAAAAGCTTTACAAAGCCATTTACAACAACTGTTGGATGAAGAGGGACCTCAATATTCACCAGGAATGGCCGATTAAACGGGAGTATAAAGTTATCAGCCTTTAATTCACGAAAATTATGTAAAAAAAAACTTTAAATGCTTTTTTCTCAAAAGTAACATTTTCAAACTGGTCAGACACTTTTCTCCGAACCTTCTTAACCGATTTTAAAAAACCAAAAATGTTTCGAATGTATATACAAAAGACTAGATGATAAACCTTTAAAATATTTAAAAAACCACCCCCCCTTTTATTATATATGGGTAAATCCACCCAAAAATATAGCGATTTTCCGACTTTTTTGAAAAAATTCGTATAAACTCTTCAAAATAATACAATTTGCATATTTTAAAGGTTTATTATCTAGTTTTGAGTCTCACGAATACAACCCATTTTGAATTTTTTGAATATCTGTTACAGGTGACCCACAAAGTGTCTTACCACCAAAAACGCACTTTTTACTACACGCCATCTACAGGACACCAATGAAGTTAAAATCGCTATTAAAAATTTTTTTTATGTACTTCAAGACTTACTTAATCATCTATAAAAATAATTATGTTAATAAATATTATAGTTTTTTTTTTCTGCTTTAATTTTAAAATGTCTTTTTTTTTAATTGCATGAGACCGTCCCCTTAATAACAAAAACATTTCGGTTAACATCCAAATGTCTGAAGTTCTCAGAAAAAAGTGTGCGTAAATATAAAGTTGGGCCTAATAAAACCCTCACTTCAAACAAGAAAAGTCGCAAAAGGAAATTAACGACTGTCTTAAATGATAACAAAAATGATAACAGCGTCAAAATTAAATTCGCTTAGAAATTTATCACATGTATGAAGAAAGTATGTTTCTATTATATATAAAAAAATATATTTTATAAAAAAGTTGGCTAATTTAGTTTATATCGTTAAGTTGCGCCAAATGTAGCCAACCAACTCAAAATTTTTGGTAGCATTTAGCTTGAATTTCTTGAGAATAATTACAATAAACGAATAAATTTTAATCTCATCCAGGTAATTTATTATTTTTTAAAAGTGATGATAATAACGCTGAATAAGCAATATACTATGTTCCTAAAAGTAAAGTTTCATTTATAAATATTTTTTGTAATTTCCACGTTTTAGTGAAATGTAAAAAAAGTATATAATACTAAAACAAAATATATATTACTAATATTTAATATTGGCAAAATAGATTATGTCTGGCTTGGAGAAAAAATGTTTCATATAGATAATATTTCCCATTATTGATATTTCATTTATTATCCATGGTATTTCTTTAGCGTGCGTATATTAGGGACACTTTAAAATATATTTTAATCCTTAATTAACTATCCTTTAATTTACCTCCAGTTTTGGTGGTGCAACTATTCCGTGATGAGGTATTCTACACAACTCAACTCCACTAAGCATCAATGAAATTGGTATACCCAGAGTATTGACTGTAAGACACCATGGTAACAATTCAAGAAGCAGCGAACATGAATGGGGGCACGCCTTTTGGTATTTGACCTGAAAAAAAAAAATAAAAACGTAACTTAACATGTTAAAAAAATATTGAGAACTTCCGATCTCCCATAATTTATTTATTAACATCAGTGCTGATAATAAAGTATCACTTCAGATTTCTTATCTCCAGTATTTGTGAATATATACTTGCACTGAACTTTAAGGTCATTTATTGATGTGCAGTTCATTGAATGTACCTACCAGGTGTGCCAAATATTTCACAAAATTTACATCGGAAAAAAGACTGAAAACACATGTCCAATGCTTTAAAAAAATACAAACAGTAAATTGATATATTTTGAGAACGATTTCCGAAGTGGAAATTGAAACGTCAATAAACGTATTTTTATCTTTAATTGTGGCTTATTCCCAGTTAAATAGCAATTAATTTAAAATACCACAAGAAAATAGCTTCAGAACAATAATAGTAATCCTAGTCGTACGAAGAAGTATTAGATGGCGCTATAATAGGAGAGATACGATTTATCCTGGTACCCTAATAAAATTATAGAAACGGTCTAATATCTCCAGAAATATTCGACCGTCCCGTTTCTTTTGACGCATTCTATACATTGATCATTAGTTCTTCATTAGTGGCGTCATTACAATTTTCTTGGGGGGGATGGTTGGGCAACGAAATTTTTTTATGCTACCTCGATTTTGAGTCCTTAAAATTTACTTTAAAGTACTAAAGATAGCAGTGCCAAAGATTCAGGTATCTGTTATCCTGCCTACCAACTAAAACTACTCTCTCCAACTTATGCGCAGTTGACTGTTGTACGTACCGTACTCCTAAAATAAATGGCCCCTGTAAGGCTGACTGCATTTTTTGAACAGTCCCTTCTCTTATCTAGATCTTATCTCTGTGAAGAGCATCTTATCTCTGTGAAGTGAAGACAAAATGTGAAGAAAAGAAGAAAGCCTTTTTACAATACAGAACACAACAGGCATATAACGATTATAAACGAATCAACATTGATTTCGCGCGCGTAACTGACATTAAAAATCGACGATCATTTTTACATTTTTTTCTACGGCGTACAGATTCTTGGCAAATCGATTTTTTTGCGTTTTACCCTTTTACCCCCCCCCCCCCGTCAGGGGGTTTTAGGGGAAGCCCAGGGGTAAAAGTGGTAAACTGTTTTGCATCTTTTTTGGAGTCTTAAATTTAATATTCTCGGCAAAATTCAGCTTGTTCGCATGATTTTTAGGGTTCAACTCTGTGATGACTGGACTATTATACGAGCCTTTTATGTATTTGATAAAATAAAGGAAAATAAATTTTAACAGTTTACCTGGACATGTGTCAGAGGCTGATCGTCAACCACCCAATCGATCTCATCCAATTCATCTCCAAAATACGGCCAAGATTTTTTATTAAAATTACTCAGAACTGTCAAAATTTCTTCTATGTCCTCCCTCTCTGGTCGTTTGAAAAACTTATGCTGATCGACGTGGCTGTAGTTCAGTGGAATGTAAGAATTCGACGTTGCTTCATTATTGCTAAAAGCCCGCATTACTAAAATAGCGACTACAAAATAAAATAAAAACACTTACTCAATTTTAAAAGTTAATTGGTGGGGATGATCTATGGTACCGGGACAGTACAGTTGCTGTATCTGGCCTCTACCACAAACGGTCGAGTCTATATGGACGTTTAACGTTGGAGTTTCTATGTGTACCTGAGAATCTACCGGAAGATTTGATTTGACGGTGAACAGCGGCCAGAGAACAGCCAAAATCCTTTTTGTATTATTGATTTCTTGCGTTATAATCCGGCACCAAATGCTAAGGAATTGTCCACGCTCTTGTAGGGGTACTGAAAATTGTAAAATATAATTTATTACCTGTAAAAATCGATTGTATCAGGTTATATTTGTAGGAATTGAAGAAGTAAGGTCAGAACCCCATGTGATGTCAGCATGTCAAGCTTGTCCTTGAAGAATCTTCTTGCAGTTGTTTAAGGAGTCAGCACATCTAGCATTCGTACCCAAAAAATGATCGTTTTATATATTGAAACCGCAAAAGATACATAAACGGAATAGTAATGTTAACAACAAAATAGTATTTCTTATTTCGTATAATTATGAGTTAAAAGAAATGACCAGAGGCTGAGATCTTTAGCGACAAACAATACACATCACGATGACCACTACACTCCCTCCGGAGGCCAGGATTGAAGGGAGAGATATATCAAGACGTAAACAGAAATGTTAAAAAGAAAACTTAAAATATGGTACAGCCCCACGACATGATGAAATAACTTCACAAAGATGGGAGTACTAGAATACTTCTGCTGTTAGAAATTTTATAAAGCAGACTTCAAAAGGAAGGAAGTACCATGCATAATATAACCTGACTTCTTTTAAACAACGCCAATATGACCACTATTATAGTCTGCTTTAAATACTTTTTAAATAAACTCTGTTTGACGTCTGATAAAATTATACTAAATAGAAATGTTTTATATTATAATATACTCTTCTAGTGCAACTTGAACGGTTTCATCATATAAAATGGTGACGTCTTGAGTTCGAATTCAAGTTTTGTCCCTTCTTGATCGATCGTCAGATTATTCTTCAACGGCTGCATCCCCGATGGACATGATAGTAGCTCTCAGTTTAGTTTTGCTTTTTCATGTTTATTACCAAAGACTCTTTTGCCGATTTCTTGAAAGATTACCAGAAGATTCTCTGATATCACCTCGTTGTGGGTATAATTTTTCTTCATACTTCTCAACAGAGGTTGTTCATGTTTATGAACGTTAATATGCATGCTTTATACTTCGCCTCATAGCACCATAATCTTCCTACTTACATTTTTATAGCCCATTTCTTCCTAATTAATTAAGAAATGAAACAAGAAAGAACTCATTCATTTTTAAAAACTAATGCAGCACTTTTTATTGCAGCGATAATATATTTTCTAACTTACCTTTTACCAACCAAGGCTGACTTCCAGTATGATGTTCTTTCAATGGAATGTCCCCGGTCCACGCAGACTCCAAGCCATAAAACCGCAACCTCAAGAAATATTTCTTTTTATTGTTGATAAATATCGATGGTGTGTTATTATGAGACGGTATCAAGATTGTGGAAGAATTTTTGAATTCGATATCTCGCTTTTCTTTAACTGATTCGACCACCTTCATCTCGAAATGTTCCAGGAGCATATTAGATACTATTAATTGACCGAATATAGTTATTTTCTTCTGTGTTGCCGAAAGCGACTGTATGGATACAAAAATAGAGATGTTACGTTCAGTGCTAAATTGAATTACCTCCATTCCGTCCTCGACAAGTGAGAACGACCTTGACCAAACCTAAAAATCGAGTTCAATATCAAAAAACGTTTAAGAACAGTCTTCTTTGAAAGTTTTATTGTCAAAAAAATGTAATTAACACCAAAAATGACAGCAAAGGTATAGGATATGGTTTGGGAAGATCGTCAATTAACTCATACAGATTTAGTAGAAGCTCTACGAATATTGTTAAGTAATGTGATTAATATTTTTAGTTTTTAGTTTCGGAAGGCTGTGTGCTTAAATTGGGAGCATTCATTACCGATAGAAAATGCGATTTTTTCAGAACTCATGAACACTTTCTGAAAAACAAGAAGGAATACTTGTGAACGGCGAAGTCATCAATAATTTGCGATATGAGGACGATACAGTACTCCTAGCTTCTAGTCAAGAAGATCTGCAAACACTACTTGATAGTGTCGTTGAGAGTTGTAGGGAGGCAGGTCTGGATCTTAACATACGGAAAACCAAAATACTTGTAATAAGTAAACAACAACATATAAAATCGTCTATATATGTAAATAATACCAAACTTGAGCAAGTTGATAAAATCGTTTACCTTGGACAGCAATTAAATTGTAACGCAAAAAGTCACGGCGAAATTAGATCTAGGATAGAGCAGGCTAGAGCTGCTTTTAGAAGGATGTCCAAGGTGTTATGTAACAGAGACCTAAAATTGGCATTGAGGATCCGCCTACTTCGCCGCTACGTATTCTCGGTCTTACTTTATGGTGTCGAGTCCTGGACTGTGAATAAAATCGATCTAAATCGTCTTGAGGCTTTCGAAATGTGGTGCTATAGAAGAATTTTAAAAGTTTCCTGAGTGAAGAAGATTCGAAACTCCACAATACTAGAACGTCTCAGCAAGACTACTGAGATCATAAAAAGTATCAAGTAGAGAAAGCTGGAATATTTCGGACATGTAATGAGAGGTCCCAAATATAGGTTGCTACAAAATATAATGCAAGGAAAAATAGCAGGCAAACGCAGTCCAGGACGAAGAAGAACCTCATGGTTGAAGAACTTGCGAGATTGGTATGGTGTTGATACAAGCATGCTATTTAGGGTGGCAGTGAATAAAATTAAGATAGTTATGATGGTAACCAAAGTTCTGAAAGGACATGGTACACGAAGAAGAAAAAGTGAACACTTTGAAAAAGATAAAAATAATGTTCAATCACTATTTATAAGACTTGGGTATATTAGCAAACTCTGAGACTGAGATTAGCAAGACTGACGTTTAACCGATATTTCGTTTCCTAAGAAAGCAAGGGTTCAGAAATCGATCTAGAGAATGTTTTGGGATACAAACAGAGTATGAAATGATTACATTTTCAACCAATCTTTCACTTTATTTTACAACAAGACAGCTCGAGGTAACATGGAAGACTTTAGAACTTTCCACTCGATCTAACAAAACCCCTGCCATCCTGCCAGATCTCTTGCCAGTACTGATTCACAAAAAGCCTTTCATTAAACAATCTGCAGCAGTTGCTTAACTATGTACCTCCAACTGAGCATGGGTTTTTCATAAATCTGCTATATGATGGTCAACAAGATGGAAAACGAGCAAAGTTTGAAGAGTCTAAACAAAGGAGAAGGCTAAATTGACGATTTGGATCACAATTACGACACCGATGTTAATAAGTCATAAACCAATGCCATTAATTCTGTATTATATTACTGTGAAGAATAAATTTGTACTTAAACTTTATGATCTCTTTGCATGTTTGCCTTTATGTTGCCCTTCTTAAAAGTAAAAGTGTGCAAGACTAAGAAGCAACCTAAAAATAGCTCAAAACTGAGTATAAAAATATATATATATATATATATATATATATATATATATATATATATATATATATATATATATATATATATATATATATATATATATATATATATATATATCACCGGTATTTAGGCGGCACGCCCTTCCGGTAGGGATCTATGGAGGAGTATCACCGAGACGCAAGCCATTATCTCTTGCCGTACTACTCCACCATAATCCGATCAGACACCAGCATATTCTAGTCTAAGCCGCAGATTCATCTAGAATTTTAAACTGCTGCGTTAGACTTTTTATTTTTCTGAACACCGTGCTGGTGCTCGGACTCACATCCACTGAGTCATTCGCAGTAAAGATAATGAGAACCGACCGTCTAGCCCGCTTGGCTGTCTGACCGACAAAAAAAAATATTTACAAAACAAAAACATAAATTGATTAACATAAAATGCCAAAAATGGGGAAATCAACAATTAAATATCATATAAAAAATTACCGAATCATCAGCTTGATGAGTCATGTTTTAAAGATATTTCTACGAATTTTGCACTCTGGGATGTACCAAAAAATAGAACAACAACTTGGTGACATACAGTTTGGATTCGCAATACCTTGGAACAAGAGAAGCACTATTTAGTATTCAGGTTATGGTACAGATATGCAGAGATGTCGGACATCCAGTTTATATGTATTTTATTGACTTTGAGAAGGCCTTTGATCGACTAAAACATACTGAAATGATTTGCCATTCTTCAGCAGATAGGTATTGATGCATTATTAAAATCTTACTGGCATCACGTGCAAAATCAGGATTGGGGACACTTCTGAAGAGTTTCAAATCGAAGAGGAGTAAGGCAGGGCTGCATTTTGTCCCCGCTACTATTTAACATCTATTCTGAGTTCGTTTTCAATAAAGCAGTGGATAATGTTCAATGTGGCATAAAAATGAATGGCGTCAATATTAATAGACAAAGGTGATGGTCGTCAGTAAAACGCCAATACAACCGGAAGTGGTAACAGCTTATGGTGAACAACTGGAGAGAACTAACAGTATCACTTACCTTGGTTGTAATCTAAATGAGAACTGGGACAAGAAACTGGAAGCCTTTGAAATCTGGGTGTATCGGAGAATACTACGAATAAGTTGGGTGGATAGAGTTCGTAACGAAGTTGTTTTGCATCGGATGGGAAAAGTTACGGAAGTCGTCAAAACAGTTAAAATAATTACTATTTAACTGGAAATAAGCCACAATTAAAGATAAAAATACGATTTCCGAAGTGGAAATTGAAACGTCAATAAACGTATTTTTATCTTTAATTGTGGCTTATTCCCAGTTAAATAGTAATTAATTTAAAATGCCACAAGAAAATAGCTTCAGAACAATAAAAACAGTTAAAAATCGCAAACTTGAATATTTTGGCCATGTTATGCGCCACCCAGAGAGATATAATATACTCAATTTAATAATACAAGGCAAGGTAGACGGAAGAAGAGGGTCAGGTCGAAGAAGAACGTCATGGCTTAGAAACCTGAGAGATTGGTTTAACAGATCCTCTGCATCTCTTTTCCGAGCTGCCGTCAACAAAATTACTATAGCCAATTTGATAGCAAACGCTCGATAATCGAGCTCGGTACATGAAGAAGAAGATAAAAAATTAAAATCAGTAGTTATAGTTCCTTCCTAACATTATTTTGTAACTAATAATTTAAGATAAACAATTATTTTGGAAAATCTTACCCAGTCATTCTCCTCTAACGCAATCCTTAATTTCTGTTTCTTCTTCTGAGATCTCCAAGAATATAAATGAAACTGTCGGGACGTCAAAAGGATATCTTCGTCAGTACAAGTTTGCCCGAATCGTATGCTACTGATGGTATCGTTACAAACAATAATCCTAGTCATTACAATAAAATCTTTCTCTTTATCCGGACTGGTGTATGTTTGATCCCAAACTTGAACAGCCACAGCCAAACTGTGCGCTATATTAGGCCCAAATTTTACTTGAATTGGCTTAGAAATAAGGTTCAAACTAACATCCTCTGAAACTGTAGCCTCTATTTTACAAGTAAATGGTTCAATAAGAGGTTGCTCTGTCAAAAAGTTGTAATCGAGAACGTTGCATTTGACAGCGGTACTGAGCTCCAAAGACATTGTATCTCTATCCCAATTTAAGAAATATCCCGTCATATTATACCAGCTTAATGTTAAAAATCTTTGATTTTCTGGGAACATGTAGTCAGGAGAGAAATTCTTCAACCAAGTCGGTAGTTTCATCGTGTTATATCGGTCGAAATAATTGTATAATGACACGTCTATTCTAGTTACGTACAAGGCTGCTGTTAAGCTGGGTATTAGAGATTTATTAAAATAAGAATCAATTCGCATGCACGCCGCTAGAGCTCTGGGAGATATTAAGATACTGCTTTTTTGTTCTTCGTTATAGTTAACCATTGTAATAACCTAAAACATAAATAGAAATTGATATACACTGCCGAACATAAGAACCAAAAAAGAACACTTGATTTCATTTGAAGTACAAGGAGTGAAAGAGGAAGAAAGAAATAGAAAGTTTGTTATATTTCAGTAATAAATGATATACAAAATTCACAATGCACAAACATTCACCTACCACTCTCCATGTTGAAGCTACAATCGGTTGTGGATTTCCACCGGGTAATGTCAGATGGCATACTTCACTTTCTGATAAGAAAAACTGAGCGAACGGTAAATATGCGTTTCTGCATTCCGACCAATATTCTAAATGACATAAAACTTGGAGGTCATCATGAGATCCGAGTGTTCTTTTATAAGGTACCGGAAATACCCTAACTTTTGTTAAAGCTCGAGGCTGAGGATAACGCCATGCCATTGCAGATATGGATTTGTTCCAGAACATTACCTAAAAATATTAATATTTATTATTTTTACACATACATTTCCAGAACATAAAAAAAACATTACTCTGAGACTAATAGAAAAAATTATAAAATACATGGTGAGTGGGGAGGAATGCACCAAACTTTAAGACTGTATAATATACGTAAAAATAAGTAAAAATAACTCATATGTTGTTATTCGATTTTCATTTGTTTTCGAGTTATAGCGATAATAACACAAAGTTGTAATTTTACTGCTACTTATCACATTTCTATAACAGGTATCTGTGATTCGTTTAATAATTAGTTAACTGTCATAATAGTGTAGTGTCAACGTGATTTAATGTCTATTTGACAGTTTGTATAAAAAAAGTTGTTGCAAAATGCCACATACTTATTCAAATAGTGATTATGCAAATATGGTGTTTGTTTATGGCTTTTGTAATGGAAACGGTAGAGCTGCTGTTGAAGAATATCGTCAACGGTTTCCAAATCGGAGAACTCCAGATAAAAATGTATTTATTAGAGTTTTCAACAAACTATGCGAGACCGGAACGCTTCCTAGTTATAAAATAATATCGGAACGTGCTCCCCGACAAAGTTTACAAGAAATACAAAATATTCAGGATTCAGTAGAAGATGATCCAGGGATCAGCACACGAAGAATCGGTACTCATTTAGATATTCCTCAAACGAGAGTAATTAACACACTTCACGAGCAAGGTTTATATCCATACCACCTACAAGTGTACAGCACCTACAACCAGAAGATTATGCCAGCCGTATGCAATTTTGTCGATGGATAAATAATAATCGTCGTGTTATAATCCCGCATACTTTTTACCGATGAAGCAACATTCACCAGAGACGGTATTAATAATAGCCGCAACTCACATGTATGGTCAGATGAAAATCCACATGCAACAATTGAAGCTAGTTTTCAGCAAAAATTTTCGGTAAACGTGTGGTGTGGTGTGATCGACGGTTATTTAATTGGCCCTTTCATATTTGAGAATCGCCTTACAGGAGAGGAGTACTTGAATTTTTTACAGAATGAATTGCCAGGACTCCTACAGAACATTCCACTAAATATCAGAATGCAAATGTATTATCAGCACGATGGAGCTCCTGCACATTTTGCTCGTCAGGTCAGGCAACATTTAAATACAAAATTTCCAAGGCGTTGGATTGGTCGCAATGGTCCTATTAGTTGGCCTCCGAGGTCTCCAGACCTAACACCATTAGACTATTTTTTATGGGGCTGGTTTAAAAATGAAGTTTACAAGGTAAAAGTCGACACTCGCGATGCACTAATTCGACGCATTAAAAATGTTGCAGCCACAATTAGAGCAAACCATGACGCAATCAGAAGAGCAACGTTGAATGTTCATAGACGAAGCAGAAAATGCTTACAGGTCAATGGTGGTATTTTTGAAAATTTATTATAAGAACATTTAACATTAAATTAATGTTAAGTTACAACTTTGTGTTATTATCGCTATAACTCGAAAACAAATGAAAATCGAATAACAACATATGAGTTATTTTTACTTATTTTGACGTATATTATACAGTCTTAAAGTTTGGTGCGTTCCTCCCCACTCACCCTGTATACCTACTCTTATTTCGTACTATGTGAAGAGATCTTATTATTTATGTTTCAATCAATTTCTGCCAAGCAGGAAAAGCATACTTTTACTCATTTTCTAAAATAATAATGCGGATGGATCAAAATAACTTCTTGATAGACTTGATAGTAAAAAAAGGTTTCTTGATAGACACATTGGGCACAGTAGAAGAGAAAGACCGAGAACAAGTTTTCTTAATTACATAGACGAAGAGATAAGAAACTGAACATGCGCTTGGTGGAGGAAAGCGATGAATAGGGAAGACCGGGGAGATATTCTTGAGGTGGCTAGCACCTACATAGAGCTGTAAAGGCAGAATGATGATGTCATTACTACATAGAGCTGTAAAGGCAGAATGATGTCATTACCGTCCTTACTATTGTTTGCTAGCGATCTTTATTCCAGACATGTCAGTAAAATATGATCATTTTACCAGTTAAAGTTACTACATTACTACAAATTCATATACAAAAAATAACAGAGGCTATCGATGATCTAATTTGTTCATTAGTCATACAAAAATTAGCCACACGAATGAGTAATAATGATACATTTTCCATAAAAACCTTGGGCTTTTCACAATCAAGTAAAGACTAAATGAACTTGATTTTTATTATTATTTCATGTGTGTTTGTAATAACCTTCAAAGTAGATGATTTTTGTAAATAAAACACCTGACAATCAATAAAATACTACTTTTTGTTATATCTAACTGAAAAAATTCAAAATTGAAAAAAGAGACAATATTAAAATATATAATTACCTGATAGGGTAGGGGTAGCTCCTCGGTTTTATCAGAATTAGCGTCAACAAACTGGAAAGCACCTGCTCTTAGATCATCCTTATAGTGTTGATCTTTATCAAATCCTTTTCCGGAGATATTTTCTACATTTACAGGTTCAGGAGCCGAATTACTTTCCTAAAACAGATTTAGACCTCATATAAATCATAACAAAAGATCATTAAAACGTGTGTAAAATGTGGGGAAATAACACAAATAAATTCACCCTTTCCAAGAAACTCGACGCTCAGTGCAAATACCTGTGTCTAATAAGTTACATTAGCGAGGAAAGATTAACAATCAAAAGAATTAGAGAGACCACGTAAAACACATGAACGAGGAAAGACTACCAAAACAGATTTTGGAATTTGTAACGCAGCCAAAACAAAATATTTGCGAAAACTTGCCAGGAGTCTGAATCACCAGCCTTAGGAATCATGCACTTAAGATTTTTCTTAAAATAATATAATACACGTATTTACAAGAAATTTACATTGTATATTGTGACTGAAAAAACACCGACAATGGTTTGGAATGGCCTCCACTGAACTATTTCGAATAGCGGTCAACAAAAACACGATAGCCAACATCCGCACCGGATAAGGCATTGAAGTAGAAGAAGAAGAATGGACAAAATGAAGAGTAAAACAAAACTAGTTTAAAAATAAATTTGATTACTCTTAAAAAACATCTAGGTGGGCTAAGACTTTGGGGATTTGAGTAATAATATTTTAAATTATAACTTACCGTGATTGGCAAAGTTGCAATGAACTCATTTATTTCTTTAACCACAATTTCGATGCATCTAATCTGCTCGGGACTAACATCTAACATAATACAATCACTTTCAATGCTCACTTGGATCTGAGGATCACTATCCTGACTTTGCCACGATTCCCAAAACATTGAAACATCCACCGACGTGGACCAAGGATTGAGTAACAGCTTTTTATACAGACCGTTAATAATCGAAATTGTCACACACTGGAAATTGGTTTTTACTGTTATTTTATCGGGACGCGTTGATAAAGTAAGATTAGTCGATAGTTTTTCCATGCCTAAGTGTATCTGAAATATAAAATAATAAAAATTAAAAATCAACTATAACATAAAAACGGTATGTATCATGAATGCACAAACAATATTCAAGTGACATCTTCTTGAATAAAAGCCTAACATGCTGTGAGTTCTATTTTCGTCGCAATATTCTTATTCATCTTTAATATGTCTACATCACACTACCTCATCTTCTGTCTGTTGAGTCTCGAAAGAGTATAGTGCCAGCATGTTTGTATCGTGGCCAGCATTTCCGTTTTACCCTGTATATATTAAACACCGAAAAAGATTCTTAATATTTTTGCGTCTCTAAGATTGGTAACATTTTCGAGTCTGTTTATAATAATTATAATTGCTCTTTCGATTGATCTTGATTCCGCCTAGATATTTAACAACGAACAAGAGAGTGATTTTTGAGAAAAATGTCACTCCTCCATGGACCGGCCGTGAGAGCAGTCGATTTCACTGTTGAAGTCATGAAGAATTTTGTCATCGGGAATTTGATAGTATCGCGATCAAAGGAGAACAAATTGGGTTCTGAACGAAAAAAAATCGTTCTCGTAGTTTCTAAAACCGACAGTTTGGCTTAATTAGATGGGTTTTCGTTAAAAGAAGGTGATTTAAGCTCAAAATGCTATGTGGCACTCTTTGTATAGTGAGTTAGTTAATCACCGGCTTGTTGGAAACTACTTTCTTTGTCAAGGAATTTCATAATAGCGTCCTGAAGGCCAAGTAGGTGGTTTTAAGTGGAATATAAGCAGCCAAGTTTTGAAAAATCATAATTGTTATCTTCCAGGATAACCTGAAGCCAGTTTTGGTGTTTGATTTCTCCCAGAATTTGTCCAGTTTCCATTTTGGATTTCCTATGGGTCCGATCAGATTGTTTTGAAGTTAGTGGGACAGTGTATTTTTTATTCAAATCTAAGGTAATAAACTTATTTTAATATGTCAAAAAAAAAAATTAGGCAGTAAAGTTAGTATATTAAATAAATATAACTTTTATAGATCAGCTAATTGTCATATTTTAGTTTTTTTTAAATAAAATTAACCTAGATATTTAATTAATATTACAACTTTAAAATTGTTTTGAATATGAGTGAATAGATTCTTTAATGTTGGAGATATAAGATCTGTAGCATTGATGTGTAAATGTTTTACATTGTGTTCAAACATCTGAAATTGAGGTATCAGCAGCTGCTGATTGAGTATATATTTTTGAACAACACTGGCTCTCTGCTTACTTGCACAAATACATACAACTTTCTCCATTTGATCATCACTGATTGGTTTTAAAAATGTTTTACAAGATTTAATTTTCACAAATAACCTCAAAAATTTTGGTTCAGAAAAAATGAAGTCGGAACAATAATATCTACCAAACCAACAACTGTGACCAAACTATCTGTATCATTCTTCACTTTTTTGTATGAAAATAGTTACTATTAATCGCTTATTTTAGTTCAATTGTGGAAATTAATCACAAGTAAAATAAACACGTGACTAGTTTTGAGGTTAGGTATATGTTTGAGAATATTATCGGCTATAACGGTTCAGTTATGTTTTCTATTGTTTAACGAAGACTTTTCAAGTCGTTATACAGTATGATAGATATTTGGCAAAAGTATACACTGTTTATTTTTTGTAGAGTAGTGTAGATTTTTAGCGATTGGTAACTTTTAGTAAAATATGAGTTTTCGGGTTTATAGCCGAGGAATTATTTTTTCATAGCATTTCGTATACTTCATCAGCGGGGTAAAAAAGATGCGGTAAATATTGAAGAGATATTCTGGATGGCTCGACTTCTCGAAGAAATAATTAGTTGTAAGTTTTAATGGACGACTCACTGTTCACTATTTTCTTTAGGAACTCACTTAAATTTGTTTACTTTCCAATTGTAAACTAAACTGATTGTAAGCATGTTTCCGAAGTTAGAAACCCATTAGAATATCTAAATAAATATAAGTGCTTTCTGGAACCCTTAAACAAGTTATTTAAAGAGTAATACTAAAAAAAATATAATTTATAAACTACCTCATAGCCTGCGTCAGACTTGATTGCAAATAACAGCTGCTTAAAATCAACATTAACGACATTAATACCCCATGGTATATTGGCTATTATATTTGTTGATTCCGAAGATTTCTCAACACTTCTAGGAATTAACATTGTGTCAGATTTATTTCCATTAAGGGCATCTAAAACCTAAAAATATAATTGTTACAAAAACACATTTTAAACAATTGTGTAAAAAAAAAGCTAAATAAACTTAAAAAACACTCTACCGCAAAATTAACATTACATTAACATTTAATAATATACAATTATTGATAACAATAAATAAAAAAAGAAAATTAGATTTTTGATGGTTCACTTTTTTTTTGTAAAAAACAAAAGACATGGCCAAAAATACTGTCTATTTTTCTTGCAATCACATAACTAATCATTTTCTAAGCCTACTAATATCCAGAATGCGCCCACGCTCTCAAAAGTTTCAGACACGATCCGGCCCCGACCGATAACCGACAGACCAATACGTTTATCCACAATAGAGGTGTGCTTATTAGTTCTTTTAGACGAACCAGTTCAACAGAACTATTTCACAAAAATGAACTAGTTCAGTGAACTAGTTCGCGAAAGAACTATTTGTAGGACCGACATCGAAATCCAACCCTAACAGAACTGGTTGCCAGATGTCTCGTCTCAATCATCACACAAGCTCGGCGCTAGCCGCCCGTTTTCTTTCAGTCTTTCACTAGTTCACTTAGTTCACTACCGTACAAGTAGTTCGGAACTATTTCTTTCGATCGTATGTTTAGGTTTAAATGGTTTAAATTATTATATGATTAGTTAGTTTTTATTTGCAAAAAATTATTAAGATTTGTTTTTTATTAACCGTTTTAAATATAAATATGGTTCAAGTATGATTTATTTTTATATTTACGTATATTTAAACTCATAGGTATTTATAGTTAGGTTATTTCTAAAAGAACCTTTACAAAAAAAATCAGTGAATTTTCTAGGAACATTAAATAACACATTTTCATTCTCACTTTTACATAAAATTATATTTTATGTAAATGCCTCAATCATTTTAACCACAACTAAAATTTTTATTTCAAAATTACAATACAAGAAACAACACAGCATGGCAACATCCAAGCCAATACATGGGCATAAGATCCGAACCATTATGACATTAAGATAAGACTTAATGTTATTGTCACATTCATAAGAATTATGAATCTGTTATCTGAGGCTAATCGGCATTTTTTTTAAACTAGTTAGTCCATCCATTCACAAAATAATAAATATATGTTCTAATTTATTCATTCATTATTTTCTTCTTTAGAAGTTGAGACATAATTTATAATGCAAATCGTTCGCAGTGAACTAGTTCTATGAAAATTAATGAACTAGTTCAATTAGTTCAGTTGAAAGAATCGTTCATTAGAACTATTTCGATGGTGAACTACACATCCCTAAGCCACAAACAAAAATGGTAACAACGTAACGGGCAACCCAGTCCCATAAACTCGTCAATATTTTCGTGCGTTATTGGCTATTTATTCAATTACTATTAACACATATTTCTATTGGTAAAAAATATAAATTAAATTCTTTCACAGTAGACATATAATATTTATTTGCAAGATTTTTTCTAACTGTTACCAATGGTAACAATGGTTACATGGACGCTTCGCCAGTGCTTTAATTTGGTATAAAAAAACATGCATATACGTCATAAGCAGAGTATTTTATTTCAAAAATAAATGAGCGAAATAAAATTTTTCTTTAAAAATTAATCATTATTTTTTACATCTGTAGTGATCCTACATCTGATCTTGTACTATTTTACGTTTGTAAAATTATCTGGAAACAACTGTAAAATGTAATTCTCCTTTTAACATATGACCGTACTGTTAACCATTAAGAAATGCAGTATAAAAAGACTGAAGGCTAACAAACTGAAAAAGAAAGACAAATATTTATAGACAAAAATCGGAAAGATTCTCTATAATAGCAATAAAAAAATAAGAATTATTCAATACATTATTCATTTTTCATACCTGATCTTTAACAGTTAATAAATATCCCCACTTGGTTGTCGAACATAAAATCTTCGTAGGCTTCGATATTGAAATATTCAGAGCAGCGTTTTTACCGAGTCCCTTAGAAAACTTGGCAGTGAAGAATGCAGGATATATTCCGGTATTACAATCAGGAATACCACATTTGGTCTCCAAAAGATTCACTGGAAAATCATCTTCAGAAGGAATGTGGTTAACAGGTAGGTATTCTGGTCCACTCGATTTTAAATTAAGATCAAAGCAGGTTATTTGAACACCTCTAGTTAACTGCTTTTTATTCATAAATATGTTTGGCTGGCTTATGCAAAAGTAAACCAAAGGCGTGTATTTATTATAATTATTTTCATTCTCTGCTTTACCCTCTTCTTCTGCCTCATAGCCAGATGCGTTGATATCTATTTTTAACGATTTCTTCCTTTTGTTTTTTGCTCTTAAGGAACCGGTTGTAGGTAAGATTACTTGGTAAAGAGCTAGAGATATTTTACCAGCTGTGAGCAGAATATCGAAAGGAATTAACTGATTTGAATTCAAAGTATTGCTAGGTTTAGGTGGAGTATACTTTTCGCTTTCGCTTAAAGTTTTTAAGATCCTAGAGGAGGACAATATGCTTTTATTATCCAACGTGTCGATACCAGAATCCCTGCATACATCATTAGCTTCAATTTCTTCTTCGTAAAACGACTCGTCGTAGGATCTGGTATACGGTAGAGTCAATTTCATTCTGATCAAGTGTTTGTCTATAATTAGCGGTTCCATTGAAGCCTCAAACTCGTGAAGCAACGCAGAAATCAATTTAATTTGATGTAATGATAAATTAATAATTATATCACTAACAAAATTGATTTCTATTGAATGTCCACACACAAGTGCCGTTTCTTTGTAAATCATAGCAGGCGCAAGTATTAGGGAAATGTCGAATTTTTCTGTAAGATACCAAAGATTTAGACTAGGGTGTGGAAAATTGGATTGGCCTTGTTCTAAATTATTCCATTCTAACGCTGGATTTTCACTTAAACCTTTCAATGTTGAAGTGAAATTTGAAGGGGAAAGTACGGAATCTATGTCTTCCCACGCTCCAGTACATACCGAGATTCCTATTAGGTCTAGTTGGTATTGTCTATCTTCCACGTCACTTCCTAAAAACGAAAAATAGTGTTTTACTTAATATACTTTGTGCAAAATACCTGAAAAAGTTAATACCATTAGAAGCCACATACTAAACCCTTTTAAAATGCTACCAGAAGATTGGTACGACTATAACAACATACACCACCTATCAAAACTAGTATCGGGCATTGAGCAAACACTGATAATGAAAAAGCAAATATATTTCTTCAAAACCTGGAAACTACCATCACTCCATTTCCCTCTGAGTTACAACCAGAAGCAAAAGTATAGATATTTGGACTGTCCATACCAGATGTCTCCACCTATCAAACCTTTTAGAAAAACGGAAATTGTTGACTCAATCCTAATAAAAGAAGTTTTGTTATGACTCTTTGTTATGAGCTGATTACCAATTCTTGCTAAAATTCTTAAGAAATTAATAATAAAGAAATTGAATTATTTCCTGACTGCCAATTTGGTCTTTGGTCGACAAAAACCCAGCAGTTTTTTTGGACATCAAACAAGCTTGTGATCTTCTTCTTTTTGTGCCACTCCTATCGGAGATTGGAAATCATCAAGGCTATTCTGACCTTGTTTACGGCTGACCTAAAGAGTTCATTAGTGGTGCAGCCAAACCACTCTCTCAAATTCCGCAACCATGACATTCTTCTACGGCATGGATTCCGTTTTCCTTCTATTTTTCCCTGCATTATATTTTAAAGTAATGCGTATTTATGTCCTCTCATCAGGTGACCAAAATATTCGAGTTTTCTTCGCTTTAGCGTTAACAAAATCTCTGGGTCTTTTCCTATTCTTCGTATTACTTCACAGTTTGTTATTCTTTCAACCCAACTAATCTTCAGCATTCGACGGTAGCACCACATCTCGAAACTTTCAATATTTTTCATGTTGTTCTGTTTGAGAGTCCAGGTCTCTACACCGTATAATAGCGTGTTAAATACATAGCCTCTCAGCATTCTTAATCGTAGAGGGATGCTTATATTTCTGTTGCACAAGAATTTTCTCATCTTTATGAAGGTGGCCCTGGCAATTTCGATACGTCTTTTTATTTCACTGTTTTGGTCTCCAGTTTCGTTTATTAAAGGTCCCAAGTATTTGTAGTTTGATACTTTTTCAACTTGAGTGCCGTTTATACTAATATACGCTGGTTGTGTCATGTTTTTACTGAAGACCATATACTTGGTTTTTTAATATTGATATTTATACCATAATTGTTGCAAGCAATATTTTATGTCTGTAAGTAATCTTTGTAATTCTTCTACTGTTCTTGCAACTAGTACAGTGTCGTCCGCGTATCGAATATTATTTACAATCTCTCCATTAATTACGATTCCTCCGTTTGCTTGTAAAAGGGCTTCCTGACAGATGCTTTCACTATATACATTAAATAACAGAGGTGACAAAATGCAACCCTGTCGTACTCCTCTACGTATTTCTATTGCTTGTGATGTTTCAGTTTCTATTTTGATGTTAGCTTTCTGATTCCAATATAGATTGAGAATTATTCGCAGATCTTTATTATCTATGTCCTTCCTTTCAAGAATCTCTCTAAGCTTATCATGGCGTACTCTGTCAAACGCTTTTTCAAAATCGATATAAAACACTTATGTACCTCCTGATTAACGTCTAGGCATCTTTGTGTGAGAACATTCAAACCGAAGAGAGCTTCTCGAGCACCAAGCCCTTTTCTGAACCCCATCTGTGTATTACTAATATCTGACTCCAACTTTTGATAAACTCGGTTGTGGATGATTTTTAGAAATATCTTTAGTAGGTGGCTCATTAAAGATATTGTTCGATGTTCTGAACATTCTTTAGCATTAGATTTCTTTGGCAGTATAATGCCAGTATTGTATATTGTATTAAATAAGTGCAATATTATACCTATTGATTCATCATTCAAGAGCTTTAGCAATTCGGTAGGAACCTCATCCGGTCCATTTGCCTTCCCAGTTTTGGAATTTTTAAGTGCCATTTCTACTTCACATTTTAGAATTTCAGGTCCCGTTTCGCCATATATCAGAACAATGTTATTTCTGTTGTCCTCAAATAATTCTCTTATGTATTCACTCCATCTATTAATTTTCTCTGTTAAATCTATAATAATCTTTCCATCTTTGTTCTTAAGCAAACTTATTTGACGTCTTCTTTGGGTTCCTGTAATTCCTCTTACTTTTTTATGTATATTGAACGTGTCATACTTTCTTTCATAGTTTTCCATTTCTACACATTGTTCTGTAATCCATGATTCTTTGGCATTTCTTATTCTTTGCTTTATGTTCTTATCAACCTCTTTGTATTTTTCTACATTATTCTTCATTTTACGTCTTTAATCCATTAGTTCTAGAATGTCTGGTGTCATCCACACCTTATGTTTCTTTGCAGACTTGGTTAGGTGTTTCTTTCCCGTAGTTTTTATTATAGTATTTATATACTTAAGTTTTTCATCTATGTTGTCTGTTCTGCGGATTTGGCTTTCTGCTACACTGAGGCTGGTGTTTATTTCTTCTCGCACTGTTTGTCGTAGATGTTCATTTTTAAGCTGGCTTAAGTCTAATGCTGGAATGATGGCTTTTATTATTTTCTTTGGTCTAGCTTCTATCACAGATACTACTGGATTATGATCCAAACCGATATCAGCTCCAGGGAAAGTTTTAGTAGATTTTACGGCATTACGGTATCTTTTTTTGAGTGATGAAGCTTTTGATAAAGTGTGGTAAACAAAATGGCGAATCAGAGTTAATGAAAGTAAATCCAACCACGTCAGACAAGCCCAAAATACCTCGGTATTCATGTTAATAGACGACTTACTTGGAGAAACCACATCTTCAATAAACGAAAACAACTTGGATTAAAATTAAGATAACTTTACTTGCTGCTTGGAAAAAGATCTGAACTATTATTAGAAAATAAATTATTGGTTTATAAAATAATTCTAAAACCGTCTGGACCTGTCATTCAGCTGTGGGGGTGTGCAAGCTAATTAAATATTAACATCTTGCAGAGGTTCCAATCGAAGGTCCTTAGACGGATTGCTAATGCAACATACTACGACCCTGGCGAAGTCATACATCGTGATTTCGTCCGATCCATCAAAGACGACATTCGAAATGAATAACACGAAGTTTATGAAATTCCTCGTACATAGGTCAAGCCAATCGTAGAATCCAAAATAGGATTTATGAACATATAAAAATGTACGATTAAAATTCTTCCCTTATTATCGGATTAACTGCTTTCAGAAATTATTACTTAATACTTAGCAAACTACAGAAAATAATCAGTCTCTAACTTTAAGTCGGAACATCTCTAACAGTTACTATAATCACTGAGTATTTACCTCAGATATTAGAGGTTAGGAAGCTATTAAGCAAAGGGAGACACAACAGATCTGAAAACAATATAATTTCACCCTGTAGACATAATATATTTTAGCTTACCTGGAATGCTCAAAATTCTAGCATGTGCTGCTTGTTCGTAAATATCTGGCCTCAATGGTGATCTGCAAATAGGGTTTACAGCCGAAGGACTTATGCAAATTTTCTGCACTTGGAATAGTAGAACGTCATGTAACGAATGTTTACATTCGAGTTCTACCGAAGGTATGATTATTCTAATGTCTTGGCACTCCAGATATGCTAAAGGTAAATTTTGATTGTTGATATCTAAGAGAGAGGCGGATGGATCGGAAACTTTTGTTTCCTTATGGGCTGGTATTTCTAGAAGAGGTACTATAACCATGTAGAAACTGCGTAGTGTTTTTGGCGATATCACAAAATCTACAACAAAACAAAATAAGTATTTTTCAGTAATATTGTGTTATGATGTAAACAAACTATTTAAATGAAGTACTGATTTAAAAAAATAAAAGAAAAAAAATTAGAAAAGTAAAGAAAAAAAACACGAGAAAGAAAAAGTAAGGGGTTGATCGTCATGTTCATTTTCTAAGTATTTAGTCAATACATCACATTTATGGGTTCTTTTTAATTAACTTTTAATTGATAAAATTTGTTGAATAACTTGCTATACCATGTTTCAAAGTAAAAACGTTGCACGTCACAATTTATATAAAGTGACGTCACTTATATTTAAAATTTCCAGAACGTCAACCTTAGAGTTCAAATTTTCCTAACACAGCTAATAATACGAAACCCATACGGAACTGCTCGATCTTTCATAGGCGTCAACATGGTATAATAATCAGAAAAATGTAATCATCATTATATTGGGAATTTTAGAATTATATTGATTAAATAACCAAAAACATTTGTTATTATTAATAATATAAATTTTATGAAATAACTCTTTAAGTCTAATATTCCACAAAATAATAATTTTAATTAAATAGATTAGACAATTGTACGCAACTGATACGGGAATACTTCAAATTTTTTGACAGTTCAGCGTGTGGCAAAATTGTTTAAAGTGTTGCCGCTTTTTTAGAGTAAGAATTTTGTTTATGTTTTGATTTCTTACACAATTTGATCATAATATATTATATATTAATAAATTGTATTTATAAATACATATTAAATTTAGATTAATAGCTTTAAAAACTAATTATTGTTGTGTATTGTGATTGTGCTATGCCAAAACAACTAAATAGTCTGTAGAAAGCTGATAAGCTTTCATATAAGATAGATTATTTTGAACAAGAAATAATGGCGGACGTTTTTACTATTAATGCTCTAAAAGAGGTAAGTTTAAAATTTAGAATATATAATTTTGTATTAAAATGTTTTCTTGTGTATTTTAGTGTGTTGCAGTAGTCTTAAAACTAAGTGTATTTACTGTTAATATAATAGTTTGACAAATAGTTGACATTTTAAAAATTCCTCACTTACTAACTATTCTGATGTTTTGGCAACGCTGTGGGGTTCTGACGTCGTAAATCTTGAATGACGTGCAATCATTTTTATATGAAAAATTCTATATTATACCTAATAAAAAATGTTACCTATAGGTTGTATATTTACAACTATTTCAGTAATGTAACGACTCTGTGACAGCAGTTGTGGATTTAAAGATTCTCTTCTTTTCGGTTCTTTATGATGACGTTTTTGTACCGCTCCCCATAAAGTGTGCGTGTGTTGGCAGCTTGCCCTTGTTATTGTAACACTTATAAAACCGTTATCTTCATGCCGTTGGGTAGCAGCGACATCTTCCCTTAACCGCATAACTATACCCGAAAATGGTCCGGGTTGCCAGTCCGAAGTTGGTGTTAACCTAAAAAGTGGGAACATTGTGAATGTTGCTTCAAAATGCTTATTTGTATGTTTAGTATACAACATAAAAAACCACTCTAAATGCTATTTTAAGAAAATGAATACCCAACTGCTATGTAATTAGACATATTATTTTCTTAATATTGTTCTGAAGCTATTTTCTTGTGGCATTGTAAATTAATTACTATTTAACTGGGAATAGCCACAATTAAAGATAAAATACGTTTATTAATAATGTTAATTAATAAACGTATTTTTATCTTTAATTGTGGCTTATTCCCAGTTAAATAGTAATTAATAATTATTTTCTATGAATTGAATGAATGAATATTTTAATCGAAAAAATTTCCGACTTACCTTTTATAATGTTGAATTGATACCGATCCAATTTTGCTCTTGAGTTTTAAATACACACTTTGAAAATCTAACGAACTAACAATATCTTCTGCATCTACGACAAGCTTCAAACGAGGCTGTGTCGGTTTCAGGTTGTCGCTTAAGTCTTTGTACTCGCTAGATAATAATTCTATAGTAAATCTGGTAATTGTCCACTGAACCCAAGCCGTTAGTCTAGCGGTCTCATCGGTAGTTTCTTGTTGGGATAACGTCGCAATAGGTGGGGTTCTGTCACTAGTTGAATCAAGAGTATTTTCTTTTAATATGGTTGGAGACATAGTTGAACTCTTACTAAGGACAGGTGGTAAAGCGTCTGGAGTTTTCGGAACAACATTCGGCGTCGTTTCAGGCATAAGATTGCTAGCTACTTCCATGAGACCTACAAAGTATTAATAAGTATAATATTTATATCAATAAATATTTGGTTAAAAATATTTGGTAAAGTTGACACCATCTATCTATCGTCCGTCGGTAAATTCAAACAAAAATATAACTTCCAGACCATCTTTTACCACCTCTATTCCCGACAAATTAATATATTGTACCGTTTTTAAATAAAACGAGCGGTTCGAATTTATATAAATATATTTATTTATAACTTTACAGTTCGGTAATATCTTAACGACTAAACTTATTCCTAAGATCGTTACATATATATACCAAAGTTACTATTTTCTAGAAAGTTCCCACCTCTAGGCGTACGCGACTGATCTTTCTCGAAATATCGAGTCGCTTTCGAGATGCCGCCGCATGGAAGCATGAGGTGCTGTTTCGAGATGCAACCGTTATACGTGCCTCGTTGAATGCAAGTTCGTAACAATATCTATTAAATATATTTTTTACCACCAAAATGAGATGTTTTAACCTAATAATGCTTCAAATATAATGTGCCAGAATAATTTGAATTACGTTCCGCTATATGAACCTGCTTTTTTGTCCTTAAAAGTAGAAAAAAGTTTCAATTATAATACTTAATATTTCGTATAAATATAATTGTCAAACACTTTTAACTGTACTAATGCTCAAGTATCAATTATCAAGTTTTAAACTGATTGATTTACGATTAGTAATCCGTATGTAAAAATACCGGCATGTGCCTTATGTAAGGGACTGGACTTGCACATTTTTAGTTTAGTTGTATCTTTGCAACTAGTTGTTTATAGATAGATGTGCATTATGAATTGCTTTAATTTAGAGTTGTGTTGAAATTTTATTGTAAGTAGTTATAATCATTGTAGTAGTTTTTTGTTGTTTGTTTTTTGAAACTGCCTATTTGTGTATAAAGAAAATGTTTAGACCATGGGAAAAATCACCTATAGTTTTTCGTGCATGGGAGCAAGTAGTAGTAGTAGAGAAAGTGTAGTAGTCAACAATCTTTTAAAAGTAAGTGATACAAAAAACAATGACACTGAGACTGTAACTGTAGAAAAGTGTTCTAGAAAAGACTTCCAAAGAAAATAATTGTTTTGAATGAACAATCTAAGTTATGAACGTTTACAAAAATCTTCAAAATGATCCTGAAAATAGTTGTAAAGGCAGTATTATAAGAAAAGAACTGAACAGGGTATACGTAAGCAAAACAAAAATCGACGGACGGAGATGCATATCCCTTGCGTTGTTATGTGTTACTAAATGGTTTTCGTTTTCTCGTTTTCTGTCTAGGAGTCTAAGGTGTCTGAGGGGATGGGAGAATTACAATTGCCTCGTACGAGGCAATGTTGCCGATTCTAGCGTTTTATGTAGTTTACAATATCTAACCAAAAACTTAACGTACTGTATCCTAGTGCTATTTTTACTCTTCATTAACATTATTATCATTCAGCCATTTGAATTCCCTGCCGGACATAAGCCTCCTCTTAAGGTTTCGAAGTCACTGAATCCTCTTGATCTATTCTACAATATTTTTGACCAGTTGCAGTCTTTTTCCTTGCCAGGTATTTCTATTCTCTATTTCAGTATTGACACCACTCTTATCTTATCTTCTTTTCTCACTGTTTATCCTTAGTATAGACAGACCTTTCCATTTTTCTTTATGTTATTATTAACTTCTTATACATATATAACTTCTCCATATAAATGTTTTTTTAATACTCGAGATATCTGCTTTGTATATAAAAAATGGTAGTATATATACGCAAAAAGTTTTTATTTTTACGCTAATTGGTATATCATTATCATTAAATACATTTTTGGACCTTTCTTCCGCAAATTTCACATTTCACACAAGCTTGTCCCAATCTATCTATATTTTATGTCAGAAATAAATATGATATGATATACTTACCGTAGAGAATACTTGCAAAAAGGTATACCTGAACTTCAGAGGTAGAAATAACAATCGGAGTCATGTCTATATGAACACAAACACCAATACACCCAATATCCGGTTTAGACGTGTCTAAGTTGGCATCACATTCAGGTTTATTTGGCTTTGTAGAGAGCCCAACGGTTGCATTCAAAGAAACAGGTTTCAAAAATGTCAACTTTTCACCGAATTGAATAGTGTAACAGCTCATGTCTGATATAGACATTGTCCAGGGAAAACTTGATTTCTCAGAAGTCCATATTGTATCTGGTAGAGTCACTGGAAGTGTATTCAAGTATTTTTTTATACTCTGTCGATGAGCGCTACGAATGTTTGCTAGAGGTAATGTTATTATCAAGATATCCGGTGGTTGTTCTTTGTTGACAGCTGATTCAACGGCCTCTTGAATACCTATAAAATAAAACATATTTATACAATCAGCAAACCAATAATAATAACTTTTAACATTGATAAGACACAATTTTAACTATTTTAACATTGTCAGTAATAATTGACAATGTTGTCAGCATTAACTCCATAAATATTTAAATGTTGAACAAGTGTTATATTAAGAGTGACAATGATTACGTGATATAGTTGATTTAACATGAATTCGGGATTTTTTTGGTAATTTGGCAACAATGTCAATTTAGATATCTGACGTAAATAATGACGTGCATCGCGATTTATACTGTACCAACTGTACTTACCTTGAGATCCGATCGCAGATAGTGACCCCAACGGAAAATAAATAGTACACTGGGAAATATCTCCACACAGAAACACTCCCTTCCAAACATCGAACCATTTCTTCAGAAAATTATATATTTTCTCTTGGATATCCACAGTTTCTTCTCTGGTCACTTGTACTTTCTGTGGAATGTACAAATGTTCTCGGTCAGAACTGCTATGGACGGATTCTATTTGACTAGATACCTTACGAGGAGTTTCTGCAACGCTACTGCTGACATCGGAAACATTTTTGGTTTTGGGACCAGATTCTAAAAGATAAACAGCGTCATTTTAATTATTAATAAATTTTAATAATTTTAATTAAACAAATAAAAGAAAAAGCTATAGAGTTCGGCATGCAAGCGTATATTTGCTTCATTGATTTGACGAAGGCATTTGACAGAGTTCGCCTGGAAGACATTCTAAATATATTAATAGAAAATAAAACACCGACCAGTATAACAAAGATACTCCATAACCTAAATAACAACAACGTAACCAAAGTTAGAGCAGGAGACGAATTCACTGAAATATTCCAACACCGGGAGGAATTAGACAAGGCGACAGTTTAAGCCCCTTCTTGTTTAATCTTCTCATGGGCAAAATTATCAATAAGTAACATCTCTTAATCTCGGATATAGAATGGGCAACAAAAGAATTGGTATGGTGTGTTACGCAGACGATGCAGCAATTATTGCCGAATCAGAAGATGATCTCCAAAGGCAGCTCTTTCAGTTCTTTCAAACAAGCCTACTACTAAATATGGACATCTCTACCAACAAAACTAAATGTATGACAATAGCAAAAGATCCGCTCAGATGTAAGTTAGTGGTTGAGGACAACCCCATAGAACAGGTGATGCAATTCAGATATCTGGGCATAGATATATCAAGCACCCACGACCCAGTAAAGGACCTGAGGAGTCAGATCAACAAAGCATCTGCACTGTCAGGATGTCTGCGGGAGATAGTCTGGTCAAATCCGTATATGCGCACAGATAGTAAAATTAGAATCTATAAGACTTGCATACGACCGATCATGACATATGGCATAGAAGTGCGCGAAGATACCAACAAAACGAAACAGATGCTAAGGGTTGCCGAAATGAAAACCCTAAGAACAATAATGGGGAAAACAAGAAGAGACAGAGTGAGAAATACAAACATTAGAGAGCAGTGCAAAATTCAAGATATTGTAAGATGGGGAAGGCAGCGCAAGAGGATGTGGTACAACCATGTAAGACGAATGGATGAGAATAGACTCCCAAAAATTGCCCTAGAAAACAATCCGCCCGGTTCAAGACCCCCCGGAAGACCACCTAAAAGATGGAGGGATAGTTGGCAATCTACCTCCCAAGAAATTAACCAGAGGCAGCTTCAGAATTAAACAGATCGAAAGATCTACAAAAAGTAGAAGAAGTAGAAGAAGATTTTAATTATTATTAGTATTATAAACTGTAAAAATATAACGGGTTGTGGACTAGCTTAGATAGTTTTAACCTAAAAACAACTATATTTATTTTTAAAGCTAAGTACTCGTTTCTGCCTGCTACAGGGCGGTAGTAAGGATATCTTGGAAGAAAAGAAGTAAGAAAACAATGTTGAAAAGACAAATAAAAATAATAGTAACACAAACTTAAGAGCTGTTCCATTTTGATGAGGGTTAAGCCACGTAAACCGCTGCCGGAGGACCAAAAGAATACCAATATGTAAGGTAAAGACGAATTATACCGCGTCCAAACTCTGCATGACAGTTGAATGTGTAAAACGAGCTGTTACGAATAGTCTACTGTTGGTACTAGACCACAACTCCTTTTCCTTTAGACTAACTGCACTGTGGGCTTAGCAGTACCAATCCTCATTTTTCCTCTACTTGTGGAACCAGAATGAACAAAATCAATAAATCCCAAACTACCAAAAAGGAATGTCCAGCAGACTAATGAAAAATTACCATTTCTCAAAATATCATGACAGAAATCAATATTACAGGATGAACGAAACTAAAGAACATGAGGAAGCATGGTACTGATACTAATAAGATCATCATACTTAGAAAATTTCCAACTACTCTTCGATATAATTAATTACAAAAGAGAACAAAGCTCCAACTTTTTCGTCAAAACATTGTGATAGTGAAAGTTGTAAAATTACTTTGATGGAGATCAAGACCGCAATGATCTCCAACCACAAGATCTACAAAATAAAAGCTATCCCAATAAAACTTCTTACCAAAAGTGTCCTGGCGTACCTTGCACAAACCAAAAGTAAGGGTTTTAAGTGATATTAGTCGGCCTTGGAAAATAAAATAAAGGCCTTAAAGTAGAAAGCGTTCCAGTCTCGAGGCCATGCGGACCGTGCTTGGCTCCAAGCATGACGTCGATAATATACTACGTATGATACTCTGTCGATAAGAGTTATAGATAGAATTGTATAGAGTACAGTTGCCTGAAAAGAAATCTACGAAGTTGTGGCCACTATGAACAAAAACCTGCAACAATCATTCCCATGCCGAAGGCCAACGAAAATCGAAATTGAGCACGTAAACCGAGGAATCCGTCATAGGAGCTAATTTTGAACTAGACACTAAAGTTAGAACCTGTATCTTTAGTACATCTGGTCTGTGCAGCCCGAAGTGTAGACGTCTTGGTGCAGTTTAATGAAAGGACAGTCTTCTTCTTCTACTTTTTTGTAGATCTTTCGATCTGTTTAATTCTGAAGCTGCCTCTGGTTAATTTCTTGGGAGGTAGATTGCCAACTATCCCTCCATCTTTTAGGTGGTCTTCCGGGGGGTCTTGAACCGGGCGGATTGTTTTCTAGGGCAATTTTTGGGAGTCTATTCTCATCCATTCGTCTTACATGGTTGTACCACATCCTCTTGCGCTGCCTTCCCCATCTTACAATATCTTGAATTTTGCACTGCTCTCTAATGTTTGTATTTCTCACTCTGTCTCTTCTTGTTTTCCCCATTATTGTTCTTAGGGTTTTCATTTCGGCAACCCTTAGCATCTGTTTCGTTTTGTTGGTATCTTCGCGCACTTCTATGCCATATGTCATGATCGGTCGTATGCAAGTCTTATAGATTCTAATTTTACTATCTGTGCGCATATACGGATTTGACCAGACTATCTCCCGCAGACATCCTGCAGTGCGGATGCTTTGTTGATTTGACTCCTCAGGTCCTTTACTGGGTCGTGGGTGCTTGATATATCTATGCCCAGATATCTGAATTGCATCACCTGTTCTATGGGGTTGTCCTCAACCACTAACTTACATCTGAGCGGATCTTTTGCTATTGTCATACATTTAGTTTTGTTGGTAGAGATGTTCATATTTAGTAGTCGGCTTGTTTGAAAGAACTGAAAGAGCTGCCTTTGGAGATCATCTTCTGATTCGGCAATAATTGCTGCATCGTCTGCGTAACACACCATACCAATTCTTTTGTTACCCATTCTATATCCGAGATTAAGAGATGTTACTTTGTTGATAATTTTGCCCATGAGAAGATTAAACAAGAAGGGGCTTAAACTGTCGCCTTGTCTAATTCCTCCCGGTGTTGGAATATTTTCAGTGAATTCGTCTCCTGCTCTAACTTTGGTTACGTTGTTGTTATTTAGGTTATGGAGTATCTTTGTTATACTGGTCGGTGTTTCATTTTCTATTAATATATTTAGAATGTCTCCCAGGCGAACTCTGTCAAATGCCTTCATCAAATCAATGAAGCAAATATACGCTGGCATGCCGAACTCTATAGCTTTTTCTTTTATTTGTTTTATTATAAATACTGCGTCTGTTATAGACCGCCCTTTTGTAAAACCTTGTTGTTCTTCAGCATTAGTGATTCCCATGGCAAGGCTAGCCACCTACCTGGGGTAAAGAAACCCATATTGGCTCACAGAACTGAAGATTCAGCCTCGGAAAGGACAGTACTTGGTACAAATGTTTCACGAAAAACTGCCACAGACAGTTACTGTCTTGTCTGAGGGAAGAAGAAGAAGAAACGCATGGAACAAAGTAATGAAGAAAATAGAAGTATGTACTGGAATAATAATGGGGAGGATAAAAATGATAAAACACAAAGTATTAATAAAATCATAAGCTAATAGGAAAAACGACCAAAAAGATGACTAGCTCGTGGATAATGAAATAGAAGGAGTAGAACATTTTAAATAAACAAGCGAGGTGAATAAAAGAGTAGAGTAGAGTAGAGTAGAGTATTTATTTAACTACATAACATATATACAAATATTGTTTGTAGCAAGTCAAAAAAAAACATACATAGTATTAAATAATAAAACATTAAATAATACAAACATGAAAACATATTAAACAGATAAATAATACAAACATGAAAACATATTAGTGTACACCTACATTGGAACCGTATTTCTCCGATCCGATATCTGGCGACGTCGGATTAAAAACAAACTCAAGGTATTAAATCAGAGTGCCTATACTGCTTCGTCACGGAAGCAGTATAGGCACTCTGATTTAATACCTTGAGTTTGTTTCCAATCCGACGTCGGCCGACGTCGCCCGATATCGGATCGGGAGAAATACGGTTCCAATGTAGGTGTACACTTAAACAGATAAATAATACAAACATGAAAAACATATTAACAGAAAAATATTTATGGCAAAGTTACGGTAAGCAGTTCAGTGGATGTTCTGCAATGAGTCATATATTCTTCTGAGCAGTAAAAACAATGTTTTAAAAGATTTTTTTTATAACTTTATCGAAACTATTACAGCTTAGCTCTTTTATACTTTTTGGTAAAATACTGTAATAGTTATAATTAAGACTATTTTTTTCTGAAAGACTTAATCTACAGCGATTTGTTCGTAGGTAGTGACAGTTTCGCGTATTGTGAACATGGACATCAGACTGCTTTATTAAATGGGCACGTTTTCTGTGAATTTGAGTTAAAACTTGAAATATCAACAGAGTAGGTAGAGGCATAATTTTGAATTTGAGTAGTACATGGAATTTTGATTTTTGATTTTAATTTTGAGTAGTACATGGAATAACGTCTACAGACAATTCTGAGTTCCAACATCGAAAAGATTATAATACCCATGTTCGTCCGTCTAAAGATCTGGTCTACTGGCAAAGATTGATCCCACCGTAAACCGATAATCTCAACGGAAATAATGGTTCGTGCGACAATCATAGCGAACTACGAGTGCCTAGTAAAATCACATTGTTTTGAGTCTTTCGACTCTCGAAACTCCAAGAGATATCGTTGTCACCTTTGACTATCGCACCATTACGCGCTCGAGTAAGTGCGTAAACCAAATGTCCGAACCTGCGGTTCCTTCGTACTGAGCAGGATTACTATCGCAACAGAGTGATCGTAGGTACTAACCTGTTCTGACGGTTTAAGCATCATGCATATACTCCATTGTATTACTTACCAAATATATTTAGCGTATGTCCAAACTGCTTAGGAGTATACAATAACCATTTACAAAGTAAAGGGTCTATACAAACACGAATTTCTTGCAGATTAAAAAGGATAATTGGCGGATGCTGTTGATTCTCGGGACCTATCGGATATTGGATGGTCGCAGTGAATAAGGGTGCATATGAAGGTTCTCCTGAAGGTCTGCAATAGAAGATTTAATACATTTTTTATGGTTTTACTTTATTTATTTTTTAATGGTTTTACTTAAACTATATCAACCGAAATACGTATACAGAGTACGCAAATGAAACATACCACCATGATATTTGGCAATATTCACTACATTTTAACAATACAGACATCTATCACTCGCCAACCTCCTTCCAGTAGGAAATATATCATGTGACTTTCTCCATTAACTCCATTTGTGTGAAAAAGTATCAATTTATTAAAAGTTTTATACCATTTAAAAATTAAATGTAATGTTTCATGTAATGCCTATGTTTCACTAAAGTGTCAAATATTTTCCATCACATCAAAAACTGCAATCAAACGAATTTTGGAATAAAAATAGGCAGCTTTATTTGATGTAACGGAAATAAAATAATTAGGAGAATTTATAACCAATAAATAGTAAACACAGTAGTCGTAAGTAATTGGAGAATTGTAGTCAGTTTGCATTTTCAAAAAATATGAAATATTTTATTATATCTATATTGTATTAGTTATTTTTCATCCAGTTTTTAACTGAAACCTACTTAGAGTAAATATATGATGAGAAACGAATTGATCGAGAGTAGTGAATCGATGTAAAGAACCACATTTTGTGACGCTACCCGTAACGACGCCATCTTGTGACGCTAGTTCCGTGACGCTCGCCTTAGAATTTTACTGTAAAGAAAAAAGTAATACAACGCCAGTGCAAATGCCAGTACAAATGCCAGCTAGAAAGATCGACGAGTTTTAGCATTTTCACAAAATCTAATGAATATTGCCAATTATCAGGATGAACTATTTTCAATGGCTTGTATTTCTGTTGAAATATACGCGCTCTACTACTTACCCTTTCTGTACTATTTCTTCTCCTTCTTGTGTCGATTTAGGTTCTGGACCAGAGATAAATAAAACTTGTTGAATATCATTGGAAAAAGAAGAGTCATCTACTTTTTTATGTATTGGTTCCAAAATAAAGCCTTTTATGGAACCTAGGCTCACATCCATGGAAACAGTCGAGTTTGTGTTTACCTTTTTAAAACGAATTGCTTCAATGCATAATTCCATAAATGGTAGTCCTAAAATATGTAGAAAAATTAATTTAATGTTTATACAATTAAGAATAAGATTATTCTTCTTGATGGAAACTCTTATTGAATAAGTGGAAGTTAAAGAACAGAAAGAAGAATAGAAATCAGATGGCAAATGATCTCCCGAATTTTTTAAGTACAAGAAAAAAAATTTAAACAACTCCAGGAATTACAAGAAATAGCAAATGGGTGTTCAAGTAGTTCATGGAAATTAGAGACAAAAAAAGATCCCATCTGCTATGAGGAGTCAAGAGGAAACAACCCCCTGTGGCTCAGTGGAGAGGCATACCTAAATAAAGGCGTGAGTCGAATCACCTGGGGAATTTGTTTATAAAAATTTATAAATGAAAAATCTACTTGGTGATCGGTACTCACCAGAGGGACGCAGACGTGGATACATAAGCGCTCTTGCAAGACATGGCGACTTTGCTAGTATCAAGATTATTCACACACAAACACAGAACACACACACTCATAAAACTTACTGTGAGACTGCGAATGACAATGTCCAAGCCAAACACACAAAAAAAATAGGAATGGAGATGAGATGCTTTAAGGAATAAAACCTCGCTCAAAACGTAGTGGGAAAGTGGATATCAGTACACCTCTGCAAATTCGTGGAAAAACTATTTGGTAAAAATGATTACTGATAGTGATCTAAAAATGATTTTTAATGCTTATTAAACAGGTTATTTTTTTAAATGGTCTACTGACAAGACATTGGCATTTACTGGAGAGAAAAACTCAGAAAGACATATACACAAGAAGATACAGAAGGTGTATCATCCAAGTTAGAGGCACGTGCTATATGTAAAAGAGGATTTAAATGTCGATGAGTAATCTTTTGTATTATGAACTTAGAATAACTATTCGGAATAAGAGTGTGTTGAAAATGAAAAACTTGGACTTTGAGATTGCAGCGTTCAAAAAAGAAATGGCTTGATGGATAAAGGAATTAATGACAGAATTCTTTTAGGCTGGATGATGGAAATAACTATTTGTATAAATTGATTTTCAGTACACCGAATGATCCAATTAACTATTCGGCCCAGAAATGAACATCAAGAAATGGAAGAAAACGATTATTTTCTATCTTCATTTAAAGGGCTAAGAAAAATAAAGAAGAAAAATAAGTTTTTCAATCTTTTACCCATTTCTTCCGTGCCCTCTGGTCCCGTACCATTTTCTTCATCTGTTGCAATGTTTTCCCTATCTCAACCCCGATTTGCTGGACTTGGTTCATCCACCCCTTTCTATATCTACCCCTTCATATTCAGATGTAGTGCCGATTGTTCGAACGCTAATCATAACTTGATTGTAATCAAATATTTAATTACAATCAAATACGTCTTAGCAGCTGTCAAAACTATTAAAAATTGCTTATTATTATTGATTTGTAAATAAAAACATGAAATTAACATCAGAAAGAGTTTAATTATAGTTTATTTTAAATTAAAACGCAAACTAATAAAATTGAATAAAATAAATCAGTTAACATAACCTCAAAATGTGACGTATTTGATTTTAATTAAATATTTAATTACAATCAAGTTTTGATTAGCGTTCGAATAATCGGCCCGTAATGTATTAAGATGATGAAGGCAAGAGGAAGGATTTTATGACAGAGACTAGTATCATCAACATACCGGATCCATATTTTCTGCTTTAGGGGATGTCATTGTAGAGCTGAGGAGCCTAAGATTTCCAAAAGCATTTTATAGCGGAAAAAGGAGAGCCCATTGAAGATCCCGATATTAAGAATTTCTTCTAACAGATAAATAAGAGGAAGAAAGGTATTTTTCTGCCAGATAGACATTATCGTTAGCTAGATGTTATCAGAGAACCTTAGATGCGAAGTAAATAAATAAAACTGAAATATCGATACAGATATGTTGACATGCGGACATTGGAAGTGGTGTATAAGTTTATATGTGGGCGAGTTAACGCTATTGACATTGACAATGGGACGAAGGAGTACGTTTTAGTTGTGGACTTTGAGAAGACAGTAGCGAAGAGATAAGAGAATTGTAGAATCTTTGATATCTTTATAGATCTCGAATTGTTTGACAAGGTTTCGATTAAGAGATAACAGGCTTCCTAACTAGACATGCGCCAGTTAAGGGACACCTGTTTACAATGGGACTGTTTCATGGAAACTTAAGCTGCAGACTCTGTAGCAGAGAACCTGAAACAGTCAACCCTATCTTGCACCCCAAAGCAAGTCAACCATATTGCAAGTGACTCCAAAACATATGGTACCCATCCATTAGTGTCCAGGTGTAATGACCTAATAGGCAGCATCTCCTAATCGAAAAATTTGGCCATACATCTTGTTTTTTTTTAATAATTATATCACATTATGTGGTTTTGAAAAGATATGGAAATATATCGTGAACAACACTTACCTTGATCTTTAGAAGCATCGATTAAAATTGAAGAATTATTCATAAGCTTAATCGCACCTTCTGCGTCCATTTTCAGCATCTTCCCCAAAATATATGTCACCACCATCATTTTAGCATTAGTACCATTCAAAGTAATACTCTCTGACTCAAACGTAGCCTCGGAATGCGTGATATCCGGATTCGTCCAATACTGCGGCTTGTTAATACTTTTAGTTGCGTAAGATAGACTAGATGGCGTTAAAATCGTGGTGTGTTTATTTGGATTGATTATTAACCGGCTGCAAAGTCCAACCACTTTAATATTCTTGCGGGAATAACATGCCTCGAAAAATTGCCGAGGGGGATCTGGTAATTGACATGTTGTATGGACGAGACGATTAACGTACATCGGGTAGGTAAGACTAATATCGAAAAATTGACACTCTATGGTTAGTTTAGGTAAAGGAAGAACCTTTGAAGTAATTGGTGCTGATTGTGTTCCTTTCTAAAAAAAATTAATGCATTAAACTAAGTAATAATAAAACCATATTCTTTACACATAATATAATAAATATATTTTTCATTCTTAGCACAATTTTGGTAATATTAAATATCAAACTCGCACGTACTCGAAGACATTTATGTAGCGTAATACTGGGTGTAGGGTGTACAATTAATGTGCATTATTCAGCAGACGAAAGAGGATGAAAGGCGGGTTTCCGGCACCTAATGTAGTCCAATGATGAAAAAAGAGAGAAATCAAATTGATGCAGTAGAATGGAGCTAAAAAAAATTATGGTATGGAAATTATGATTTTATAATATTTAGAATGATCGATGAACGATGGAAAACAGGCATCAAATTATGCTTCCAGGAATAGAAGGAGAAACAGACCAGCATTGAAATAGAGAAAAGGAATCAAAGTAGTAATGGAAGATAGAGTCATAAAAGAGAGAGAATGGAGGGATTATGTGGAATTAAGAACCCTGTGTACCGTGTCTTTCTGGCTTGAGGATTGAGGCAATTAAAGACCCAAAAATCTTATATTAATTGTCACAGAGATCACAGGATGCAGTAAAATGTTATAAACTTGTTTAAGTACAAAGCTCCTATAGATTTCAGACATTAACTTAACGAGACATATCTGAAAGCATTTCTTGACATATTTCTCAGCAGAATAACTGAAACATGAAAATACATTATGACAGAAATGAACATTAATAACGATATAATGACGGAACCATTTGATATCCCAAAAGGAGTTCGCCAAGATTGTCAATTTCCACCGCTACAGTTAACATACACGTCTAAAAATCAGTATGAAAATATTAAATATCTGTTGGATAAGATATGTGACGTTAGATAACCCTCACCATCATCTAGTCTAAAGCGTCCACTGCTGAACATAGGCCTCTTCCTCGTGTTTCCAACCCCGTCTATCTTGCGCCACTCTCATCCAGTTTTTATTTGTTGGACAAAATGGAAATATATCTATTAGACAACATATTTTATGAAACGTTTTATATCTTTATACACGATAGTTTTAAGTCTAGGACTACATCTCTAAGATATTTCTTCATCAATCAGATATTATGTCCACATAAGAATACGTATTTTTGTATAAAGAAAAAGCTAAAGAAAAATATTACAATTAAAATACATATAGGCACTAACCTTTCGTTTTCTATAAAGCATGCCTTTGATTGGTTGAAAGTACGGATGATCCATAAGTTCGAGTTCGATAATAGGTGCGAAAAACGTAATTCGCATGCTTCTACTAGGAATAAATTCATTCAGAGCATCGAAATCTTCTTCGGAAGGAGGTTGAAGTTCTTGAAAACTTTTGTCGGGCTTCGGTACGGCATACGGTGGATAGTCGTAATATGAAGCTACAAGTAAAATATTAACATTTATTATTAATATTAATACAATTTCAGATACTTTTATTATTTTAAAATGTTGTTTGAGTGTGTCAAATGAGCAGGCAGAAATAATATTATTTGGATTAGCAAAGGCCAGCAAAGAAGTAGAAGATTATGAAGCAGAAAGAGCTTTGTAAGTTTCATTTTAAATCTTACAATTATTAGCGGATTATAGTCTGACGTAGCAGCTCTAGGATAAGCTTTAATTAATCTTAAAGAATTTTTGTATATTTTTGTTATTGAGAAGATAGTCAACTTGATTTTTTATAATATTTTCTTGGTCTTCTGCTATGTATATTGGTCCTCCAAAAATTTGGTCTTTCGTTGCCATGATGTAAATCTGTTTATAACTTAAACATTATTTAAATTTACTAGCATATATGTATTCACTTACAAAGTTAATAACAACACATACATATTTAGTCTTCTTCTTCGTCTAGCATTCACGGCCACCTCTGAACATAAGCCTCTTCAAGTCTTCCTTTCCATTGTTTTTTATTGTACGCTACTTGTAGCCAATTTTTCCCGGCAGTCCTTTTCAGATCATCTGTCCATCTCATAGGAGGTCTGCCTCTGGGTCTTTTTGTGTTGGTATGGTCTCCAGGTTAAAATTGATCTGTGCCATTTGTTTAGATCGCTCCTAGCTACATGTCCAGCGTATTCCCATTTCAACTTTAATGATTTTTGCACCACATCGGTGACTTTGGTTTTTTGTCTTATTCATGTGTTTGTTTTCTTGTCCTTAAGTGATATACCTAGCATTGCTCCTTCCATCGCGTGTTGAGTGACTCTAAGTATATTCATATTCTTTTTTGTGATTGTCCATGTTTGTGCCGCATAAGTTAATATCGGAATAATGCATGCATCAAAAACATATTTAGTAGCTTCGAAAAATGTCAAAAGGATTTTTAGAATATATTTACCTTTTATAAAGGTTTTTTTTTAATAAAAGTTTTTATCATTCATGGTATACAGCCAACTAGAGGAATTTCATTTTCTTGTAAGTAGTTTCTTTATTTTATATAATAGACCAGTATGCAATACTTTGTCGAACGCTTGTATCGTATCAATAAAGGTTGCATCAATGGCTAAATCAACCTGGATCATATCAACTATTCTATGAACTTATTGTGCCGTGATTATTACGAAACCCAAATTGATGGTAGATGCATAGTTTCTATTGCTTATTTGAGCCTGTTGGACATAATTGGTACCAGACTAATTGAGCAGTAGGAAGTAACTTCTTCCAACTTTTTGCCTCGTTTTGGAATCATTATTATTTGTCAGAATTGAGATAGCCTTTCACAGACTATTTTAGTTTCGAATTCCTAACCCAAAGTTTAATAAAACTCAATTCACTTCCTTTTCCAATTTTTGCATGGACATCCTGATAATTATTGTGATGTATCTTGGTTTGGTTGTGTCTAATGCTTGTTCTAATTCACTGTATAACTGTTCCAGTTCTTCTTCATCTGTATCTGAAATAAGCCCATAACCTTAAACTATATTTATTATTGATTGAACTGCTTCTAATATTATTGCCATACATTTATCTGAGATTAGTAGGAACCCGGTTACATATTTTTGGATGTATTTATCAAATAGTTTTGCTACATCCTTCCATTGCTTCTAGCTATTATTACGGGAGCAATATATTTTTGCTATACTAATCCTATACCACAGAATAATGAACAATCAGAATGCCCACTCTCCATGGAAAATTAAGTATGCGCATCTCCTTCGCGCAGACGTTCCGCCATGTTTTAGAGGGAACCAGTGTTGTTTATGTGGTGTGTATAGACAAAATTAACTAGGTTTAAATGACTTACGGCAATCATAGATATACTATACAATTATATTATATATATATATATATATATATATATTATATATATATATATATATATATATATATATCCGGTTTTTTAGGCGTTACGCCCGTCCGGTAGGGATCTATGGAGGAGTATCACCAAGCCGCAAGCCCTTATCTCTTGCCGTACTGCTCCACCATAGGCCGATCAGATCCCAGCATATCCTAGTCTAAGCCGCAGATTCATCTAGAATTTTAAACGGCTGCGTTAGACTTTTTGTTTTCAGTACACCGAGCTGGGGCTCGAACCCACATCCACTGAACCATTCGACAGTGAAGCGAATGAGAGGCAGCCGCACAGCCCGCTGAGCTATCTGACCGACATACATTATTAATTATATTAATATTATATATAATATTATATATTTAATATTATTATGAATTATATTAACATTGTTAAATATAATAACATAAATATAATAGAATTAAACATAAATATAAACAATTACATAACCTCACAAATCATATGTCTGTGTATGTGTTTCCTTCTAAAACATGGCGCGCGTACTGAAAAACTTCAAAGGCGGCATCTGAGAGTGGACATTCTGATTGTTTATTATTCTGTGCCTATACTATATACTAATTCAGTGGCGCACTTAGAATTTTCCTGTAGGAATACTAATAATTGAATACGCTATACTCTGATGATTCATAGAAAGTATTTGATTACAGTATATGAAAGTGAATGAAATGATAATTACCTGCAACTTGTAGTGAACTAAGTCGATGGAAAAATCCGGAGCATAATCTCAATTTAAAAGGTCCCAAACATAACCTCATACTTGAATTTTCCACAAAATTGCTGTAAAAAGATAACGAAATATGTGATTGGTTTAATTATTTAATTTACCTACATCGTTTAATAGAAAGAAAAGAAAAAACTCACAAACAGTTTAATAGTAACTTGGAAGCCGGTTTTGACCACTACAATTTTCTACTCATCGTCCAGTCGTTACTTAAATTAAGTATAAATTACCTAATGTGCTAATTACCATAATCTTTTCTCAGAAGGGTTTTCCCACAATAATGAAAGGCAACAACACTGTAATCTTTTTCCAGGGTATGCGTAAACATCAACCCTCTTTTAAAATAAAATGGCCTGGTAGATTTACAAAAGTTTTTATTTATTTATTAAATTAAATTTATTAAATAAGTCTTTATTTGGCTCCAAATGTTTATTACTTGTGAATAAATATTATTTCTACAAAAGTTTTTTTGCATTTCATTATTTTGTGCAAATCCTTCAGGTAGATCGCACCCTCGATGTAGACTGCATACCTACTATAGTAGCACCTTTTTTTAATTTAGACAATTTAAATTTATCTTTAATAAAATTCAAAAAAGAATAGAAATATATGGATAAATATGAATAGTACATTCAAGAACAGTGTTGGGCCCAACGGACCCGAGTTGTCCAGTTACGTAAGTAAAATGTGTTGCCCGGATAAGGGTTAAACTGATTAACAGTAATTCATTTCTTTTCTTTATATTAACCTACTCGCAAAAGGCTAACATATGAAAACAATTCATTATTTATTTACCTAAACTCGAAATCGCTTCCCATCTCCGATAATATTTCGCTGGAGGTATCGTTAGGCATATCCATTTGGTACAAGTAATCGAAGGCGAATGCAGGAGTACGTTCTAACAAAACTGATTCTGTATACATCGACATATGATAGTCCCACGAGGTATTGTATTGCCTCTTTTTTCCTTTATTTTCTACAGCCTCAACATCAAATAATGAATCACTTTTGTGTGTGTTAGTTTCAGAACCTAAAATATAAATATTAATATTATTAGTAAATTGATAATATTATTCAATTATACTTGTTTTAATAAATATGTTCAGTTTGTGATGTCTTTCATTCATGGAAAGGCTGACTTTCTCAGGAGATCAGCATAAAAACCCAGATTAGAAAATGTTAGAAATGAAGACTCCAGAAGAATTCTTGGAAGAGAAAGAACTTGACAATGACAATATAAGGCAGAAACAATAATTCATATGGTACGGACATATCTCATCATCACCTAGCTCAAATATAAGGAGTTACCAACACTCACACCACACATTACCATTAAATGATGACTCCAAACAACAACAAAAACTGACAAAAATAAAGCATACTCCCAGACATAATGGCTATAAGCATCAATTTCAATAGTTTACATAATTAATTCAATTGAAAATGTATGTTAATGTCTATATTCTCACGAAAAGAACCAGAGATACCTTGATATAAGATTAATAAAACTATTAATCAATTTTACTTACCTATTTTTAAATAGTTGATTTGACTGGTTTCATCTGGAATTTCAATCAGTGAACAACTGCATGGTCCCATCGGTAAAAGTATGGCTTGACTCACCCCTCCCATGGCGTTGAACCATTTTAAACCATGAATTATAGTTTCGCAGTACATTCCTTGTAATTGGAGGCTTAACATTGGAGTGTACCGTAGTTTTTTATGATTGTAGTAGCTTGTACGTTCTGAAGTTGTCTCTGAAACCTAAAATAATCATTATATATAAAATTATATGGTCCGACATTCAAATGCATTAACTTTAAAGAAACACGCAGTTAGAATGCAGTGTAGCTAAGATCTAGTTTCATTTTAAAACCTACCTTAAATGTAATAGAAAGATTATCAACAAATATTCCGAAATGTAAAGTGTGGCCTTTATGATCCTGAAGATATTTTTCATCCCAATCTTCATCCCACGGGGCTGGCAAAACAGAAGAGACATACGACCATGCCCAACCCGTCCAACCCAAAGAACTGTCTTGTATATCTAAAATTTGAAAATTATTTAGAAAATGATAAACACGGAAAAAATATTTTACATACCTCTGGCATCTTGAGAAGAAATTGAAGCGTCTGTAGTACTATCTCTTTCAGGTTTTAGTTGTTTCTGTTGTAGGGCATATAATAACAGCAATAGCCGCATAAACATTGGCACCTGTTGTTCGGTCATACTAAATTCCATGCTAAAAAATGTTAAAATAATAAAATAATGCCGAATTATTGGAATGTTCGGATTACTGGAATGTATAGAAAAAATTATAATAAATAAAATAAAACATGCCATAAAGGGAATAGCTACAATAATGCTCCTTTCGCAAACATTTCACAAACAATTCTCATATTATCAATGATACTATAGAAATTACATACCTATTACAGTATATATCTAGCCGAGTAGTAGAAGCAATGCTAGCAGTTGCAGAGTGATATTTTTTGAGCAAATGCATTGTCATTGAGCACTTATATAGCATGGGTTCTTGGTAAACTTCAATTTTGCCAGATGCATTCCTCTTATCCAGACATAAAGTCAAGTCATTTATTGTTATGACCTTTCTGATTATGACTTCAGCAGGAGAAACATCTATAAAAGAAATAAGTTTCATTAAATAATTTATTGAGAGATAAACAAATTTTTCTTTTGCTGCTTACTTTGTAAGTTTTATTCTAATTCAGGCAACGAATGGAGAATAAAATTAATTGTATCAAATATTGCAAATATACAAAATATATCAACTCTACAAGTGAGCTACAGAGGTGGTCATAGTTAAGGTAATTTATTTATGTACCCTAATCACATCTACCTACATGTTTACATTCAAGTAAAGATAGTTTAAGCACTTCTGACCATGGAGCTGCACGAAGGCAGAGGCAAATTCACGTAAAGGCAGAAATGTTCTATTGTAAGTGGAATTATACAGTGCATAGTACAATGCGTTTTGCATGGAAATGGGGACTAAACCAAATTTCGTCTACTGTGCCGTGGTCAGGAGTGCTTGCACACACTATAACAGCAGAGTACTTACCTATATACGAAGGTTCCCATTTGTCATTAGCAGACTCAAATTTTAAATGTTTGACATTCATTGATAAAACTATATCTTCTTCTACATACTTCAATATTAAATTGTTACAATAAATTCGAATGTTACTGACTATTTTATTTATTAATAATTGCACATAACCCTGTGGCGCTTCCATTTCTTTCCTAAAAAATGTATATTCGTATTGTAAATGCATATGAAATATGAAAGAGAAATCATTATAAGATCAGTAGGGTGCAAAACAATGCTAGAGGTAGTACAAGAAATATTTGTTCATTCTGCAAATAATTTCTTAATTTCTTGAGTGAATCAATTCATTTTCTAGACAAAAATGGTTTGTGGTCTCCACAAATCTCTATAAAAACATAAATTCATAAGTTGATGCTTAAAAATTATTGAAACAATAAATAAATAACTATGTAACGTTGCAGATTGTACATTTTAAATATATTAATTAAGTATATTACTTAATATATTATGAATGAAATCAGAAAACTTCATTGATTTGTTGATGAAGGACTATCGCAAGCTCTGCAAATAACAATTATGATTAGACTAACGCCTGACTCCTCATACTGACAAATGGTCAGAAGTAAGGCATTCATTACAGGAAAGATTTTAATGTTTGTAGTATAACAATTTATATTTTCTTATAGACACTATGATGATCGGTAGATGATTATTCCCAAGTAATTTGTAGCGAAAAATAAAAATTCAAATTGTGTGTTAGAGTTTATCTCTAAGACACAAGAAGAAAAGACAAAATATGGTTTGGCTGTAGTGAATGGTACTGTCTTTTCCAGTTTTCTCAAGAACTTGAACTTTTTGTGCCAAAGATGCCGGCAAAAGGTACCAAACTGCCAAGTGTTCCATGTACCATTTTTATTGATGTTCTTGTCGCTGGCAAGATAGATTTAAGCAATCAAATATGAAGATTTCCATAAAAAAAAACAACAATAGCTAAGAAATTCTTAATAGCATACCTACTAAACACCCTAGTAAAAGCACAAAATACACATGAATTTTCTTTTAAATAAGGTAAATAATGTGAGTACATTACCCATGTCCTGTTTTCTTTTCTCTTCCAGATCCTGTGGGATCTACTCTTCCTCTTGTTTCTTTTCCTTTTAAATTTAAAATGCATTCTGAAATATATAAAAATGCTAATGAGAAAATTGTTATGATTAATATGGTCAATTTTGTCAAAATTTGTAAGATTTACATACTAGTAAGTGTTTGCAGATCTTATATCATAGGATGAATTAAATCTTTTTACTCCATGAATGAACAGTAGGTACTTAGAAATCAAGGAAGAGGTAAAATATTTGAGACAAATGACTTGAAATAATTTTTCTCATCATATTAATCAGTTAGCTATAAGAGTTTATGTAAATATTGGGTTTTATGCATTAAGATGTGTCTTGAACTTATTAAATTTGATGATAACTAATTACTATTTTGTGACATTAAAAAATGGATATTGTGTAAAAAGGGGAAGATCTATGCTTGATATTTAAATTATTATTGATATTGTTATTTTATTTCCAAAATAAAATTTGTTGCAACAAAAAGCTGTCTAGGCAAACTAATTTATTTAAAAAAACTATATAATTAAGTATCAGAGGGATTCTTTGTGAGTTCATATTTACATAGATGAATTATTGCACTTAAAATCCCTACAAGAAATAATATTCCTGAGACTACAGGCTTAAGTAAAGATTCTTTGGAATATAACAATTTTTTTATGTTAAAAATATACAGATTTTAGAGAGTCCAATTACATTAAAAGATGTATACTGGAGATGATGATCTGTTGAATACTGTTCTTATATTCAATAAAGGGTTCATTGATAATGGCAACTCATTAAAATATTGTCCAAACTGTCCAAACAAGGTCAGGGAATAACTGACCATAAATCAAGAGTAATGGTCAGCAAAAAAATATAGGAAGCGAATCATACAAAAAAAAATGCTTTCAACATAAGTGAATAAAAATTAGTTAGCTAGATAAAAGTTTAGATTATGCAAAATATTACCTATGGTGTTTATTGTAATGGTGATTGGTTCTGAAGCTAATTTTGTCCATGGCACATGTATAAGAAGTTCTCTAATACTACCAGAGACAAAACTAAATGGCAGCTGAAGTTCTTGTTCCAGAACTTGTAAATTTAATTCTAAGTTATTGAAAGACACATCTCCACCCCATAACGATACCTAAAAAATAATAATCTTATATTATTTTGGTTGTTTTGTTAAATCATAGTTTTTAAAATTATTTTTTGATTATTGCTAATAAAATAAATTGAAGAAAATATTTACTATTTTTTATTTATGTAAAATATTGTATTACCCATTTATGTATTTACCTGAGAATCTTCTAATTTAAAATTATTTATATATCTATTGACGTAGCTCAATAAAATTGGTGTAATATAGGATTCTATCTTAAACATTTTAAATTATCAGGGGGATCTGAAAATTATTTAGATTAATTAATATGTCTCATGTAAATATTTTAAAACTCACCCTGTGTTCATATTTATTTTTATTTAGTTTATTTTGTATTGCATGAGGTGACAAGTGATGGAATTAAGGTGTTCAAATTAAGTTTTGTTGGCATATTTTTGCATTATTTAATTGATAACAAAAACATTTGATTTGAAACGTCGAATTTGCAGGATTGTCTGTCAAATAAAACACACATAAAACATTTAAAAAATATAAGTTCCCATCTTTTCAAACTGAACATAGTTGTCGAGTTTTCAACTACGAAACTTTAGAAAGACTTCCGAAAGACATTAAAGGGCTTTTTAATCCATATTTTAGATAACGATAGAAAATTTTTAGAAAACTCTGTATTATATATTTTATAATTCTATTCCATATAAATTCATTCGTCCTTTACTTTTCCTAGGAAATATGCTTAGTTATACAAGTTTTCTCTAAAGTTCATTGGTTTTTGAAGATATTGGCAATGATGTGCGCCGTAACTCATACGCATATAAAATTAAATGTTGGCTAAACTGTTGACGGATGAGGGAAGAAATGTCAGTAATCTAAAATGGCGAATGTACGTGACAGTGATACTTCTTTATGGCTTCATAATAAACTTGGAATTTCGAACGATTCTTGGACAGGAGGTTCAATATGTTCACAATTAAACGCCGAAGTATTGAGAAATATAAAAGACTGCTTTCCAGATTTGCAAACCCAAGTCAAACTGAAGTTATTACTAAGTTTTTTTCACATCCCGCGCAGAAATTTGGAAGAGGTATGTTTATATCATTTTCAAAACAAAAACAAATTGCAGTCATGTTAAATATATTATTTATTTAAGTAATTACTGAATTTAATAATTAAGGAATAAGATAGATGTATTCGTTCTCATTCCAATTATAGAATTTAAACAGGATGAGTAGGTTTGGAGAAAAAAATTTATAAAAGTTATAAACCTACAAATTTAATAATGTAAATACTATGTACTTAATCAGTTTATAATCTGATTTTTTTCAACAGATTTATATTTATTTTATCATTTTTATATATGTATATTTATTGGTTGTTTTAGTGGAAGGCAGAACTTGATCAAATTTTAGAGGTAGCTGTGGGAGATTCTGAATTGTGGGTGGCAATGTTAGCAGACGCATTAAGAACATATCCCTCTTCTGGGTCTCTAAATACAGAAATCTCAGATGTAGATGAAGTGAGACCCATTTTTAATGATTTAGTAAGTGATTTGCGTAAACTTGTACGCAAGCAGAATGACCATAACATGTTACCCATGGAGTGTCACTATTTGAATAAGGCAGCATTGGTGTCAGTTGTAAGTAGAGACCTATTTTTTATCACTAAAATATAAAAATATTATTTATAAGATGTTTCAGGAAACAATATAATTTATAATGCTGTAAGAATACAATATAATAAATATGTAGTTTTAAATCTAGTGAAATAAAAGTACTATCTGGGGTTTCTTAAAGCTCCCACCTAGGATTTTAGATTTGAATACTTGTGTGGAAGTGGCTAATCTACCAACTGAAGGAAAGCTTATTACATGGCCTTTCTTATTAAGAGTTTTTTTAGTGGCTCTACATATATTTTTCAAAAATGTTTTTCAAAATGTGATTTCAGATATTTAGTCAAGATATCAAAAAAATATCTGGATTTTAAAGTAATTTTGAAAAAAGGAGATATGAAACATATAACATATTATTTAATGCGATTATTACAAAATGTGCTCAGTCTCTATTTAGTTTGTAACAAATGCGCAGTTCATATGATGGGGAATAGTTTATTAATAATCTTACTTATCTTAAAAAATTATCAAAAATAAAAAATGTATATAACCTATAGAAAAACATTGACTGCTGTTTTACAAATGAGTCAAATTTTATATAAAAATGCACACAATGTTCCATTAATTTTGGTTTTTTGTTAGGTTGGTCATAAACTGGAACCTCTGAAACATTTCACAATAAAGAAGAAGCCTAAATCAGCATTGCTTAGAGCAGATTTACTTCAAAAATCTATAGATGCAGCCTCAAATATGAACAAGAAATCAAGTGCACCTGTTATACCAGTTAGGTCAAGGGGCATGCCAAGGAAGATGACAGATACAAGTAAGTTTTGTAAATTGATTCAATTTTGTTGAATTCATTTTCAGTAGTGGTACATGCTTTTAATGTTCTGGTCCTCTAAACATATATCCAGTAAAAAAAAGAAGAAATTATTGAATATTTGAATACGAAGTCAATTAAAAAATGAATTACAAATGAAATATGCTGAAACTCAAGTGTTTTCCACATATATTCTATTTAAATACTAAATATCAAACCATCAGATAGAAAAAATAAGTAAAAAACAAAGTCAAAGATGTTTCAACTCAAATAGCAAAACTGAAATCCAGATTTTCTAGACATACCTTGGGACATGACACATGGAACAAAATTATGCATTGGATATCACCAAATTACAAATTACGAAAAGGAAGACCATATCTTGAATTGTCAGATGACATACACTATGGTATACCAGAAATAGCCCAGGAAAGAGAACAATAGAGTAAAGAGAGATGTTCGTGGATGATGAGACAGAAGAGTTGGATGGAAAGGTCAAAGCCTTTGTTGTGAATATATTATCATTTATTATTTGTTGCTTTGAGAACTTCTCCATAGTTTATTTTGAGCTATGATGTCTTTGGTTCTTTATCACTTTATTTCATACTTTTTGGATGGTTGGAAAATGGAGAAACAGTTGGAGCTTAACGAAGATTATGTTGAAAAATAAAAAATCAGATAAAATCTGTTTTATACCTTTTTCGGAGGATTTATTGAACAATCCTCCCAACAACTCTGTTATTCTCAACTCTCAATTCAATTAAATCATGTTTTGTTTTAGCTCCTTTAAAAGGAATTCCAAGCAGAGTACCAACTTCAGGATTTAGGTCAGCATTAAGTAGTAATACTAATCGACCGCCCTTAAGAGGTCCAGCTGGAAGAAAAGAAGGTGGTGTCAAGCTATTGGACATTGCTGACCAGCCATTAGGCTACGCTGCAGCCAAGAAAAGAAAGAAAATGCAAGGTATACTATGTTGTCATATTATAATCTGACTAATACATATCCTTAATCTTAAATTTTATTAATCTTAATTATCATTTTAGAAATGGAAGATGCAAAAAAAGCAACAGAAAATGCAGTATTGCAAAGCCCTCCTCAAGCTCCCACTACCCCTGGTACTGCAACTCCAGATTATGCAGCTGGTTTGGCTCCTGCTCCAACATATGCTCCTCCAACACCTCAGCCTACAACACCATCTGCAGGTATGTTATTGTTAATAATAATCTTCTACCAACGAATATAGAACGCTTACATTTAACAAAAAAAGTGGCCTTGATTAAGACAGTGTCAAGTTTTATAACTTAGTCGATAGAGGAGCGTAATCAATTTTTGTGCGGTTTATGCAAAAATTTCTCATAAATAATTTCGGCAAATGTAAGTTTACATAAAAGTGTAGTCACTTTTAATTAATTAGTATTACGATATTGTAAAAAAATTGAATTATTGCCTTATAGTATATTGTTTATTTTAACACAAAAAAAAACTTAATAATTAAATTTAAATACTTCAAATATCATTGTATACAATTGAAATGTGTTGTTTATAACTGTTCTAAAATAAAACAATGAGTTTGGACTTCAGAGACATCAGAGAGAATTGTTTGGCACAATTTTCTTGCCTGCATGGCAAAATTGGCTATCTGTTGATTGAAGCAAAATATAAATCAAATGGTTTGGTTTTAGTGAAATTAAAGCATGGTTAATAAGGCAATGAATATTCACTGCTATTCTAAAAATGCTAAAAACCTTGATCCTACTATTTTAAAAGCAGTGCCTGATGAATCTAATTATTCAATAATCAATTCATTTATTTTATTTTTATAGACTTTGTTATTTAAACAATATAATTCATGTAAATGATTTATCATTGATAAAGAAAACCGAATTTATATAAAAAATAATTTTTATTCCTTGAATTTCATATAGTTTACTGTTTACAGTTTCTACTGCTCCAACAACGTCGATACCTCAACCTACATTCAGCCTCCTCCTACGCCCGCAGTCCTAACTCCTGTAGTATCAACACCTACAGCTCAACAGATCTCACCTCCCACTCCGGCCCCGATTCCTACACCTCAACCAGTGGCGGTCACACAACAATTCATTCAAACACTGCGGCCTGTACCTCCTCTACTGGCAACAACACCAAGTGGTCAAAGAACGATCATATCTACGGAACATGTCCAACAAGTTCAGCAACAGGTGCAAGCCCAGCAGATCATCGGCACTCCCGTTGTGGTCACTCAGCGGCCGATTCAGCAACCTCAACAGACTGTAACTCATATCAGAATTCATCCCCAACCAACATCGAATGTATTACAAAGAAGAGGTCTTGCCCTTACAGTAAGTAATTATGTATAAATGATAGATTACACTCTTAGATTAGATCAACAGTTAAAAATTTCCAACAAAATAAAATAAAATATAAGACAGAACCTAATTCCTTTACATACTAACCGAGAAAGTTGTTCATTTGCTCCAAAATTGTTACAATGAAGTGCTACGAAGAATATGGAAGACTGCCTGTCTAGGTGGAAGCTGGAGAAGTCAAATAGTGCCAACTACTTTAACAGCAAGTAATATCCCTGTGCAAAAATACATATCAATATTAATATTCTTGCTTTTAAAATAGGTATGCAGGAAACACAGCTCCTAAGAGTCATATTCATATTCCTCGCCTCTGTAGCCTTATGTAAAAGCTGCAATACTTAAGAACTTATTGTGGACTCTTTTCGTTCAATGAGCATAGGAACCACAAGACCTTGTTCTGAAGCTATTTTCTTGGAGGATTTTAAAGTAATTACTATTAATTTTTTTTGAGAAATTTGTTTAATGTGACTTAAAAATGAGAATTTCAAGGAGGACAAACCCAAGTACTTGCTGGTTACTGAGGATCCTATAGCAAACGAGGAACAGGAAACTGTATTTGGAAGCCATATCTTTGAACATGTTGACAGCTTCATATCCCTCTCTGGTGACTACTACCAAGAAAACAAGCGAAGAAATTAAAATATGAATACACCTTATCAAATAGAGCATACTACGAATTCCAAAACATTCCAATTAAAAAACATCTAACAAAGAACTAAAATTATTATATTCAAAACAATATGGAGGCTGGTTCAGAAACATTAACTTTAATTTATTTGTAAACTATCATAGAGAAAACCAAAACAAACAAAATACATCAAGGTTTGTTAAAATCGGCCGACAAGATAATTGTCTGCCAGTTTTAAAAATGTAGTTTTTCAAAATCCTTAATTTCCGGATCTAGTCGGTTAAATTGAGCCCAAGAAAAAGATTTAATATTCGCGATTGAAAACAAAGTACATTTTTACACAGCAATTCTTATCGGCGGTGAAGACGGGAAATCGTAAATTTTTATTACATGTTACAATATGAGATAAAATAAAAATGCGATGACTAACTGGAATGTTTAAGATTAGAGAAACATAATGTCATGTTTATTGAAAATACTCGACATCATTAGCACGTGCAAATCCTACCCTGTCGTCCATTAAAATGGTGCATGTTTTTAGGATCCATTTATTTTTTTGGGCATGCGTATTTACGAGGTCCACGAGGTTTTAAAACATTTCTACTATGTATTTGTGTATTTATATCGGCCATGACACCGCAATCGACCTGCCTTCTACATTCAGTTTCAATTGCGAATATAAATGAATTTTCAATCGAGAAATGCCTTTTTATCATACTCAATGCTTTTTATAGATGAACAGTAACTTCTTCTATTTTAAGTACAGCTGACATGACAGAAGTCAAAGAGTAGTCAGCTGACAGATATACTTTTTCGACGGAAGTGTGGCATAGAAATTTATATATGTTCTATCATCTCATAGAACATAATGGGGTCTGAATAAAGGAATTACATTATTAAGTGAAAAAGATAACTGAAATAAAATAATTATTTAGTATTATTAATTACAAAGTTTTAAAAGTCCAAGACAAACTTTGTGTCATATAACTGATTCAATCAAATCAGTTTTTTGCTCTTAAATAATTTTGCCATGTTAGTTACAATAGCATGGTTGTCATGTTGTTGCCTTAAGTGATTTGTTTTGTCTGATCACTATACAAATGGCATTTATTTATTCGACAATAAGGTTTTATTGAGTGTCACTTAAAGTTCTTGCTTATATAGTTTACTTCTTTCAGAGAGAACAAATGTTGGAAGCCCAAGACATGTTCCGCACTGCCAACAAGGTCACTCGACCAGAAAAAGCTCTCATCCTCGGATTCATGGCTGGCTCCAGGGACAACCCTTGCCCGCATCTTGGCAACATAGTCACTATAAAAGCTTTCAGAAGATCAAGAAAACGTGTTGCAACCGGACGATACGTACCTTACGATGCTCGTAGAGACGCATTTCCAGATGAACTACAACAACGGAGAGTGGAAGAGGATAAAAAAATACAGACACGTGGAAAATATGGTGGAACAGATTCCGCAAAATGCTCCAACAGCTGCTTTGGTTTGACAGAATGTTGTTGGGTAGTAGTAGTCTGGTTAGAAGAGAGATGGTGTTTCGAGATTTATAGAGTATGTATGTATGTATGCTTAACAAATAAATCTAAGATGATCTAGGAGGAAATGTTACAACATGAGTACAGTACAGATACAACAGTATCATCTCGTCATTGGAAAATGGTCCAGCATTGGTTGTATCTTTAAATAGTACATTATAAATTGATTTTTTAATTGCATGTACAGGGTTTTCTCAACCTAATTAAATAGTCTAAAAGCATGGTATTTTAAGCCATATTCAAAATGGAATTTCAACAAAAAGAATTTTTCCATTGTTTTCCAATCTACATTGACCAAGACATATTAAAATACGAACAATAATTAACCAATATGTGCTCAGAGTAGAGTATTCATCAGTGCCTATTCCGTATTCATCATTTTGAATGCAGAGCCGTTTGGATTCATAGACCTTATTCGGTATATTAAACATTGCATTCTTTTATGGGTGAGATTAGTTGGGCTACATCTGGGAATACTCAATATATGTTGAATTTTTTTCACTGAAGTTTTATTTTTACTGGAATTTGTATCATATTATGAATTATCTATTATTTAACGAGTTATGAGTTATTGTTAATTTATGTGATACATTGGATATATTAGATATATTTCGCAACTATACTTTACAAATAATTCATGAAGGTGACTTATTTTCATAGCGACCATCCCAGTTATATGTACAGTTATGAAAAAATATCTGACTATAGGGTATTAAGACAACGCAACGAAGTGAGAAACAATATCATATATAGCATTTTTCATATAAAAAAGCTTGCACGTCATTCAAGATTTATGTCGTCAGTACCATACAGCGTTGCCAAAACATCAGAATAGTTAGTAAGTAAGGAATTTTTAAAATGTCAACTATTTATCAAACTATTATATTAACAGTAAATACACTTAGTTTTAAGACTACTGCAACACATTAAAATACATAAGAAAACATTTTAATACAAAATTATATATTCTAAAGTTTAAACTTACTTCTTTTAGGGCTTTAATAGTAAAAGCGTCCCGCCATTATTGCTTGTTCAAAATAATCTATCTTATATGAAAGTTTAGCTTTCTTTGGCATATCACAATCACAATACACAACAAAGCGTTAGTTTTTAAAGCTATTAGTCTAAATTGGATATGTATTTATAAATAAAATTTATTAATATATAATATATTATGATCAAATTGTGTAAGAAATCAAAACATAAACAAAATTCCTACCCTAAAAAAGCGGCAACACTTTATACACTTTTGCCACAGGCTTAACTGTCAATAAAATTTGAAGTATTTCTGTATCAGTTGCGTACAATTGTCTAATATATTTAATTATTATTTTGTGGAGTATTAGACTTAAACAGTTATTTCATAAAATTTATATTATTAATAACAAATGTTTTTGGTTATTTAATCAATATAATTCTAAAATTCCCAATATAATGATGATTACATTTTTCTGATTTTTATACCATGTAGCCGCCTATGAAAGATCGAGCAGTTCCGTATGGGTTTCGTATTATTAGCTGTGTTAGGAAAATTTGAACTCTAAGGTTGATGTTCTGGAAATTTAAATACAAGTGACGTCACTTTGTATAAAACGTGACGTGCAAGTGTTTTACTTTGAAAAATGGTATAGACTTGTATGTCCGAGAAATAACATGTAACCACATGTCTGTGATATACCCGTAAGCTCTATAAGCAGTCATGTCTGTACAGTATTGCAGAAAGAAAGTTTATTTTTAGATGGTCTGGGAAAAAATTATATCTTTGTGATTAAAAGATTTAAAAGCAGGTTCATATATTATATAAAATCAGTAAAACAGTTTCTTTAATGTCAATTCATAAAAAATAACATACTAAATTCTTAACGGCATAAATAAAACAATTTATTCTGAACAATTACAATTTTATAATTTTTATTAAAACTATTTTAAATTTAATTTTGAAAAAGTCAACCACGTTCAGCCAAGCAATAGCCCAATCTGTTGTACAATTTCCTTTGGGTGTTCAACAACTTTTCAGGTGTTACGGTTTGAAAGACATGAATAATTTTTTGACGTAACTCGTCTAAAATGTCCGGCACGTTCATGATCATGTCTGTAAATTTGTTGCTTCATATAACCCCATACGAAAAAGTCCAAAGGTGCAAGATCAGGAGAACGAGGGGGCATTTTTATGATACATTTTGTACTAATCACTCTATCTAGAAAAGTAATGTTTACCCTACGGTAACAGATTGATTGTGATGGCCAGCTAAGAAAAAGAAGACTTACCTGTAAACAATAATGTGCTCACAAAACTCCATCTGCCGTTCATAATCAGTAGGAATTTTTTTTGCAATTTGTAGCAATGGTACTTGATTCTTTTTTAAATCTTTCGTACAGTTCTAGCACTAATACCAGTTTCTCTTGAAATAAGGGTGCTTTTACAAGGAAAATTGTTTTCAGCTAGACTACATACGGCAGTTTCACGCTGTTCCCGTTTTTCATTAATTACACGAGCTGGTTGAATTTCATCTTCATCACTATCCGTGCATTGTCTACAATTCTTGAAACGACTAGCTTTTTCAAATATAAAAATATTGTGAATTGCAAATTTTTTTGGTACAAGGCCTTTGAATAAAACGAAAACCTTACGATTATATCGTCGGCACTACTTCCGGAATAATGTCATTTAATAATTTGAATTTTATGACAGTTGTGAAGGTTACCATTTTCCTAACTTGAAATATGAATTTCTTCTTTATGTTTGGCATCACTTAAACTAGTGATGATACCCTTTTGCACTCACGGTTTTATTCACAACTTACTCCAAATATATATTAACAAAATACACTGGTGCTCTATAAAATGGAGTAGATATTTTAAAGTATTCAACATTTGTTGCGTATGTGCTGTATGTTCATTTCTTGAACTTCCAACATTATATAAAATAACACTTCCAGTAATGATTAAAATGTCTCAATTTAATTGAACATCTAAATTGTAAATACTTTATAGTTATAGACGAGTAAAAAGTAACTGGAGATAACACCAAAATATTGTAATAGATATACAGGGTATTCCATTATTCTTTTATAGTAAATTGGGAAAATCAAACATTTTTAAGTACAAAAATTATTAACAAGAAATTATTTTCTATTTTGTGATAATTTGAATACTCTGCATAATTATTACATTTAGCATAACATTACATACTTTGATTTTTTTCTGATTGTAAATAATTGATTTAAGTTGAATAAGACAGGTTTTCTGAGTGTGGACTGATGTAAGTGTACATATTGTTTGACAACTATTGTATTTTCGCTAAATACTTTTAAAGTTTTTATACATATTAAAAGATTTATACAGTATGAACGTTAGCAGAAATGTGTATATATATCTTAGCTCATTGTTCTATTTATTGTTTTTCTTTTACAATGCCTAATTGTATAAATTTTTGTGTCCGAATGTGTTAATTAATTTTGAAACTTGTTAATTTTTGTGCAACATTTTTGTAAATATTGTTGAAAGATATATTAAAACTGATATTTTTTACAAAACTCTTTTATTTTTATGTTTACTATACACGGTGTCCCAATGAAAATTTTACTTTTTATCCATAAAACTCGACAAAATAAATAATTTGACGAATATTCAAAAACCGGTGGATTTTTATATCAACAGGTTCAATTTTTATACAAAATCATATCGAACGAACCCCATTCTACGATTAATCTTACCATTTAACCTAATCAAGTTGAACACGTATTGCACTTGCTTCTAGCATTAACTAATCTAATTAAACGAACCTCTTTACACGCTTGAACTTACAATCAAGCAAAGTCTAAGCCTAACCAAATCGAACACTAAAGGAAGTAATAATCATGATACTATAACAAAACAAGATAAGTCAACGTACATGTTCTTGTGACGTAAGCCCGAGACAACTTTAATGACGGCAAGTTAAATGCTATAAGTGTTCATGTTAATTATGTTGCTGTGGTAATTGAGTTTACTATCCTGTGTATTTCAAAACGTAGTGAATTATATTTTTATTTATTCATTGATGTAGTAAAGACTTGTAGGTAAAAAAAATATGTAAAATTACTTTTTTTAGATGTAAAATGTATTTTAAAATACGAATTCTAAATAAAAATTTAAAGATAATTATAATATCCGCAAGCGAAAATTCACAAATATTGTAAAATAAATGTCTAAATGATATTCATAAAGTCTCAAGTATGACCCGCTTTTCCTTTATGGTCATTTTACATTTTACCGGCCTTTTATATTTAATTTATGTAAATTAAATTAGTAGATTAATCTTAAAATCGTAGATTCATATATTTCTTTAATTTATTTTACAAATTGCTTAATAATTTTCAAACCACGTTTTCACAGAAAGTAACTACATAGTTACGACTTCTTAGTGCAAGATATGGCATCGAGTTATACTTACCGTTAACAGTTTAAGTTTCGAAGTTGTTCATTACAATAATGAAACAACGTTACCATAATATGATGCATCGTTAAAATATGATATACTCCATTCGCTTAGCTCGGGCATATTTTGACAGATTCATTGTCGGAAACCTACAACACAACAATTCCTACTTCTCAGTATTAATAGCTCAAGTATACTACTATTGCAGACTTCTTTCTTTGAAAAAAGAAGAATTATTCTAAATAGTGGAAATGTATACTAAACCAATCAAATTTTGGGTAGTATAAATTAAAAAAATATATTTTAGTTGTTATAATTTAACATAGCTATTTATTATATGGTGCAGATAAATAAATGTTGATTGTCGGTAATTCGCAAAGTTCTATTTTATTTACTATTTAGTTTGTTTACTATTAATATTGGCTATGAGTACGTGTGCTTGGTTGTATAGTAATTTCCAGCCACTTTTAGTCTGTCAAAAAGGAACTAACTTAGCAAAAAAATAATTACTAAATTCACTAGACAGTTCGGACTGGGAATAGCGAACCGAGTATACACACAAGTCCCCTGGCTTTGTCTCGCTATGACGTCATGCGCAAAGTCGATTAAAATTAGAACGGCAAGTGAGCACATCTTGTTGTTATAGTATCATGGTAATAATGACAATGACTCCCTTTTGTGCTCCGTTAGTGGTCTGTGCTCCATTGCTTTTTGGGAGACGAAGAACTATCAGTCGAATGTGTGACAGGTTGCTCTTTTAGACAACAGACTCAGTAAAAAACAGGTTTAATTTAAATAAAAATATATTCGAAATAAATAAATAGCCAAATAAAATTAGATCGGAGCTATGACCCACTGTTTAACACCTGCGAAAAATAAATTTTTTGTTACGAGAAAAATCTAAACGCTACTTACGGTGTGTTAATATCATCGAGCAAAAAGACAAAAGAGGGAATCTTATCGTTATGAAAAGGAGGCCAAAATTCATAAAAGTGGCTTCTTAATATGGCGGACATATCCGGAAATGCAAAGGCGCCAAACTTAAATTTTACGATATTCATACAGTACTGTAGGGGTTCTAATTTAGCTAACGGAATTAGTGCAAAATTTGAAAATTTTGTTTTATTGTTTTAATTAGGTAATTATTTCATGTTTTTTTATAAGGTCATAAAACAGTAGCTATAAAATATTTTTCAGAATGTGTCTTAGACGAGAAAACTTCAATATAAATAAGCTTTCATGTGACCTTTGCGACAAACAATAACATAACCCGACTAAATTTGATTTCTTAAACAAGGAAACAGACTCTGTTTCCTTGTTTAATGTGGCCTCTCAAAGTGGCACTTCCCGTCTAACAATATTTTTGCCCCCACTACCTTTACATTCCCACTTCTGTCTTTTTGTTTGCTCGATGGTTAATATAGACTTGGCGAAGATGGGAATTGATGGGTCGAAAGAATAAAGATGGACATCTCTTTGCTATGCTATTTCAGCTTGAACATTGACATCAAATGTAGGCTTATATATCTACCTAAATATCCTTTGATACTGCCTTATTCATCATTAAATCTGCGCAGTGTAATTCGCGTTACTTTAAAGGTTTTTACTGCTGTTGCATGATCCATTGTTATAATAAATAATATTTATAAAAATATTTAAACTTGGCAACATTTTAATCAACTCCTGGACTATTCCAAAAAAATTTAGGTGGGTTTTTTTATACTTTCTGTCATTCTTTCTTATTTGTTCTTGGTAAAGTTCAGCTGTGTTTTTTTTTTAACAAAGAAAAGGGCTAGTTACACTTCGTGTGAAATTTTTGAAAATAAAAACGTGCGTTGTCTTTGGCTATCCTTGCTACCAATGTGCTGTTAACCAGAGACCAGAGCAGTAAAAGAAGTGCTTCACTGAGCATAAAAATATATGCTGAAAAATTTAGTGCCCTGATCCAAAGATACGTAATCCTTGATACTAATGCAATTAGGTAAGTGAAAAAAACTGCTGTTTAAAAAAAGAATATATTAAACTTAACTGTTGACAAATATACATAGACAAAATAAAGGTACAATTGTGCACATGCAGTCTAAAAATTCTTATCATTAATGGAATACGTATATTATTTTTTGGTGCATTTTATGCGTTTACGTGATTTTATTGTCTAAGGATGAAGTACTATAGTACAGTTCTTGTTTCAAAAGGAGCTTTTACAATATTATTAAAAGAAAACAGACACAATATTAAATCTATATATGTTCTATTTTCTTTTATAACTTACAGTTTTCTCGTAAAACAGGAAACCGGTTTAAAGCTTATCATATAATATATTGCTATTAAATGAATCGAAATTATAGTAGAAAGACTTCATCTCTTCAAGTTATATTCACAAACTTTTAGTTTTGTCTCCAAAGTAGGTAGAATATAAATATTCCTTTTTAATTCTTGGCAGCCAAATTGAACAATTAACAATGTTTATATTTACCCACGCATATGACCAGCACTGCCGAGAGAGATGAGCGGACCCCCGGAAAACAGTGAAGAGAAAAAAAATTGTTTAATTTTTATAGAAATAAAATTATCAATAATAAAAAATAATTCATATTAAATTTTGATTATATTTATGTGAGTAAAAATATTTATAATAGAAGTGCTTTTCGAGATTTCTAATTGGCAAAATCAGTTTGCCAAATCATGCTCAATGCACAAAGTTGCTAGGCCAGTTCCACCTGCCTAACCGATCCTGCTTCATTTTAGATCTCATAGCATTTTTTATGCGAGAAAGACAACTAAAGGACATATGGAGCAGATGGGATAGTCATAGAAGAAATTAAAGAAGGAGCAGAAACGCTAATAAATGTGTTGAAAAAGATGTTCAATGTTTGTTTGACAAGAGGTGTAACCCCCTTCCAATGGCAAAATGCAATAATAACCATAATGCACTAAAAAGGTGATATTTCACACCTAAAGAACTATAAACCTATTAGTTTGCTCTCCCATGAATAGAAAGTATGCATGAAGAAAATAACAAAACGGTTTGAGAACAAACTAGGTAGTTACCAAACTTACGAACAGACTGGGTTCCACTCCAGATACGGAACAAATGATGATCTACAAGTTATTAAAATGCTAATAGAACAACAAGCTTATCTTTCTTATATTCGGGACTATGAAAAGGCGTTTGATACTATAGATCATCATAAAATGCTTCGAGCATTGGCTGACTGTCGCATCGACTACCGATATATTGCCTTGATTAAGAGTATCTACGAAATTGGTACAGTTTGCATCCGACTTCATGAAGATACCGAAAAGTTCCAAATAGAACGTGGAATTAGACAGGGTGATACTATCTCCCCGAAATTGTTTACAGCTGTACTCAAATATATGTTCAAGCAAATGGTATAACGTGATATTATGGAAATTAATATAAATGAAGAGAATCTAAACCACCGGAGATATGCCGATTACATCGTTATAATATCTGATACAGTTGATAAAGCTACAAAAATGCTGGAAACGCTCTATGAAGCATCAAAAACAATTGGCCTTAAAATTAACACCTCAAGGACAAAATTTATGACCAACCTTGTAGTCAGCGAGAAAATTCGGGTTGAAAACCATAGCATCGACCAAGTAAGAGCTTACAAATATCTAGAGCATCAGATTCGCTTACTCCGAGATAATCAGACAACTGAAATACAAAGAAGGATAGGTCTCACATGGGCTGCCTTTGAGCATTGAGAAACATTTTTAAGTCTAATATTCCAGTTTGTTTAAAAAGAAAGGTTTTTAACCAATGTGTTTTACCGGTCCTTACATATGGTGCAAAAAACACTGAGAACTAAACTAAGAATAAGAACAGGAGTCACGGATGCACTTGAACAAATACCCATACAGACAAATATAGGCTCGTTGATGATTGGAGAAAGTTGAAATTCGCCAATATTATCCTTGTATATCGCTTTCAAATAAAAAACTTCATCTATCAATTCTCCACTGATGTCTTCTTTATAAAATTCGTGCAACATATCAATTTTTTTCTTACTATTGTCGTCATCTTCTACTTGGAATGTCCACTAAATGTTAAATAGTTTTTTTCATTTTTCATTTCAGGTAG